ACCCATATCGGGCCCTAAGAAGATTTGCCGGCACGACAGAGATTAAAATCGTTTTATTTGCAAGCAGAATCAGAAATACACTAACGCAGGAACAAGACTAAGGTATTTCATATACTAACATAAACCTTGGACCCAAAGACGTATAAATCCCAGTGATAAATCCTAGCATATTTACAAAAGAAAACAATCACAAGTCTAAATTTCATGCGGCGTGCTTTCCTGCAGTAACGCTCAAACAAAAGCATCAAATTTTTAAAGCAGTGAATGATGTATAAGTAGGTAGAAACGTTGGGGACTTTATGACCAAAAAGGGCCTATAAAGAATATCCATATTCATCAAAGCTGGTGGACATGGGGGCCTGATTCCCACTTCCCATACTCCCGGTATCCCAGACGAAAATTAGTCAAAACATTTTCCCAAGCATATCCTCATTTTTACGCCCCCTCTTCCCCTGGTTCTGTCCCAATGACTCCTGCTTCCCGTCCCCTCATTCCCATAATCAGTCAGGGATATAACTCTATAGGGTTATTAGAGAAAAAAATAACATACATTTGTTATTGTGGACTAAAAAATCCAAAAACTGTGAAAACTATTAACATATTAAAGGGGCAATATACATCCTTTGTTTTGTTAAAATGTATACAAGTTCTATTGATATTATTATTGTCTTTATGTTAACTAAACTATAGAAAGATATACAAGTTCATAGTTTGGCAATCATGTATAGTACACTATGTTATTACAGAAAAAATATGTCTGTAATAACTAAAGGGTGTTATTACAGCTTCTCTTTATCACTTCAAAGCCTTTGCTCAGATATATATCATGCTTAATCACAATGTATTTTAATTTATTTTAAGAATTAATGATCAGTCTCAGCATGTAATGAGGTTCTGCACAAGCTTCCAAGTAATTCTCAAGTGTCCCATGTAATAAGTTGCATGCCTGTAATAACTAAGCCTTGTTAATACAGCTAAGTTTATCACTTAAAAGCCTTGTCTCATTGATATACCATGGTTAATAACAAATGTATTGATTTAATTGGAAAATTAGTTATCAAGGCTATATATTTAGTTACTGTGCAAAGTTTCAAGAATTCCCAAGTGCCCATTAAAAATTAAAATATTTATTATTTATTTTTAAAACAAATAACAAACATATGTTACTACAGATTAAGAAAATTTTAGGAATAAAGAGTAGACAACTCATGAAAGTATCTGTTATAACACATGTATGATATTTTCTCTAATAACCCTATAGAGTTATACCTTTGACTGTTAATCCCTGTCTGAAATGAAATGAAGACTAGAATTCTTATTAAAACAGGATATCACATCCTAAATTTTAAGGGGATATTGTTTATAAAGCCTGTAAGTTTAGATACGGTCCATGTAAACTCATTGATCCTTTGAATAAACTTATTCTTAAAAGGTTTTCAAAATACATGTACCCAAAATGAGATCTTTGAATATGTTTTTGTCATCTTTGTTGGTACTAACATGGATTTTGTTTTTGATAAATTAAAACATACATGTATCTAAATATATATTGCTATACAATGTCCTTACACTTTATCCCTTGTATGTGTACTGATTAATGTAATTATCTGCGATTACTCGGGGAAAGTACCACACAAACATTCGTGACATTAGCGTATTACCTAACGTCGCTACAGCGATACAAATTGTATTTTGTTAGTTATCATTGAAATACCATCTGAATAATCAAGACGTTCGGATCTTTCTGGCGATGAGGATTGGATGGGATGATACATGTACTTTAGTCTGAGAAAACATGATTTATTTATCACAGTATTGATAATGCTTTGATGTTTATTTTCAGAAAATGCAAGACACCTTAGATGTTGAAAAGTACAGAACTCCCTATGAAAGTAATACAGAATGGAGAGAAAGGAAAAAGTTTTTAGAAGCACATCATGACAAATTTGAGGATGATCGTCTGGTTTGCTTGTCTCAATGTTATTTGAATGTCCGTATGACTAGTTGTAGGTATCCAGTAGAAGTCATGAAACAACTTAGTGAACTAGCCAAAGAAATGAATGAAGAAATCAGCTAATGAATAAAGAATGCAATGGGAGATCATTGGTGTTTGTCAACAGAATCAACACACATTTTTGTACTTGATGATCAAGCAAAGTTATGACCTTCTATATACATTTTAGATATTCTTACTAACATGTATATATCAGTTTTTAAAACTTTGATGTACAAAGTTTTGAAAATCAAAAGCCTTGATTGTACTTGTAGACTGTAATATATTGATGTTAAAAGTACTTTTATATCAGTTGAGTATGAATTTAGGCATAAAGTATAACAATATTGATATTATGCAATAAAAATACAATTACCTGAGTTTAGAATATTATATTAATAGAAAAATATTTGTATTTATCCTTTAAACTCACAGGTATTATCAGATTATAAATTAGTTGTCTTTTCAAGTTTTGTATGTTGTCATGTTGACTCATTTGCATATACCCACATCTCCTTTTATTCATGCTTTGTTCACCTCACATAAAAAAATAATTCTGGCTTTAATACTGGTACATTGTTTGTATGATCGGGTGTTTTTAAGCTTGGGATTTCGGGATTGATCCGTTCGGGATCCGGGAATTCTTTTTTCGAAGTTCGGGATGTCGGGATTTAAATTTTTTTTTTTAATTCGGGACCTCAGGATTCCATGTTTTTAAGCCCGGGATTTCAGGATCAGGACCCCTCCTACCCCCCCGGTTATGAGGTTATTTAAAATTTAAATATTAACACACTTCTGTTACTATATATGTTTCTACCCAAGTTGCTGCTAAAAGGTTTTTCAGTTGTAAGGTCACTTAGCATGCTTAGGTGGATAAGGGTTCAAGTTAATAGTAGTCAGAGTTAGACTTCATGCTTAAGATCTTTAGTGAGTGAATTGGATATGGATTCTTAAATTCATAAGATATTAGAATGTTTTAAATATAAATAATAGTTTAACCTAAAGACCCTTACTTTTTTATTTGTATCCAAACTTTCAGCATTTCTACACTTCATATCAATTGCTCATGACAAATTACAGAACTGTCTCACAACTATACCTTCAACAAAAAATTGTAGAAAGTCAAGTTTAAGAGATCAAGAATTATTTCATCAGAAAACAAATCCTAATCAAACAAGAAGCTTTTATCAGGAGATATGGTTAGAATGATGGAGTTGGTAACCTATAACTTTATATTAAACTTTCATTGATGTTTATATTTTTCAACAGATGTTAAACATTCCATTGGGCATCAATTGTTACAATTTTGAAATTAAAATGCGAACCCTCCAGGGAAAAACAATTTTGTTCAATTGACGAAACTACAAAATCATCTATGGATAAACATGATAAACAAACTGCAAATTGTGGTCTTTTTAAAAATATTGAAATTGAAATGCCGACTGACCTATTTTACTTGGAAAAATAATCATAATGGTCAGTCATGATGTTTAATTAAAGGATTAGTGACCCATCTGATGACGATAAGCAGATTACCTGTAATCACAACTTATAACACCTGCTATTAATGTTAATAAGCTGAGGGTCATAAACTTGTCAGAAACTTGAAGACAGGTAGAATTATAGTATTTTCATCAAAATATTACTACAATAAAGACATGGACATGCGAAAAAGGGCAGGGCGTCAGTCGGGAAAGGGCGGGCGGACCGCCCTGTAAAAATGATCAAGCTGGAACACTGTTGTACATCAATGAATGCATTTTTTCTGTATCCAGAGAATTCAGTATTTATGCAAATTATGTTACAAAAATTATTGAAAATATTTTAGCTCAGTCCTGAATTTGATGCTAAGCTATTTTCATAATTTTCTATTTTTGAATACATTTACATGCAACAAGTTAAATTGTTATCTACTTCTTAATACTCCAATAAATTTAGAGTAGCATGCAGATCTGAGTGGGAACTGCCGCATATTTTTGATTTTAGTTTCCAAATTGGGAGTTTTTCTGTTGTGCATAGCAGCATACCTTTATGATATGATATATATTACATCTGGCTCACTTCATCTGAAAGAGCTTCTGTCCACTTTAGTAAATTCCTTGAGATTGCATAATCAATGTCATATAAACTTAAGGTTTTGGACATGAACTGATATCATGACTATTAAAAATTAAAAGTTCTTTTTATAGATTTTGGTTTATTGTACCCCTTATTAAGAATTTTTATTATTGGGCAATATAAACTTCAAATTACATATAAATCTAACAAGAGTTCACATGATGAAATGTCACGCCTACTAGCTACTTTACTTATCATAATTGAATCTGTAATAGTCCCTTTTATTACAAATATCACATCAGCTTAACATTATCAATAATCCCATGTAAATGAGGAAAAATCAGATGAACCCTAACAGACAGACACATTACATGACCTATTACTTATTGTATTTCAGATACAGACTTCACCTTGATCACTGATCCATAAAATGAGGTTTGGTCCAGTGATCACATGTCTGAGGGACATGTGAACCATGCAAGGATCTCATATACCAAATAAAGTTATCATTGTACTCATAAAAAGGGAGTATTTTACATGACAAAAAACTATTTATTTTTTTCAAGCAGTTTCCTGGACCACAAAAATCAGGTCAAGGACAATGGACATGACAGTTGAAAACTACATAACAAAAGGCATCTGCATACAAGGTATGAATCATCGAGGTCTTCTACTGAAATAAAAAGCTTTATACAAAGTCTTTTCTGTTGTCACCCCCTGGATAGTAATCTGTTATTGACAGTGGACAAGTTTTTCATATTGTTTAGACACGAGTTTCATCTATTATGTTAGGATTTACTGACCTTTAGTCTTTGGAATTCTCTGCAGATGTACATAGGGTTGCTGTCTCATTGATGTATATATATTCAATTACTCTTATTTGTTAATTGATTTAAGTCGAAGCATTTTTGTAGATCTTTTACTGCTGATCATTTTTATTGTGCATTTTCTGTGTGCTGTGGATTGATGAAACAAGAGGCTCTCAAGAGCCTGAATCGCTCACCTGTATTTCAGAGGAGAAGATTTTTAAATGTTAGCAAACTTGATGAACAAATTGTGTAAAATTGTCTTTAAAGGGCAATAACTCCTTAAGGGGTCAATTGACAATTTTGGTCATATGAACTTATTTGTAGATCTTATTTTGCTGAAAATTATTGCTGCTTACAGTTTATATATATCTATAATAATATTCAAAATAATAACAAAAAACCTGAAAAATTTTGTTAAAACTACCAATTCGGTGGCAGCAACCCAACAATGGGTTCGATTAGTCTGAAAATTTCAGAGCTGATAGATCTTGACCAATTGAACAATTTTATCCTAGTCAGATTTGCTCTAAAAGCTTTAGTTTTTGAGATATAAGCCAAAAACTGCATTTGACCCCTATGTTCTATTTTTCGCCATGGCGGCCATGTTTGTCGTGATTTCCTCTTTAAAAGTTTAAACCAGCTTAAAGTGAATTTGTACTTTGTTGAACATTAAAATTCATGGTTAACCTTTTAAATACACATGGGATCCAATGAATAATAAGGAAACCACAGTATTATAGTTTTTATACGCCCGTTTACCAATTTGCATAAAACTTTGGTGAATTGTTTATATCTATTGACGTGAGCTCCCTTTCGTTTTTTATAAATTTTAGATTTACGTTTCCCAGTTATGGGGTTTTATTCATTATAAAAGGGGGATTTTCCAGTTTTCGGACAATAACTCAAGAATGCTTTCACCAACTTGCAAGAAATTGTGGTGAATTGTTTATATATATTGACATGAGCTCCCTTTCCATTTTTATATATTTTAGATTTTACGTTTCCGAGTTACAGGGTTTTATTCATAAAAAAAGGGGGATTTTCCAGTTTTCGGACAAAAAATCAAAAATGCTATCAGCAGTTCGTATGAAACTTTGGTGAATTGTTTATATCTATTGATGTAAGCTCCATTTAGAATTTTATAAATTTTACATTTTACATTTCTGAGTTATGGGGTTTTATTCATTAAAAAAGGGGGGATTTTCCAGTTTTCTGACAATAACTCAAAAATGCTGTCAGCAATTCTCATGAAACTTTGGTGAATTGTTTATATCTATTGATGTAAGCTCCCTTTACATTTTCATAAATTTCTAATATGACATTGAGAATTAATTGAACTTTAATTGTTTATAGTCTGACAACAGATTTACTAAGTTTTGCTAGTGAAAAATTGTTGGACAACAACCCCAGTAAGAATCTCGTCTGATGGTTTCAGTCATATTTGCATCTTTGTTGACCTTAAATGCTTATAATTTTGCTCTTTAAAGATACACATAATAGGGAAAACCTCTTAAATTGGTAAAAAAGTTATCATTTAAGGGCAATATCTTCACAAGGAATCATATTGAAGATTTCAGAATTGGTCAAAAACCCATTGATATAAAAGGTACCTGAAAGAAAAAAATGGGTGTACAGGAGAATGATCCAATGAATTACTGGAAAAATAAATGGTACAAATGTATATAAATAAATGTGGATAGTGGACACAGATGATGCCCCCGCTTGCATATCATATAGTTATAAAGGGACATAACTGAAGAACGGTAAAAGTGACGCTACCCAAATTTGAACTTGATCTGAGTTTTGTGGTAATAAGCATTGTGTGTAAGTCTCATAAAATTTGGTTGATGCTAACTTAAGTAGAGAACAGAAACTAAAAATTCAGCAATTTTTCTATTTGTATACGCAGAACTCTAGAACGGTTGTGTATAAGTTTTATAACATTTGGTTGAGACAAACTAAAGTTCGAGAACAGAAACGAAAAATTCAGCAATTTTTATGTTTATAAATGGACATAACTCAAGAATGGTAAAAATGTCGCCACCAAATTTCGTACTTAATCTGTATTGTGTAGTAATAAGCATTGTGTATAAGTTTCATAACATTTGGTTGAGGCAAACTCAAGTTAGAGAACGGAAACCAATTTTGGGACGTACAGACAGACAAGGGTAAAACTTTATGCCCCACCGCTAAGGCGGGGGCATAAAAACAATGCTTTTATTGCTGTACATCTTGACTAACACTGGAGGGTCTTCAACGATAAACTAAAAACATCTTGACACTTGCACTGAAAGATCTTCAACAAAGAGGGGCCTGATGGGGGGGTCTCATCACAAATCACGAGTTGATTTTTTTGTCAATCACGATTCACAGAAAATATAGAAAAAAAATAAAATCTAGAAAAACGGATCACGATAGCGAAAATGCGCCGATCACGAAGAACGAAAATAACCCATAAGGCCGCTCAACAAAGAACTTAAAACATCTCGATACTTAAAATGGAAGGTCCAACAATGAATTCAAAACTCTTGACACACTGAAAAGCCTATAGTTGTTAATTTCTGTGTCATTTGGTCTCTTGTGGAGAGTTGTCTCATTTTCAATCATACCACATCTTCTTATTTTTATATTCAACAATGAACTAAACCATCTTTGCAGTTTCTCTGAAAGGTCTTCAACCATTGAACTAAAAATGTTGACACTTACAGTTACACTGAGAGATCTTCAACAAGCAACTTATAACATCTCGACACTGACATTGGAAGTTTTCAACAATGTATTAAAAGCATCTTTACACACTGGAAGGTCTTCAATGATGAACTGAAAAGCTCACATCTTAAGCAAGACCTAAAATGCTCTCGTGTATATTATGAGCAGTATTCTTTGATATATATTGATAATTAAAACATATATCATATAATAAACTTTTGACACAGATATGTCCCGCATGTTTTTTTTATTTTGATAGTATAATGCAAATTTTGAAATTACAGTGTTAATACTTTAACATGTTACCTATGCAAAACATTCAAAGTCAATGAACCATGACTGAAAGTAAAGGGCAAAATAATCTGTGTAGAAATGAAATGTGGTAATGCTACTACAACTGCATACCAAATATCATCGACCTACATGTACCATTTAACATTGTTGATGCCCTAGACGCTTAAAATAGCATGCTTAAGTGAAGGCAAGACAAAAAGCATACTGGAGACTCCACTGGAGAGTAATCAACAAACTACATATACAATGTAACATTTATTTTATTATCATTTTATTCATTATAACAGTTGAATTGAACATTTTCTTGTCAACTTATGTCCAATAGGGTTTCCATGGAGACAGTAACAAACATTGAAGAGTTTTGTTTGAAAAAAAATAATTTTCTATCATAGACTCTCACTGAAAAGAGGTCATTAATATATCATTTCCCAAAAGTTTGACAGATATTCATCCTCTTACAGAATTTCCAATATTTTTTAATTAGGTTTTTTTCTCCTACTATGTTCTATTTTAATAACTTTAGCCATATTGGCTGACAAGATTGGTTATAAAAAAATGAAAAGTAGAAACCCGTAGGATTAATATGGCCAAATTAGTTGCAACTGGTCTAGTGGTTTCAAAGGATGATTTTTAAGTTAAGAGACTAACAGATGTTAAGAGAAGAGAAAATTGAATAATGACCTTTTGGGTGAGGTAAGAAAAACATGGAATTAGTTTCATAGTTATTTTGATGAAAATACTTCAATCACTCTAAAATGGTTTTAAAAAAATCTGGAAAGATTTGCATTAGGGTGACCATAAATAAATCCTGGAGATGAATTTAAATTTTGCTTGATGGAATGTGCAAATACACAAGTAAATATTTTGTAAAAAGAAAAGACGTCTCGCATCCTAAAATGCTTTGTTAATGGATAGAAAAAACATCAGGTTAAACTGTTTCAAACTATAGCTATGGCTTTAAAGGAGAAGACTTTGGCCAGCTTTTAGATAGACAACAAGAACTGGACCTTAATTAATGGCAAATAGTAAAATTGAAGTTTAAAAACTGCAGATAGGCTCTATCTAACAAGGAATATATCAAACTTATAAATTTACATCAAAAACATTATTTCTATATACAAGTAATAAATAAATAAATAACATATATTAAAACTTAAAAATTCACATTTAAAAAGACATAAAAGTGATGGTTAATCCAGTAATAAATATTAATGTATAGGAACACGATCCCACTATGTATAGAAGTTAAATGTATTCAATACATATACAATCCTACTTTTTTGGACACAGAAACTTATCTTTATATAATGCTAGGGACAGCATGGTACAACCTCAGTAAGCCAATATCTTTATGATTTAAGATGTAAACAAACTATATTTGAATATTGTACATACCTCCAATTCTAGACCCCCTCCCCCTTTAGGGTAATGCTGAAGTGAGATGTATTACATTAACTACATTTTCAATGTTTTTTATGTCCACATGTTGATGTAGGAGTTATTTCTTTGTCAGAAGCAGCTTTTCAGGTTTTTAAGTAAATCATCAAGAGTATGCAGCGAAATTAAATAAGATGATCTCTCATTTAGCATAAAACTGGAACAAAGGACAAAGTTTTTTTTACATAATATGAAATATTCTTGTATTTCAAATGTTGCAAACACTGTTTGAAGAGATGAACATTAAAGGTATAGATAAAACTATAATATAAGCAGGTTACTTACAGATGATTTTCAAATAATATACGATTATCACATAATCCTAACTTGTATGGTCTAAAACAAGCGTATTGCAGCATGATAATTGATGTTGACAATTTTTTTTATTTCAACCATACACATACATCTCATCGATACCGAAATGGCATAAATGTTTTATGTACAAAAAGATTGCAAAGTTATTTACTTACTTATAGTAAAATCTACTTCTAATAATAATTGCACATCTGTAGACCTTAAACAAACTTTTTCACTTCATATAGACCATCGCACATCAGTGAAAGGACAATCACACTTCAGGGTCCACATCGAACCTCCCAGTTCTACATATTTATAGTACAGAAAAGGGTGAAAGCATACTGGTAATTGAATAAAATCTGAAAAAGTGCTGTTTCCCCGCTATTCTGTCAAACTGTCAAAAGGAAGCCAACTGTCATTGACATCACACGGTCTAAAAATTCCACAAAAATCAACTTAATTAATGAGAGTTCATGAAACCTTCTTTCTTATTTTGATTTTAAAAACAGGATATGTAGCAACTTGATTAGTTACATCTTTGAAACTTCAAATGATAATTTAACCTCGAGGGCACTTAATAGCATTACCTGTGTGAACTTTAACTTATTTCAAATACAAGTTGTCTCCCTTTCATAAATATTAAATAAATAAATAAGCTTTAGAGTCAGCATAGTGACATAACTTAAGCTCTATTGAGCTTTTACCGACATATACATGTATAAGGCATAACAAAACAATACAAAACCAGCATTGCCCTTTATTCTACACTTTTTGCCCATTCTCTATTCTGTAAAACCCCATCCAGACCCTCATAGAAAAACAGGACTTCTAATGCCAGTACAAATTGGTTTGTTACAGCTTTTAGAAAAAAAACAAATGCTGCAATAAGTCTGTTTTCACAACAGACAGGGATATTTTTAAAAGGAAATCATGAAAAAAATGAATAAAAATGGAATGAAAAATAAATGTTTTACATCAAAAGCACAAAAACACCAGTTTTCACTACTTTCCCCCCTTTTCTGAAATAAACTGGACCAGAACTCGAAAAACAATCCAATTCTTCAATTGGTATCAAGGACAACTAATAAACTTTAGATAAACAAACTGGAACAAAGTTACCCTATAAAACAAATGAAAACAATTCAAATGCTGTATGTTATGTCTTATTTCATTGGTGTGCATCATTACAACCCAAAAATGTATAAACCCTTTTCATGACTTCATGAGTATGAATTCCTACACAGGCACTATAGTTCTGTAAGTGTTGATGTAATTTGATTTGGAAATAATTTTCTGTGCATTCAATTTATTATAATTAATAAAGGTTATTTTTATGGAGTTTATTTATGTGTAAACTTAGCAAACTTACTCACAAACTTAACATAAAATATGAATTGGCAGAGTTTACATATGAAATAACTTCTTCACAATAACCTTCATTACTAAAATAAATACAGATGGAAACTACAACGACAACTTCATACAGTAAGGTGACTAAAATCAGTGTTGTTGCATAACAAGTTTTATGTGATTCAATCTACAGGATTTCATCTGAACACAGATGGATTTCAAAATACTGTAATGTATATACATTTTGAAGTATGCACAATAAAAAATAACAAATGTACCAAATTGACTAGAAAACCTTCAACTTTCGTTTTGTACAGTTAACTCAGAAGTCTCTTCTTTCACTGAACTTTCTGACCTTTGTGAACTAGACTCAATCCCTGAATCTTTTGATCTAGATGTTTTGCTTTCCACTGATGCTGACCGTGTGACAGGAGATGAACATGATGACCTGACAGGAGACGCTGATCTAGCGGTCTTTACAGGTGATGGTGTTTGTTGTTTGATTACTAATTCTGGTCCTCCTCCATATATATTAAATAAGAATTTCCACATTTCTTCAGATAGCTGCCCATGATCAGAGTTGACCTTCAGGGTCATCTGACCTTGCTTATTATTTGTAATCCTAGAATTGTCAATCTGTCCTGGTGGTGCTGAAATAATTCATATGAATATTTATAGTAAAATATATCTTAAGAACTAAACTTTACTTAAATTTCCTAAGGATTTTTTTAATTAATATTTATTCATTGTTTTCTTATGAGAAACTTTGAAATTTTTGCTTCACATCTAAATTTTTGTGAATAACATAATCATTTTAATTAATGTATAAATTTTCATATTGTGTTTTTTTTTTCAATTGACATCTGATACTTACTGTCCATTTTGCCTCTGACAAAGTTCTCCCAATCTTTAAACCAAGACATGCTGATAGCATATAAAACATTTGGATTATCTTCATCTTTAAATTTCTCATTTAACTACAAAATAAAAAACATACATCATTTATCATAACGGCTAAAATAATATGAATAAATACATTTCGGAAATTAAGAGAGATTATATATATGCAAGATTGAAGATTTTTATATACTCATATAAGAAATTTCAAAGTTGTTAGCCATGGGCAAACTTTAGAAATAGAAATAGATGGCAGCAGGACAACACTATACTAAATTTTAAATATCTTAATGTGAAAATATTATCCTCGAAGGAATATCACTAATTCTAGTTGATTTAATTAAGAACTTGTTGCATCATATTTTCAGTATCAATTACACTTTCACCATGAAATGGATGGTAAAATACTTGCAATTTGTTACAATAGGAAACTACTCTTTTAAAAATACAATAAGAGAAATTAAGGCCACACCAAATCAATATACAGTTCTTCAGATCCCCCAAAGGTTGTAAAAGGTCAGAAAAAAAATAGTGTTTCCTTAAAAATTTTGTCCATAATCACTAGACAATGACTGGAGAAGACATTACTAAGTTGTAAAACTTGTGTCTCATGCATTTGTTTAGTTTCTGAACAATAAAATATATTTAAACTAGACAATGACTGATGTGGCAAGGCAAAATAATCTCCATGGATATCAGCTAATGCTGATACAACTGCATATTAATTTTAATTGACATATGGCTAGAGATTTATCACACAATTGCCCATGCCGACTTTTCACCAAATTTAAAAGTTTCAGTCAATAATCCATGATGAGGGGGTGGAGCCATGTAATCTTCATGGAAAAGAGACTTGCAAATGCTAATACAACTGCACACTAAATATCTTTGACTTAACATTAGTAATTCCTCTCTTATCACAAACTTTAACATACAAACTATGCAAAACATTCAAAGTCAATAGACCATGACTGAGGGAGCAGGGCCAAACAATCTCCATGGAAATGAGATGTGCCATTGCTAATACAACTGCATACCGAATATCATTGACCTACCACTAGAGGTTCCCTATAAACTGACCTAATCACAAACTAATAAATTGTTGACACTGCCTATTTTTAGCCTTGGCAGACACATTTTTTAAGACAAGATACCACAAAGATGATTGTCAATTAGTTTGGATCTAATTGGCCCAGTAGTTTCAGAGGAGAAAATATTCGTAAGAGTTAATGGAAGCTGGACGACGGATAACAGATGCCAAGCTCACATGGCCCTGTGGGCGAAATAAGCTAAAAATGGCAAATGCAAGCAACCTACATCAATGAATGTTTCCATTTCCAACTGTTGTCTTTGTTTTAATTGATCCAGCTCTCTTTGACAAGACTGGCAGGCATACAAATGATTGCAGACTGGACCACCACCAAACCTGTCAACATATCAAAATGATTTACACTTTATTGGTAAAACATGAATCATTTTTTTTCTACTTAGTTAACACAAATAGCTTATTTCACAGACCATAATTTCCACATTCGTTTACCTTTTTTTTCATCACATTTTTCCCTAGTACTTTTTCTATGCGGTTGCCTAAGTACTAACTAGAGGTCTTGTGGTTAAGGTCACTGCATACGGAAAAGCTATCGGCGAATTACAGTACAGGAAGATAATAATTCAATAGCAGTACATTTCTGAAGATTTTTATAACATAAAGGATTTTCTTTTAAGGTAGATTAACCGTATACCGCCATCTTGGATTGTAAAACTGCAGTTCACAATCAGTCTAGTTCTTTGCTTAAATCTGCAAATTTTGAGACAGATTGGCTATTAGGTGTTGGACTGTTTATTGGAATAAAGAAAAATAAGTGATTTATTGCATTATTCAGACTGATTTAACAAATACCAAATATTTGTGTTTTTTTTAATCAAATTGTCAACTTGGCCATTTGAGGGGAGATACTCAAATAGTGAAATTTTTATAAAGGGATGATAGAGAAATTTTCAAGTTTTACTTGTAGCAAGAGAACAAGATCGGTGACACCATCTTTTCTTTTTATTTTCTTAAAGCATATTTTTAAAACCTATCTTCTCATTTTTATTTCAAAATTCTATCACATAGATTTCTTTTATTCACAGAAATGTGTTTTTTCATGAACAATCTATACAAATTCTGGCAATTTTGTACGACTTGTAGCTTGAAAAATAGTAAGGTGACCCATACTTTTTTTTATGTTTTTGATAAAAGCATGGAAAATTCTATATTTTGGCAAAGTATAAGAAAATTCTATTTGAGGAAATATATACCAATGATCCATCTTAAAACTACATGTGTAAGTCCATGTACACGTAAACATCTGTAATATATTATTTCAATATTTAACAAATAAATAAAAGATTTATTGTAAATATCTTACTTGCTGTACAAAAATTCCCAAAGAGCCTGATTGAATGGTATGGCTTGTTCTTGTACATATTCTACTTTATGAGGTGGTACGCCTCCATGTCTACACAGAAAGTCATGATTACTGATTGGCCCTGGTTCAGCAAAGGTATTAAATCTGTTTATCCATTGTTTCGAAATAAAGAACTGCATCAGACTTGGCTGAAAATAAGTACAAAGTTTGCCATCATTATTTGAAATACACTAAAAATCTATTTCAAAATATGTGCTGTTTAACCACTTTTGAGTCAATTATTTTTTTAATTTAATTTATGATTGCAATCCTAGTTTAATAATTTTACATTGTAATGAATATGCAGTAATAAAACCCCAGTTTACTTTGATATGTTTTTTACAGAATAATTTTGGAGTGTTGTCACATTGACTTCCATCAAATATTAAAGGGTATCTATTAAATACACCATGTATTTATAAAATGAACTTTTAGAGCAAATATCATTGATATATCATATATAGTTCCAGTAAGAAGGCCTGATACAAAACCCAAACAATACCTCTGGATGTGAGATTAAAGTAAAACAACACCTTCAGAACAGATAAAAATATGACTTTTAGAACAAACCAACATATAAAATATTGCTGATCTCTCATCAAAAATTTCTACAAAACACAAATACTCCTTAAAAATTGTTCTGTTTTTGGAATAAGGTCATGAAACATATGTACATGCATACTGTACTCCTTACAGCAAATCTATAAACAAAATTTATTTGACATTTCATGTTTACTGAAGATGATAAGCAGTTCAGATTCAGGTAAACAAGGTCACACCCACAAGACTGTTAATGACCAAGAGGAGAGGGAGAATAAGATATAAAGGTATTTGCAGCTGTTTAAAGCTCCACAGTTGCTGCTTGATATTAAATAAATGTCTTGTCTCAAATGTCTTTGATGAATTACCCCCTTAACTTACTAGCCTGGAATATGTATAGATTAACAAGATTTCTTCACATTGATATCATAAAATATAAGCTGTGAGCCACATTGAGAACTTTTTTGGGGAGTGAGCGTGGCAAACATTGTGCTGATTGGCTGAGTTTTTAAGATATGTATAAGCACAAAACCAGATAATCTGTTTATCATGATTTTTTCCAGTCTTTTTCCCCTCCCTTAGAACATTACAAAAGTAAGCTTGATAACATCTCCTCACACATTGTGACATCGCTAATTACTTCTCGTCAGACATCCCGACGTCACTGATAAGTTCTGCTCAAGTCTCAAAGCCTCCATTCAACAATTTTGGAGCAATTCAGCAAGGTGATATAGGCAAAGGGAAGCACGATAAATAATTATATGATAACATACTTCCTGTGCTTCTATCAGTCTCATTCCTTTCTGTCTTAGTGATACCATTTGATCATTTCTCTTCCTGAAAAATTTTCAAGGAAACTTTCAAGTAAATGCAAGAACATGATTAATATTTAAAAATAATTGAGAACTTCTGATCCAAATTTCTATCTATTCCTGGTTTAAAGCTAACTTTTTTCAAATATTTAAATCTTGAAAATTTCAAAATGTCCCTTTTGTAAGAGCTTTAAAGTAACCTTTCTTTATTATACATCCATTATATATGTACATTTTGTGTTTTATTTCATAACACATTTGGGCTTTAACATTTTTTTTCCGAAAGTCTTAAATATTGAAACTGTTCTGTGCCATTCCCAAAGATGTATACTTACACCAAGTAATATATTGTAGGTGACTTTACTGACTTGGCATTTTAGATCTTAATTTGAAACATGAAACTAAATGTAGATTAATTAAGCATAAAATGTAGGTCAAAGGCATTTCTTGTAGGAGACTGTCATATATTTAATGCCATTTACTGCAATAGACCTATTACTCATAACAAGTGAGAAAAATCATGTGATAAAACCTAAAAAAAAAATCAAAGCAGTAACTGAATCATGAAAATGAGGTCAATGACATCCGACATATGCCAGACATAAACTTTAGACTATATTTGTATGTGAAATAAGGTATCTAGGTCTCCTACCTTCTGAAAAATTATGCTTTTTACAAATAGTGTACCCTTCGCCAACAGATTAGCATGCCTATATCTCGCATTTGCAAGACAAAATGTCATTATTACAAAGATGTTTGTGACTTTGAACAGCTTGTCATCACCTACAAGATTTTCAGCATAATTAATGAAATTTCATCAAGATACATGTATATTCTCACCTATAAAACAAGACATAAGCTTCACAGTTCATCACCTGGTTAATATCCACCTCTGTCACATATGTATCATCAAACTCATACCACTGTTCATTTACATAGTTCAAACAATAGGCTGTGTAATGGCCAGCTGAAAGTCATCATAAGTTATCATGAGAAAGTTATTATATCTTATAGATCTTGTAATTTTATATGTAATATTATATGTAATATTATATCTTAAAAGTCAATGCATCAAATACTGTAAAATTCAAAAATTATTGTGTGTGCAGGTGAGAGATTTTTGGCTCTATGTTGAAGGTCGCATTGTGATTTGAGATGAAGAACAGCAATAAAAGTGCTGTTCCTTTGCTTTTTGTGTGGTTTTTGCTGTGCATGTACTGATTTTGTGTCATGGATGGATACCCATATCCTTTGCTTTTCTATTATTCATTATTGCGATTTTTAAAAAATGGACAAAAATGTGAGATTAATTATTGCAATTTGAGGAAAATCAGCATACAGATATATGTATAAGATATCAGAATGCCAGTTTTTTTATTGCGATACTCACCTAGTCGCATTATTCACATTAAAGACCAAACAACCTATTGTTGATGCGCATCAACTAACGCAACTTGGTTGTGACATAAAAGCTCTATGACGTTGTTTCTAGCCATGAAAAAAACGTCAAATTATAACGTCCTATTTCGCGTTTTTCACGGATTCCAGCATGGTGTACGCTAAAAACTACGTCTTCCAAGAAAAGTGGAATTAAGCGTCACGCTGATACCTAGTGGAAATTAAACACAAATGGACACAAAAGAGACTACACTATCTATAACCTCCGTTCTAATAAAAATAATAATAACAATATAAATTTTGAACTCAGCTTTTTACATTTGGGCCGATCTGCATTTCACTTTTTTTCTTTCACTTGCCGATTTTGTCTTTCATTTGCGCCGATTGTGTACAGGTAAATTATAGGTGAAAGTTATTTTTTTATTCATGATATGAACCTCTTCCGTTAGCCAGTTGTACATATGTTATGAATTGTCAATTAAACATGTATATAAATGTTGTCCCCTGCTCACAAAGGGGATGTGGGAGTAGAATTCGAGCAGGATAATTCAATTTAAAAGATATTTGTGCACTCTGTTTACATCCACTAAAATCACGGAGTAAAATTCTATTTACAGCATTTCAAAGCACCACAATAAAATCCATAAAAATGTAATACTAGTACAAGGAATTATTATCTTGTCGAGAATTTATATGCCACACATCTGATATATTCCTTTCTTGTCATTTCATCTTTTCTATACTTGTTGTACTTGCTAACAACGAAGTCCATCTTTTCTTTCTCGTGTCAAAACGAAGTTCTCGAACAATATGACCAAAATGATCTTAAACATAAGGGAACACTGTTTATTTCCATATATTACCATGCAATATACATTCTAGGTTTACTACATGTACATGTATTTACTCGTATAGCAAATATAGTATCGAAGCTTGTGATAAAAAAAATAAAATAGGCGCTAATGAAAGAATCAAATCGGCGCAAATTAAAGATCGTTTTTTTTTTTAAATCGGCGCAAATCTCGTACGCCGGTGTAACTTTACACTGGTAATTTTATATGACTTACGCTTAGAACTTTAACTTAATATGTGATTTTCAAAATTGAGTTTTCAGAAGGTTAGGCCGATAAACAATACTTTCTAGAAGTTTCGATATACTGGCAACGTATGTATGTTTAGATCAACTTATTTCTTTAAGATTGTCGTAAAATAATGGTGATCTTGCAATGAAGTTAAATTTTATCTATACTGCTTAAATGACAAAATCTTATAGTAAAAATAAAAATGATAAAGGTTCATTGTCTTTTGTCATTTGTTTCATTTCAAATTGTCTCAAGGAGAAATGATAAAGATTTCGCCTGATCTCACAGAAGCTTAAGGCAAAAAATATAAGAAATTAATATACTCAGTGAATGTAAATTAAAATCAAAATTTTAAAACTAAAGTTGATGTAAACTTAACTTATGACAAAAACAATTGCTTTAAGAATAAGATCCAACATAAAATTTCTCACTTTCAAAAAGCTACAATGACTGGAAAGATTGAAAACAAATTTCGATTTTCAATCCGGCAATCTATACATACCTTGTCTTTGTTTTAATTTCCAAAATGAGCTATTTAGATTCATAATATTTCATCCTGTTTTGAGAAATACTTTATAGTTTTCAACGGAAAATTATTTCTTAGATTCTAAATCAATTTTTGAATTAAATACTTATTTGTTTTATATTTACTGTCTCGTTTATTCAAAACACGTGAGGTAGTAATAACGGGGATCGTATTTTATGATAGGTTAAATGGATGTAAAACGTTTTAGAATCAAAAACTTTAATTCATATATTATACCTATAATTTTAATTTTCTTATATTTTAAATATTCAGAAATAATGAATCCACAAACTAGATGGAATAAATTGTATACGCTCGTCTTAGTCGGAACACATAAGGGTATAAAGAAGTCCGTCCGTGCTAATGTGTGTCCGTCTGTCAGCAGTAGCGAAAGAGTGCGCTAGGGCAAAGTTCTGAAATTGACGCGACAAAAAACCCCACACATCTAGTCTTATATAGTCAAATAGTCTGTAAGTTAGCCAGTGTCATCTTTCATCTCTCTTTTAATTTTCAATGATTTTGCTAATGAGAGGGAGAGGACAAAAACAGACTTTCCTTTCTAAAGCGTCGTAAAAGGTTATTTCGAACAATTTTTCATTCCGACAGATGGTGTTTCTGAAGGTTAATTTTGTGCGGCAACAACATCATGAGATCTGATACTGATACATACATGTGATCTCTTGTATTACCGGATAATAAAGTAGGTGAATATAGTTGTTATTTTTGATTCTTGAAAATTTAAATGTGGGTTTCAAACGTCCAATTTGCAATTTTTTTCAAATAGTGCGCCAGCAAGGAAAACTTGTACTATGACGTCAGATTAAATGTTCTGAAGAAGGACAACTCTTTTCTTCAAAACGAACGAGAAAAAAACATGAAAATAAATCATAACTTTTTGGAAAGATCGGTGACATATACATTTATTTGCTTTATTTTGAAGAGTATACATGGCACTTTCCTTCTTGAAATTTGTATGAAAAAATCACTGATAGATATTTTTTAAATACTTAAAACGTTTTTCATTCTTGCGTTTTATTTTTGGCGGGAATGAAATAAATCATATTTTTTAAGATCAAAACAATAAGAGTCTTAAACTCTTGAACCTGTATTTGATAGACACAAATCTACTGTTTAACATGAAACAAGAATTATGCTTGTAGGTTTGATATAATGGGATTTTTTGAGAGTTTAAATAACAAGCAAATATCATGTTAATATTCGGGAAAACATGAAACTGAGGTTGCTATAGTGACAAAACTAAGTCGGTGACCCCCAATTTGTTTTATCATATTTTGTTCCTCAAATCATGAAATACCTTTCCACAAAATTTTAAGGAAAAATCACTGGTAGAACTGAATAGGCTGTTTGGTCTTTAATAAAATCCTCAATTTACAGTAAATTTATGAAAATATATATGTTTTTAGTTTGAAAAATACTATCTTTAATCTTTAATTTGAAAATTAAAAAATGTTCTGAACGACTAGATCTGCTTTATAATTATAATTATTTTTATAAAATCAAAATATGTAATTGACTTACAACCATCAGATCCATGGTGGCATATAACTCCTGTCAAATCATACATGGTCACTTCTGAAGTACAGTCTGGAATAAAAAAATATGTAGCTATTGAGGCTGAATTTATGAAAACATTCATAGCAAAATAATCTAAATAGGACTGGTTGTTAGAGAAATTATAAGCATCTGACATTTATAATCTACATTGTACATGCATATTGAAACAATATGTGGTGCATATGGTAGAGGATCTTTTGTTTTACTGTAGTCAAACTTTTTTATAACCATGATAACCACAAATTTAGCTTCTTTAAAAACTAACAGATGGACAATAACATAAAACACATGTAAATCTAAGAGAAAGTCACCTGAATCAAACTGTTTTCCTGAGGTATTTTGGTTTTGACAAGTAACAATTTTTAAATTGTTTCTTTAACAATCTAAATACACGTAGAGTGGAGTGAACAATTTGATTAAAAATTCCTAAGGGTTCCGCGGAACCCAGTGTCTCGCCTACTTCTGCTCTTAATCGCAGGCTCAACAAAAATGAGGAAAAAAAATTAATAAAAATATTCCTCTCTATACTATCTTTTGATTGTAAGTAGCTTCTGTCCAAGTTTGGTAAAAATCCAGGATAGTTTCTGAATCTAATAAATGTTTTAAAAACTTAAACTGCAGATTGTATGTAATGTTAACTGGAAGAAAAACTAAGTCCATTTATAAGTAAAATATTGAAAAAATGGAACAAAATTTTAACAAAATTTCCTTCTAGATACTAGCTTTTAATCATAAACAAGCTTCTGTCCAATTTTGGTACAAATCCAGGATAGTTTAAGAAAGTTGTTAAAATTTTAAAAACTTTAACCGCAGAGAGAATGTAATGTTAACTGGCAGAAAAACTAAGTCCATTTATAAGTAAAATACGGAAAAAATGGATTTTTTTTTACAAAATTTACTTTTGAATATTATCTTATGATCATAAACAAACTTCTGTCCAAGTTTGGTAGAAATCCAGGATAGTTTAAGAAAGTTCAAAAGTTCAAAAACTTTAACCACAGAGTGAATATTTGTGGATGCCGCAGACGACGACGGAATGTAGGATTGCTATGTCTCGCTTTTTTGACAAAAGTCGAAGGCTCGACAAAAATGATGAACATATGAAAAGTCTAAAAATAGTCAATGGTGTAACTTATATGAAAAAAGTTGCTGCCATAAAGAATCGTAAGATAACTACACTCCATATTTAGTAACAACATTTTTGTACTAAACTCATCAAATTTTCTTCTATGTAATTACCTTTGTGTAAAAATGGTTTGAGATCAAGACTATCTAAAGGAAAGGCTACATAGGTAGATATCTTCGTTGAATAAAATTCATGACGAAATCTTTTCAAATGAACTGTCAAAATCTAAAAATAGAATAAGAAAATTATGAACTTAAAAAAAAAAAAGATATGACAAATATTATTTCAGAAGTCAAGTTAAATTGTACAGTTTTTGAAATACTGTAATACCCTTCAATTAAAAATGTTCTTATCACAATGCAATAGATATGAAAATTTATTATGTATTACAATGAAACAATCAACCATCTCTCTCGTCTTAGAGGATATACAATTATGGGTAGCTTGGAGTATTTTATTTTTTATTAACTCATTATAGGGGGTCAAAGAAATGAATACCATAATAAAAAAAGTTTTTAGGTCAGTTTCAAGAAAGGGGGAGAATTGTATTCTGTAATGACACAAACGAGGAAAAGAGAACTGAGTGGCATTGCACAAGGTCATGTTTTTCTCTGACTGTTAATGACATCTTAACACTAAATCCATTGGATGTTGGATGTGTACTGATTGATATTTTATTCTTAGTTGTTAATGGCAGTACTCTCAGATCTGTATTTTGTGTCTTTTGTGTTTTTGTTAAGGTTTTTATGTGCTTTGTATCGATCTGATGAGTTAAGCCCTTTTCAACTGATTTTTAAAGTTTGTTCTTACGTTGTACTGCTACACCACTGTCCAAGGTTAAGGGGAGGGTAAGCATGTTTAAACTGCTGCATTCTGTATGTCCCTGTCCCAAGTCAGAAGCCTGTAATTCAGTGGTTGTTGTTTGTTGCTGTATATTACAGTTGTTTTTATTTTATTGTTTTGTACATAAATCAGGCCGTTAGTTTTTCTTTTTCTCGTTTGCATTGTTTTACATTCGTCATTTTGGGGTCTTCTATAGCTATGCGGTATGGATTTTGCTTATTTTTGAAGGCCATACAGTGACCTATAACAACTTCTATGTCATTTGGTCTCTGGTGGAGAGATGTCTCATTGGGTGTCATTTGGTCTCTGGTGGAGAGATGTCTCATTGGCAATCATACCTCAGTTTCTTGTTTTTATATGAGACAAATAAAACGTATGCTCATTAAGCCCTTTAAAATATAAAATTACAATTACTAACAGATTATATATATTTCTTACATTAGAAATATATTTCTTAGATTTTTAACTGAAAATATATTCATCAATTATTATCAAATGCTTTCTTTCCTCGTTGACCACATGATTTAAAAACAAATAAATTATATATATATATATATATTTTAGAATCAACACACTTTTCTTAAAAACTGAAACAGAAAGTAGGATGATCTGCTGTTATGCCAGTTTTTACCTCAATAGTAAAGCTTAATATACTATTTTTAGTTTTCAAAAAGGTGGACTAACAATGGTTGTTACATACCTCTGGCAAGACCATTACCCTCGAGAACTTGATTCCATTTCTGAGTCTGAAAAAACCAACCAAACTTTTAATAAATCAGCAATGCTATATTTAGTGTTATGAAATTCCTTCATAAGATAAGTCAATCTTTTCAAATAGAACATTTGAAAAAAGAAAACCAGTCTAAATAGTCAAGACTTTCAATGAATATATTATTTTATAACTTTATGTGTGTAAACTGAACACTTGTCTAACATTAACAAAAGGTTTTCAGTTTCACCAGTTTTGAATGTACAAATTTTTGGTAAAGGCTTGAAATATACTCATGAAACAAGTGCATTTGTCACATACGAAAATTGATATTTACAAGCAAGGACATTCTTTAGAAGAAGCAATCTTAATGAAGTCCAGTTCACATTGTAGGGGCATGAAAGATGAATCTTTGACCTTCTATTTTGCAAAAAAAAAGATAGCAAAGATTCGCTATTAAAGCAATACATTATTTTGTAGTCCCTGTTTAGTTGATTGACAGCTTGTATCGACTCATAGAAATTCAGAACTTGACTTATGGTAAAGAAACTTGTCTATTGTTGAAGAAAGTAATGATATGAAGACCTCTATACATGTATTTCTTTTCTGTTTTGGTTTTTGTGTTGCTGTATTAAGTCTCATACATTCTCTTTTTTAATATGATATTTATCTGTAATCATAAAACGTATGATACTGTTGCTGCACAGCACATGTTACTAGAATAACCTTCTCAAGCCCAAAGCCAAAAATATTGATTCTTTTGAGTATGAAAACCAAAAGGACAAAAATAGAACAGCCAAAACAGTCATATTTAAGTAATGTTCAACAAATTACAAATTTTTCATAGATTCAAAAAAATTGGTACCCAGGGAAATAAATGGAAGAGGTTGTTTTTGTGATCAATAGTTATGGCAGACTGGAACAGCTTCATTAAAGAGCCCATTGTCAAATGGAAGCGATACTTTTGTACCTATCAACAGGTTTGGTTAACTTTGGAATATATAACAAGTTTACAGTAGTGAAGTGTAATTAATTTGTATGAAAAAAAAAAGAATGACACAGGTTTTTATATACTCTACGGCAATGACATGATTTATGTTGCTTAGTCTTTAGTTTTCAATGTTGTGTTCTGTGTACTGTTGTTTGTCTTTTGGTAGTTTATTATTTTTTGCCATGGCTTTGTCAGTTTGTTTTTCAGCTTATGAGTTTGCATATCCCTTTAGCATCTTTTGCCTCTCTTTTTCTAGTTGCTAAATTGATATATATAATACAGCAAGAGTCTACAGTTTTCAATATATCACAACTGTATGCTGAAGTATAAGGCAACATGCACCAACTGTTTTAATTAATATGAAATATCACAATACCAAATATATAATAAATTTCACTACATTCTTACTTTTTACATTTTTCACAGCTGTACATATTGTCTCCTTTCAATTCATCAGCTGAGAAGAAAGCTGCCAAACAGTCTTGTAATGTTATTGCAGGTCCAACAAACCAACTGGAAAAAAAAACAACATGTCAATCATATGACCCACATAATTAGAGTTAATAAATTTTCTATGGATAAATATTTAATGTGCAAAGGAGGACTTTTTCTTCTCTTTCAAATCCCTTTTACCCTTTTATAATATGGACTAGACATTGTCTAAAATAAGCACTGCAAAATCTTATTTCATTTTTATTATTATTTACCGAAAATGCTTTCTAGTTAACTCATATTCAACAGCATCCTAAGGAGAACATGCTAAACATTGAGGAGCCAAATTGATATGGGCATAATTTACTGTCCCCAGAATTTTTATTGGTTTGTGACATACTGAATTCAATTTTTTCATGGGATTTAAATGAAATTCTCAATGAAATACCAAATCTTGACATACAAAAAATAAGAGGCTGAGTTGAGTTTTCTATGTTGACTCTACTACATATACTCTGTTGATAAATAGAGGCAGCTGAAAATATTATAAAAAAATTACATATTCTTTAAAAAACTAAATGTGTCGAACAACACGAATGGCTCTGCTCGCAAAAAAAGCTTGAAGCCATTTTGAAAGCCCAAAGCCCATAATTTCTGCAAAAATTAGTGGAGCAGAACCAAACGTAAACTCATTTTTGTAACTCATCATAGTAGACTCACATACAAAAAATTCGTAAGGGTTCCGCGGAACCCAGTGTCTCGCCTACTTTTTCTGTTAATTGCAGGCTCAACAAAAATGAGGAAGTAAATCAATAAAAATATTCCACTTGATAATATCTTTTGATTGTAAGAAGCTTCTGTCCAAGTTTGGTAAAAATCAAGGATAGTTTATGAATCTAATAAATGATTAAAAACTTTAACTGCAGACTGAATGTAATGTTAACTGAAAGAAAACAAAATTTCCTTCTAGATACTAGCATTTGATCATAAACAAGCTTCTGTCCAAGTTTGGTACAAATCCAAATAGTATAAGAAAGTTATTAAAATTTTAAAAACTTTAACCACAGAGTGAATGTGTTGTTTCCTGGCAGAAAATCTAAGTCCATTTAAAAGTAAAATACGGAAAAAATGGATTTATTTTTTTACAAAATTTCCTTCTAGATACTAGCTTTTGATCATAAACAAGCTTCTGTCCAAGTTTGGTACAAATCCAAAATAGTATAAGAAAGTTATTAAAATTTTAAAAACTTTAACCACAGAGTGAATGTGTTGTTTCCTGGCAGAAAATCTAAGTCCATTTAAAGGTAAAATAAGGAAAAAATGGATTTATTTTTTTACAAAATTTACTTCTGGATACTATCTTATGATCATAAACAAGCTTCTGTCCAAGTTTGGTACAAACCCAGGATAGTTTAAGAAAGTTATTAAAATTTTAAAAACTTTAACCACAGAGTGAATGTGTTGTTTCCTGGCAGAAAATCTAAGTCCATTTAAAGGTAAAATAAGGAAAAAATGGATTTATTTTTTTACAAAATTTACTTCTGGATACTATCTTATGATCATAAACAAGCTTCTGTCCAAGTTTGGTACAAACCCAGGATAGTTTAAGAAAGTTATTAAAATTTTAAAAACTTTAACCACAGAGTGAATGTAATATTTCCCGGCAGAAAAACTAAGTCCATTTATAAGTAAAATACGGAAAAAATGGAATTTTATTTTTACAAAATTTACTTCTGGATACTATCTTGTGATCATAAACAAGCTTCTGTCCAAGTTTGGTAGAAATCCAGAATAGTTTAAGAAAGTTATTAAAATTTCAAAAACTTTAACCACAGAGTGAATATTTGTGGATGCCGCCGACGACAACGACGACGCAATGTAGGATCGCTATGTCTCGCTTTTTCGACTAAAGTCGAAGGCTCGACAAAAATCAACTCAATATGTGAAGGCGTTTAGGAAAAAAGTCTGTATAACTGTTCATTGCGGAATGACGAATAAGAGTAAAACTATATGGCCCGACCTAAGTCAGCGGGGGCCATAAAAAAAACACAATATCATTAATCCACCAGATTACATGTGAACTTTTGTACACTCATAAATTTATAAGTTCTTTAATCATTTCTTATTTTAATTCCCATATCAAAGAATTGCATAAAACAAAAATTAATGAACTTTTAAGTAATGAGTCACTGCTTACATTGATTTCATCCATAATTGCATTTGTTGTTTATATTTACTACCTTTTCATCCAAGTCATTATCCAAGTCATCCAGCTCTGATTAGCCTCCCCACAGGTGCCTCCCTTTATTGGACTTCCTTGTGAGTTAGAATGTAATACAAAAATCTGGTCTTTACTTGGGATGGGCAATGACAGGTCTTGAAAAGTTTCCTTGGTTGTTGAAATCTGAAAAAAAGAATAAAAGATTCTATATAAGACAAAAGCCACCACCCATATGCATTTATTGAATGACACACAAACGACAAAGCCAATGGAAGAAGGTAATGAAATCAAGGTGATTAAAAACTGAAGCAAGACTTTTAAAAAGAGGATGAGTCGGTGTTCTATTAAGCAGTTTAGATGCAAGTTTGACTGGTTTCTATTATGAAGATGATTGACAACACATGATGATAGATAGTGGTCACAATGTTGACTCGGATAAAACAGTACACATAAACTCTGTCTTATATATGGATGCAACATTTGAGTGTGAGCACAACATAAAAATTTATTCAATTAATTTATCTTTCATAAAACATGTAAAATTGCAGACATGCTTACAGCCGATTCCAACGAGTGTGTAGCTAATGGTAGAATCTTTGGTTAGCTTCCTTGCTAGCTCAACCATGAAATCATTATTAGGTAAGGTACATCCAGCCTTTGGGTGGAGTCAATAGTTAAGCAGAGAACCAATCAGAATTAAGTGACAGAATATAAACATTGTAAAACTAGTTTTACAAGTCAGTTTAAAAATAAGTTTTCAATCTAAATTTAAAAGTTAATGATAATTATTAAGATCATTCACAAGCATGTTGAAGGTGTGTTTGATTTGCCAATTTTATTTTGATAAATGGTTAAAAGTTAAATGAAAGCTGAAATTCCTAAAATGTTTTCTTCTTCGTCAGACATTACAAATAATAATATATTTTACCTGTCTTTTGAATTTGTTACATCAAGTTAATAAAATGTAGTTGGATATGATTGACAAGTGCTGACCATATTCACTTTTACACATACACATTTGTTTACAATACACCCGGACAGGTAAAAAAGATTGGAAGGTGTTCAAAAGTACATATGACCTGATCATTTAATCTAGGTCAGATTAAATCGAACTGAAGTAGAGACATAAAAATTGGTCTTCATGGCTGCATTATTTATCTAAAACTAATAAGTAGTTAACAAACCAAGTGGATGTCCATAAATTCTGCAATATTTTCAATTCTAAACTGCAGTTGTTTGCTGGTTTTTTTTTCGTTGCAATTTTAACTAAATATAAGTACTACAACCGTGCATGATATTAAGTAGTATGATAATTTTTCTTTTCTGTGTGAATATAAAAGATTCTAGTTCTAAAAAAAATGCATATATAAAGAAAATACATAACAATGTTTCATGCGTGGGGAATACACCAAAAGACATTAATTTACAAGACTGCCTGTTCCCGGCGTTAATATTTAAAAAAAACAACGTGACTCCGCTTCTGATTATTTGTAATAAAAAGATTTTTTATTTCAATCAAAGAGTAAGAAATGAAATTTCATTTGCAAAGTAGTCTCGGTAAACCTTTGTATGAAACATACATATATTATAAATAATAAACAGGCCATTGATATAAATGTTTTCATTGGATGATAATATAGTGCTGTGCTCCTCCCAATTTTAAGGTAATAATCATTTCATGGTTGAGCTAGCAAGGAAGCTAACCAAATATTCTACCTTTAGCTACACACTCGTTGGAATCTGCTGTAAACAGTTTTGATTATTAAGTTTAACATTCAGCCTTTTATAATAGGGTTTCTGATGATAACCAAAATATTTTCCATGCCTATTTACAAATGTATTTAAATTTTTTTCAGCTCTCTTTCACTTATTGACAACCTGGTTCCAAAGGACAAAATACAGATTCTACTATTTATTTTTTCATCTTTTACAGTGTTTCAAATACTACCAGACATAGTTTAAGCCTAAATAATGAAGTCCATATTATACATCCTTACCCTCTCACAAGTCAAACATTGAACTGAACTGAGTATTCTGCCATCAAATATATCTGATATTACACTCTGATATTGTATGTTTTTCCGCTTCCCTACAAAAAACATTAAATATATATTTGATGGTTGTCACTTTAAATGTATTTTATATGAAAAATATCCCTCAAAAAGATTTCTATTGCATTTTATGGTTTCATTTGCTTCAAGTACTGAACTACAAGTATTTTTTTTCCACTTTGGAAAACTAAATTTTTGAAGACTTTAATGTATCCTGGCTCTCAATTTAGAACAGTTTACAAAATGAGATAAAAATGTGCAATACTCTTGTATCTTCAAAAGACTACATAGTATAAAATTATTTTAATTAGTTTTACAAACTCCAATTTTGTGATTGAGACGAAGAAATTGTAAAGATTCCTCATTGATTTATTTCAATACAATACTTCACCTCTTCTTGGAACAGAATTCATTTTTGACAGGTCTGGATCACTTTTGTGTTGTATCCAAGGTGATCTGACTTCCTGACATCTATCTGCACTGCTTTCCACTTCTTCATTTTTTGTCATGGCTATCCTTTCATTAGTAAAATCTTTTTTCTCTTTATTAGACTTATGGCTGTCATCAATAGAACATTCATCATTATTTTTTCCAGTTTTTGGTTTAGGACTAGCTTTAATTTTACTTGAATTGTTACTTGTATCTAATGTTTCAATACTAGCAGAATTTTCATTTGAAGATGCTGTGTTACCGCTAGCAACAGAATCACATGTTTCGTAGAACTCATCTGATTGGCTGCTATTTGAGGAGTCAACTGACATCTGTCTATCATGTCTTAGAAATGAAGTTCTGGTCTGAAATTTTTCTTCATGGTCACTTTGAAGTTCTTTGTCACTTTGTTCCTCTATGTCTAACTCAGTAAGAGGAAGGGGTTGCTTTAATTCTTCATGAATTTGATCCATAAAACACCTTAAAAACTCTTGTGCATCCTGAAATGCATATATACATTTTTGTAAATAATTTAACATTGCTGTTATGTTTATATACTTCTTATAGTGACAGATGAACTATAATAAAACATACATTTTTTATCATTGTTGAATTAACATGGGTTTTTCTCATTGTTGAAGGCCATACAGATGCCTATAATTGCTTACATCCACTTCATTTGAACTTTGGTGGATAGTTGTATCATTGTCAATCATACCACCTCTTCCTATTTTTATATAACATTCACCTTCATGGCAAAAATTTAATCTCTGAATTCTTTCAAAGTTAATAAAATGACCTTAATCTTTATTTTTCACAATTATTAAGACACAAATTAAGAAATGGATATAGGTAGTCACATACAAATGTTTGCATAAAGGTGATAACGTCAAATCTATAAACAGAACTCATGTACTGATTCTGATTCGGAGCCATTTTTCCATTCATATTTATGTTAGATTCTATATATTAAATACACAATAGTTTATAGATGAAATTCTAAGAGAATGTTAAAAACAGACACATAAAACCAACCTGTTGTGAATAACCTCGAAACATTGGATGAACTATCTTGATACCATTTACTACACCACTGGGAATGGTGTAACTTGGTCTAAAATCAAAATTTATTCTATGTGTCAAGCTATTTTAGTTACACATAACTGGTAAATAGGTTCTTACAGCAGAAGACCAAAAAAAATCAATAATACCTTACAGGTAAGTGTGTTAAAAAACAAAATTCTTTTCCAAAGAGAAGCCCAGCATAATGCAGGCAAACTAATTTACATGTCTTATATGAGTCTGTGTTCTGTCCAGGATGCATATTTGAATATTTCATGCAACTTTTATCAATATCAACTATAAAAATTTACTAATTGTGTATATAATGGATATTTTTACCGCAGTAGTGTTGTTAATATTACAATAATGTTTGTAGATAATGTGGCAAAAGCCAATTACCGTCTCAGGAGCGTTTGTGTGTGTTTCTTTCTGAGGAGTTCTCGTCCATATGTATAACTTCATGTCAGTTGCTGTTTCAAGTTTTTACAGTTCATGAAGTTGCTGGTCATTTGAATAAAAAGTGAATGCTTAACATTTTGAATTTTCAACATTACCATAATTTTTGTAGTTAGAGGGGTAAAAGCCGTTTACTTTCTTATGAGTGATTTTGTTTTGTTTCTATAAATCCAAGTATTCTGTTCTTAGGACTTATCGTCCATATGTATTATGGTGCTCTGGCTGTTGGAGAATCATATTCACAGTATATTACAAATACAAACAACATGGCAAAGGCAAGAAACCGAAAATTCACAGATTTCATGTCAGTAATTACTTTCAGTTTTTTAAGTTCACAAAGTTGCTGTTTATTTGAAAACAGAGACACTCCTATTTAGTAATGATATACCTTGATACATCATATAGTTTACTGTTTCAACTTGAGTGTATTCTTGGTGTAAAACATTCACCCAGTGACATAGGATTGGTCACATGAGAGGATTTCCCACATCAATTGCAAAAGCTGGGTAGAACACTGTAAGTGCAGCTATCCATATAACAAGTAATAATGTTATTTTATACTGTTTTTGCTTTAATACACAAACCCATACAATAGTTACATGGGTATGTATTTTAACAATATTAAACTCCTTTTGCTCAGCAGCTCTGTTACTTCTAGGTATTGGTAAAAAGAAGGTCTTCGATAGACTTGGATAATTTGTTTATATCTACAAGGTTTGAATAAAAGAGATAATAGTTTTTACACAAACTCATCAAAGATATGTATTTTAGGTATACCTCCTTTTGCTCCACAGCTCTGTTACCAGTTTTAGGTATTGTTTAGATAACATAGGAGACTTTTCTGGTTTAATAAATCCTTGACAGTCTAGGAAGAATCTTGTTAGAGGAGGACTGAAATAAAAAAAGAATAGTATTTACTAAATGCTTCATTAAATTAGCCTCAATAATTTCTTCCGCATATATTATAAATGGGGAATGTTTCCATGGGACACAGATGATGCTCCCTCTTGCATATAACATTATAAAGGGACATAACTCTAGAAAGGAAAAAGTAAGGGCACCTAAATTCAAACTTGATCTTTGTTTTGTGGTAATAAGCATCATGTATAAGTTTCATAATATTTGGTTGAGGCAAACTATAGTTAGAGAATGGTAACCAATTTGGGACGTACAGCGGGGGCATAAATATTGAATTTACAAGCAAATTTTAACATAGTCCATCATTTAATTTTATTGTTTTCAAGGGATTACTTAAGAAAGTAAAATAATTATTTTGTATATTAAATGAATTATACACTAGCAATATTCCCTAGTATTGTACCTTCTTATTTTGGAGAATAAGAACAATTTTGTTCACCAAACTAGCTTATTATGCTAACTTTCTAATTTTAACACGACAAAGGACAAATGTACAAACAAATGTAAATTTTGACTCATACAAATTTTGTGAATACATACCAGTTGGATAATGCTTGCACAGCTGCGTTCAAATAACAGGTGTTACCTAAATTCTTCAGGCCAGTCAAACCTGTATTTAAAAGAGATCAAAAATTGTTGATCATGCTAAGTTTTCTAAGGAGCAACTAACTATTATCCTTTTGGGATTTTGAACCTTTGAAATAAAGAAAAACAGTTCTGACCCAATAGGGATTAAAGATGCTGATGTCTCATAGTATCACATTAGTCTGAGGTAAACACTGATCAGGTCAGTTTCCAGTTATAGTTACAAGAACCAACTGTCAGTCCAAAGCCAGGGATTCAAAAGAAATTGAGCCAACAGGACATTTGTTTCCAATCCTTGTTTAACCTCTTTGGCTTTTGTAACTTAAGTAAAAGCATTCACGCATGATGGTAACCATGAAGGGGATCAACGGTAAGGAGTTTGGTCAAAACATCTGAAAACGGACACTTCATATTTTGATGTTTATTACATTTACTGACAGTAACTCTTGCATTTAAATAGGTTCAGTTAAACGAAGTGATACCCTTGAAACGCAATTGAAATGAATTGGGGCTTAGGAGTGTGCTTTACTCTTTATTACAGCAAAATGCCTTGAGTGTGTAGGTAAAGGTAATATCTTTGGCTAGCTTGCTTGCTAGCTGAACCGTGAAATCATTATAAGGTTAACTATACTACCCTCCTTTCGGAGTATTCTAGTCCTATAGACAGATAGATTGGTTATCTGTCGGACTAGTCTACTCTTAAAGGAGGGTAGTACATGTATACCTAACCTAATAATGACTTCACTGTTCAGCTAGCAAGCAAGCTAACCAAAGATATTACCTTTACCTTCACACTCAAGGCATTTTGCTGTAATTCAACAATCTGATGAGAAAGTTTATATAATTACTGACACTGACACATGTGTTCATAATACCAGATGTTGATTTGACTGCGATAAAGCTTGGAACAGAGAAGTATTATGTAAAATCCATGAACGATGTATGTATTTTTGTTGTACCCAAAAATCTTTGTATCTTTCTTGTTTTTTCAAATAAATTCTAGAGAGAAACATATAAAAAGTAGTTATACAACGTACCTACAGGCACTCGCACACAGGTACATTTGTAAACTATGTAGTTCTGATGTTTTGAAATTATTCTGACCAAAAAGATATATTACCCCTAGGTCTGCCGTTATCACCCTCATCATCCGATTCAGTTTCATCACCACCTGATAAACTTCTCTGAGGCGAACTATTGACAGAATTAAATTCCTGTCTGACATCATCCAGTTTTTTCTTCTTTAACATGCTAGCTGAATTTTCAGGAATTCTACAAATATAAACAATTAAATAATAAAATGCTCCGCAGGGTGCAGCTTGATACGACCGCAGAGGTCGAACCCTGAACAGTTGGGGCAAGTATGGACACAACATTCAAGCTTGATACAGCTTTGCATTTGGATTGTGATTAAATATTTGACACAGCATAGGTTTCTGACACAGAATGAATGTGGTCTAAGAACTTAAAAATTTTAAATTGGACATTCACCTATTATGGTCCAATATCCAAAATCTAAATACATGGTTAGATTCAGTATATCAAAGAACCCTACGAATTCAATTTTTGTTAAAACCAAACTAAGTTTAATTTTGGACCCTTTGGACCTTAATGTAGACTTATTTGAAAACGGAACCAAAAATTAAGAATCTAAATACACGGTTAGATTCGGCATATCAAAGAGCCCCAATAATTCAATTTTTTATGAAATCAAACAAAGTTTAATTTTGGACCCTTTGGACCTCAATGTGGACCAATTTAAAAACGGGGCCCAAAATCCAAAAACTAAATACACGGTTAGATTCAGCATATTAAAGAACCCCAAGAATTCAAGAATAAAACCCCATTGAAATTGGTCAAGAAATAAGCAATTTATACGAAGTATCTTCATTTGCAATTCACAATACTGTGCAATTAAATATTTCTTGCTATTGCGCAATACTGTACAATTGACAATTTCTTGCTATTGCGCAATATTGTGCTATTGGATATTTCTTGCTATTGTGCAATACTGTGCAATTGAAAATTTCTTGCTATTGCACAATACTTATTATATAATAATTTACACATCCTGTTTGGTGTGTATCTCCTACCATATCATTATTATTTGCTTTTAAATAAAAATCAGAAATAACCAACTTAAAATGGAAAATTTTAAAAGAAAATATAGGAAAAAAAGAAAAAAAAAAATCCCCCCCTCCCCAAATTTTTTGAACCCCCTTATGATTCATCACACCCAAACTCAATCCCAGCCTTCCCTTTGTGGTATGGTACCTTGCAGTACAATTTCAGAGAGATCCATACACTTACACACAAGTTATTGTCTGGAAACTAGAAAAATGTGTTTTTTGGCCCCTTTTTGGCCCCAAATTCCTAAAATATTGAGGCAATTACCCCCATCATCAATCCCAGCCTTCCCTTTGTGGTATGGTACCTTGCAGTACAATTTCAGAGAGATCCATACACTTGAACACAAGTAATTGTCTGGAAACTAGAAAAATGCTTATTTTTGGCCCCTTTTTGGCCCCCAATTCCTAAACGTTTCGGCAATTACCCCCAAACTCAATTCCAGCTTTCCCTTTGTGATATGGAACCTTGTAGTACAATTTCAGAAAGATCCATACACTTACACACAAGTTATTGTCATGAAACTAGAAAAATGCTTATTTTTTGCCCCTTTTTTGGCCCCTAATTCCTAAAATTTTGAGGCAATTACCCCCAAAATCAATCCCAGCATTCCTTTTGTGATATGGAACCTTGTGGTACAATGTCAGAGAGATCCATACACTAGCACACAAGTTATGTCTGGAAGTTACAAAAATGCTTATTTTTGGCCCCTTTTTGGCCCCTAATTCCTTTACTGTTGGTACCATAACCCCCAAAATCAATCCCAACTTTCCTTTTGTGGTATTGAACCTTGTGGTAAAATTTCATAGAGATCCATTCACTTAAACTAAAGTTAGAGTGCGAAAACTAATGTGTCTTCGGACGACGCCAGATGACGACGACGCCAACGTCATACCAATATACGACCACAAAAATTTTTTTGCGGTCGTATAAAAATGAAAGGGATAAAGCTTGAACTTCTTGACCTTTTTTAAATCTTAAATCAAACATTAAATGGTAACCCTGTGTACAAACAATTTGATATTATGTTCATTCTTGAAATTCATATGAAGGTATGCCAAAGGTTGTGTTCAAAAAGTAAAATAACAAAAATACAGAACTCCAAGGAAAATTCAAAACGGAATGTCCCTTATCCAATGGCAAAATCAAAAGCTCAAACACATCAAGTTTATTGGCTTATTCCTCAATTCAATTTATATAACATTTTGGCATGCAAGATGTGCATTTGAAGCCAATAGTAGAAGATCTTTCAAATGAGTATTATTACAGTAGTATTTTCATGTGAATCAATGTTATTTTTTTATAGCACTGGGACAGAAGTAACCTTCTAAAAACTTGATCTTGTTCAATACAGAAGCTTCAACATACATGTATGTCTATACTCACACAAAACTTGGGATATTCTTGTCATGGAGGACTTCTGCTTCACATTCATAACACCATACTCTCATAGAACTTAAATTTATAGTCAAACTGTGTTTCTTATCCTGAAAATTAAAAATATTTACATTAGTTTTCTATTTTTATCTTGCTGTTATATTAACAATTGCAGATTTTGTAATGTGTATGGGACCAGGCGAGTTAAAAATGTTTCTTGAAAGACATCTGTCACTTCCAGCAGCCATATTCTTGATATTTCAGAGACGACTATTTCAGGCATCCCTAAATCTGCTAACAAAATACACATGTAATTGCTCAATTTCTAGAATTAACTCTAAACCATAGTCAGTTGTACATAAAAAAAGAGTGAGATTGAACCAATCTTATCATGAAGGTTTCATATTGTTATCTGAAAATGAAAATCTTAAATGTACAATTACTGAACAACAGACAGTAAAAGATCATGAAGGCTTTGCAATGTGAGATTAAAATGAAAATACTAAGATACTGTTCAATATATTTTCTAAATTTAAAGCACAGAGAGGTTTATTTGTATAAAGATAATTAAACACAACCTTAGCATGGGCAGAACTGTGATCTTTAGATGATTCTCCACAACCAATGTTTTGACATGCTCCAACTAAGCACAGCCATAGATTGCTGACTTTCACACCACAGGTAAAACATTCTTGTTGGGTCTACAAATACAACAGAATTGTATTGAAATTAACATCATATTTTGTATTTAGTGTTAGGAACATAACATATCACTTGAAATAAAGAGCTCACCACATACAACAAGATAAGTTCAAATTTCTCACTAAGATGAGTCAAGGACTCGTGAAAATTAGACTGAACATGCCATTTTCTAAACCGTTGATAGTTATATGAAAGACCTGTATAATATCCACGGTCTCTTTCTGGAGGATTTTGGAAAAAGCAACCAAATCATAAACTAAAAAAATTTTGTTTACATAGATGAAAACAAAATTCTTAAATACGGTAACATAATTATGTACAATTTTATATTTTGTGTTCCTCTTCATTGATACAATGTAACTGGCATATTGTTTAAACAAAGTGCCATTTTGGTCTCTTTAGCCACTTATAGATAACTACATGTATGACAAAATACTTCTGAAATATTCTCAGACAACCAGGAAGATGGGGTTCAGGTTTGTCTGCACTTTATACATGTTATAATTTAAATCATATACAATATATGACAATTGTTAAGAGAAAAAAGGTGCCCCCCTATTTTATCATCGTTATTTTTCGTGGAATAGCCCTCACTAACATACTATGTACCATGCATTTCAAAATAATAAAGTCACTTAAAATGCAGAAAAACTTTGGAAAAGAATACACTCAAACATAGATATGGCGGACCTTTATTGATTTCGTTTTTGGAGCTCCGTACAAACAGCTAAACAGCAAAAATAAAAATAAATAATTACAATTATAATTTACCAGACTGTAACAAGTAACAAGACATAATATTTTAGGGGTCTAGCTAATTTCAAATGGTATGCTAGTAATATCAAACAAATCCATTTCCATTTTAGGCCTTGCTACCATGGCAATAGCTACATGTACATGTATTTTGCTCCTTATTAAGCTTACCTTGCTTTTCTTTCTAAGTTCCTCCCATGTAACACTATCAACTGAAACCACATGTGGACATCTTGACATTTTGCTAGACATATTCCTAAAAGATTAAAATTTTCACAATAAGAAAAACAAGACTATATTTACCTACAAAAAATGTATATGTATGCTACTGTACAAAGGATGAAAAAACGATACCTCTACTAGCAAGTACCTATATTTAATACAAAGTCACTACTGGAATATGAGTGAAAACTGCTGAAATCCTGGGTTATTGGATGACCCAGGCAGGTACATGTATTAAATAAACTGTTATCACAGAGATATGTCTCGCCCTTTTGTAATTTTGATTATGCAAATGTTGAAATTAAAATAGCAATGCTTTCACATGTTTCATAAGTTATGCAAATATTCAAAGTCAATGAACCATGACTGAGGTACATGGCTAAACAATCTCCATGCAAATGAGATGTGCCAAAGCTAATACAGCTGCATACCAAATACCATTGACTTATTATAAGTCGTTCCCTTTAAACAAACCTAAACACAAACATTAACTTGTAAACTATGTAAAAGTTTCAAAGTCAATGAACCATGAAGAAGGGTGGGGCTATATAATCTCCATGGAAACGATACTTGCAAATGCCAATAAATTTGCATACCAAATATTGTTGACTTAACATTAGCAGTTCATCTTAAACTGATCTAATCACAAACTAATACATGTAAACTAAGCAAAAGTTTCTAAGTCAATAGACCATGACTAAGGGGACGGAGCCAAATAATCTCCATGGAAATGAGATGTGCCAATTCTAATACAACTGCATACCAAATAAGATTGACCTACCACTTGTGGTTCACCATAAACTAGACCTTATCACAAACTAATACATTGTTGACGATGCCAGAAACAGCGTACCTATGTCTCGATTTTTGACTCCGTCAAGGCGAGACAAAAATCTATGTTGAGCTCTTAAATTCATAGATTTGACCCACAAAAAAGGGTCAATAGACAGGTATGCCCTCTTCACACCATTTGAGTTGTTTTGATACACAATGGAATATTTTCTTTGATTGATTTTCTCTGTATTGCAATAGAATGCTTATTTATATAGTAAAAAGACATCCCACTGCCAGGTTTTCAAGAATGTTGTTTTAACAAATTAAATCCATGTATAGATAACTTAATTTTATCTTATTGCACTGAAAAAGGCTGTCACGCATTATATCCCTCATTAGTGTATCTTGAAAGTGGGACATCTCTCACTCTGTAGCTCCAAAATGTTTGCAGAGTTATCTCTCTTGGACATCCATTTTTTATTACAAAACATCATGTATTTGTTCAGGTAAAAAGTCAAATTTGCTTCTCTTCTTGGCTTTCTTTTGACAAAATTGCTCTAATAGAGTGTGTTCTTGTCTGTGCTTTTAAGTTGACTTTCTTAATTGACTTATTTATTAAATTACAATTTCATGAGCAAAAAATTGCCTATTCACAAGTCTCCAGAGCACAATTTTTAAAGCCAGAAGGCCTTTCTAGTTACATGAGTTACTTTGCATCTGTGTGATGTAGATTTCTTTGCACACTTTTAACAATAAGACCAAAGGTTGAACTACAATTAATGAATTAGAATGGAAATCAGAAGCTAAATGAAGATTTTTCAAAAATTGAAAAGATCATTCAAATCTGAAAAATTTACTTATACATGTACAAGTAAATATTACTTGCATATTCACACATGTAAAAATAGCTTGTAAAAGTACTTTTTGTGTCTTTTGTTTATATGTTACAAACTGTTTGTAACAATGTTTGACACATTTTGTTGTCTTTTGTGCTCCATACCAACTGTATAGTTAAGCCATTTCCAACTGATTTTTAAAGTTTGTAATGCTGTTGTACCACTGTCCTAGACAAACAATGTTTAACCCTGCCACATTCTTATTTCTTTATGCTAGTCTGAGGTCAGGAGCCTGTAATTCAGTGGTTTAGTTTTTCAGGCCATTGATTTTTTTTCGGATTGGACTAAATGCTTACCCAAGTGATATTACACTGCTACTTTTGCATAGGTACTATTTCTGTACTAATAATCTGTAGTACTGGAAATTTACTTTTAATATTAAGTACTATTTCTTTACTTTGAAATTCTTGTAATATTAAGGTACCTGAATTTTACAGTACTTGATTTGTACTTGAAATTTTTGGTACAGAAGTAATACCAACAGTGATAACAATATTCCATGTTTGAAAATCATAACTTTAAGAGATTTGAAATAGACAAACTTTCAAAATGCTGAAAATGTAATGGTGTAACCAAAATTTTTTAGTACTTAAATTTCAAGTACATATCAAGTACTGTAAAATACAGGTACCTAAGTATTACAATAATTTTAAAGTAACAAAATAGTACTGAATATTAAAAGTAGATTTTCAGTACTATAGATTTTTGGTACAGAAATAGTACCTATGCAAAAGTAGCTGTGTAAATGTATAATACAAGATCTTACACAAATTGTGTGTGGGTAGGATATCAATGTTAATATGTGCACACTCAGTGTTCCAGCTAGGATTTCAAAAGGGCAGGGTGCCAATCCTGAAAAAGGGCATTTAACATAAGGGTGATATGATAATATGAAAAGGGCATGTTTTAATAAAGATATTAATCAAACATTGTCTTTTTTCATTGAATCACTGGTTTTATATATATACAAGTACAACATGAATACAAATTATAAATGTACATTACTGAATGATTAGCCCAGATAAAATTCTATCTTTCTACTTTTATGCTGAAAAACTTGTCAAGCACCTTGTCACACAAGTTTTCAAAGCATTGCTTGTCACAGTTTAGCTTTGTATGCAGTATGTTTTGCAAGGTGTCCTGCTTCATTCTGTTTCTATGGTCACACTTTACAAGTTTTACCTGGGAAAAGACCCTTTCTACCTCTGCTGTGCTTCAATACAGCAGCTGTGCTCAGTAAATGCACAATGTTAGGATATAGTGTAGTTAAACCTAATTTATCATTTAATAGGAATTTCAGACAAGTCATGATTGTTCTATCTTGACTGCATTTGTCCCCTATAAGTTCACAAAAAGATGTCCATTCATTTAATAGAATGTCATCTTCAATGCCAAAATGTGCAGACAGTTCCTGTAGCTCAGCAACAGCATATGTCTCTGGTACCTCTGCCATCGTGGATGTGTCAAACAGAGTATTCCGATTTCTGAAAAAATATTTTTTCTCTTTTTCAGAAATTAGAAAGATCGATTTGAAACATCAAAAAGGTTTTAAAAAATCTCTATTTTTTTTTCAATTATCATCGTACGTTTCCCAGGAGTATTGTTAGAAAGATGCATTTGAAAAATCGAAAAACGTTAAAAAAATTCTCAAAGTTTTTCTTCAATTATCAAATATTCACATTAGGAACTGTCAAAATTGAAAATATATAACATAGAAGACTCACGTAGTACTAAAAAAGTCGACCAAACTTATGTTAGTCTCTTTAGATTTTTTAATTTCCTCTTGTAAATGTCTTTCACGCTTGGGCATTGTGATTGGAATAAGACAAGAAACACAAACTCATAATGTTATATAGATTTTTATTTAATGAGTTTAAATCATCGTTAATTAATGTGTACTGATCAGCTGTTAACGACAGGTAAACATATTTTTACCTATTTATATAGTGTTGACAAGGAAGTTTAATTTCGTAATGGCAGATCATAACAAAACGAACAAAATAAAATACAATCAATCTTCAAAAAGGCAGGGTGCCATGAAAAAGGCAAAGGGCGCCCTGGAAACTGTAAAAAGGGCAAAGGGCGCCACTCTAAAAAGGGCAGGCGCCTCACCCTCTGAAAACGGCCTAGCTGGAACACTGACAATAAATGCTGAATGGTGGAGGGAGTAAAACAGCACTGTACAAAGATCTAGAGATAGCACTGGATCTACACATGAAAAGCTTTCATGTCGATCCGGCCCAAGTCGATCCGTCCCACGTCGATCCGGCCCTTATTTAAAGTCGATCCGGCCCCAATAAAAAAATATATTTATAAGGAATAAAAATAAAGATATATATTAATTGTAATTCATAAATGTTTATGAATTTTATTATAATGTAAAAGGTGTACGGTAAAAAAAATGGCCTTTGACAAATATTTTCTTTAGATGAGTATAAAACAAGTAGGTTGATTATGTTTTCATTACAAGTTTTCAAGATTATTGGGTATAATTATAATAAAAACGTATATAACAGAATTTAGTACAATCAACAGACATCAACATTAATCAGCAGTAATTATCATTTTCTTTCAATTGACTGTGATCTTAACAAGTCTTTCATCATTTGTTTTTCAGTGTTGAATAAACAAACCAATTATAGACTAATGATTTGATGAAACAAGTCATTATATTATGAGTTAAATTTTATAGGTTCCATTGGACTGTTAATATTTATTTAGCTATTATGTGTGTGAATTGAATAAAATAAAAATCGCCATGACATTCAAAGTTATCATGGAAAATAACTTCATATTAAAATGTTGAAGCTGCTATACAAACAGACACAATCACACTCAGTTTCGTATCGATTTAAAATAATTCTTTGACTGGTACACCAATACTTCACTTACCTGTTGTCATCCATCATCGATACTTTTTGCAAAATCCATTTATACTGTTAAAATCCTCCAAAGTCAATATAGTTTATTCATATTTTATTATGGGGCCGGATCGACTTTGGGCCGGATCGACGTGGGCCGGATCGACTTGGGACGGATCGACTTTGGGCCGGATCGACTTGGGGCCGGATCGGTTTGGGGACGGAACGACCGGATACCACATGAAAATATGGTTCCTGTACAAACAGATGTCAAATGGCGGAAGGAGTACCAGCTCTGTACATAATGAGAGCATCTGTTCTACATATGAAAATATGGTTCCTCTATAAAGGAGGTTAAAGATAAGCTAGATTAGATTAGAAAAGCGATAAGGTGTAGTATCGGAATAAATGTCGATAAGGTCTATCTATATATGGCAAAAGTTACTGATTTTTTAAATTATAGTTTTTGTATCAAAAGCCATAATTTGTAAAATGTAAATAAATTGTTTGCCTTAGTAATAAGATTTAAAAACTAGTTTCAAGTTTGTATTTAAAAAAAATTTTATAGTTATTTATACGGACTTCGTCCTCTGTCACAGGTAACACCTGCCTCATATTATAACAATTTCATTCATTTATCAAAGAAATTAAAGTCTTTCATATTGATAGCACAAACAGATTTTATCCTTATTATGTCTTGCATTTAAAATTTGTACGTACAAGTCTTATTATATGTCAGTTATCTTCCTCTAAAGTCATGCCGGAAATATGGCAAAGGCAGATAACTCTACTGACAAATTTGTACAAAAGGCGTGCTTGAACAGTTTTTGTGATTAATCAATAAATGATCAATTTTGCACCTACATCAATAAAAAAGCTCAATTACAAAAATTTTACACACAATTAATTTTTTTTTTTTTTTTTTTTTTTTTATGAATATAAATGAATATTTGTTTTACCAAAAAAGTCGAGCACGTCTTAATATCCTTTTGGATTTCTCGGACTTTACCCATTTCCGAAGCGTGCCACATTGCAGACAACATGTCGTGCCACACTGCCTTACACAGTGGCTATCACCATCAGGTTTTGCGGTCATGGCAACAGACAAACACATCCTTAACTGCCGATAATCTAATTTATCCATTATTTATAACGTAATCTTCCATATTTCATTAAGTTCTTAATGAGTTTATTTTTAAAATAGTTTAATTTTATAAATCTTATATTTTTTTTGTACAAATGAACAATAACTTATTACTATATGATTATTCAATTGATTGTTAGTGTTTTACAGTCAAACAACCTACACAAGTTAGAATGATTCGAAATTACTAATATTAAGGGACAGACTTTGAACCCCTGCTATTGACGGAATATTTAGCATTATTGTCAGATCATCATATGAATTTATACTATGCATGCTTGTTCAATGGAAATTGTGACATCACAATGCATTCTAAATAGCACGCAAACCCATAATACGAGGATATATATATATAATATAAGACTTACATGAAATCAGGGTTCAAAAGCAAATCTGGACATGATCAATTTTATTTAGATAAAGTTCAACGAACGACCTTCCTGGACAAACAGAACTACCTGCCACCATAGTATTTATGTGAGAGAAAATTTTCTAAAATTTTGAAACACCAAAAAGAGTCTGGCTTTGACTCTGGTAAATTTACCACATTGTATAGATTACAAACCAGCTTTCAACGAGAAGCCTATTTAAGTATAATAGATTTTAGATAGCATAATATTAAAACTAAGTTTAGACTTAGTGGCCACCTACTTCATATTGAAACTGGGCACTATGGAAAAGGAAAATAAATGAAAAGTTAGTACCCCTTAGAGGAGCAGATAGATTATGCACTCATTGTATATTATCTAAAGATGAAGGTCACTCTGGCTTCCACCACCAATAAAAACTGACGGCCAAGATATAGCCAATAGTGCTGAAAGTAGTGTAAAACACCAATCAATCTAAAGTTGAGGATGAATAACATTTTCTGCTTGAATGTCCACTCTATGCCAATGAAAAACAAAAACTGACTACTGAAATTGGTCATTTATGTCAAAACAATTTATGGTTAGTAATGGAAAAAATTTGATTGGGTCCTCACTAATGAAGATGAATTAAACCATTTTATGTATACTTTCAAATTTTATGCAAACTAGTATGGTGAACTATAGTTGTAAACTTCTATGTCATTTGGTCTCTGGTGGAGAGTTGTCTCATTGGCAATCATACCACATCTTCTTGTTTTTATAGCTATGAAATGAGAAACAAAGACATTCCTTAATATATATTCACATATTATTTCTGTAAACATTTGTATTCTGACAATAGACATCATACAAAGGATTTAGATTGTACATTAACCTTTCAGTATACTTATTAAAAAATATCATGTGTCACAACATAGTTTATCTTACATGTCTTATTGCTATCTTTATTTGGATCATTCTATCTTATCACATGTATGTATCTTTATGCCCCACAAAGGCTCCAAATTGGAAATGTTTAATGTTTTATGTACACCATCACATACACTATAACAGGCTGATCTTCTGTGTACAGCTTCTTAAGAGAATACATACAGTAATTAGAATATTTTTCACAATTTTCCTTCTCTACAGATTGACTTCTTCTGAATTGGCTGATAGAAAATAGTTTGTGCCCTGAAAAATCATAATCTTACTGTTCTGTAGTAATTCTCTCTTTATAACATTATCAAACTGGTTACTCTTATACACTGATTTTTGCTTTGAACTAGCAAGTACTCTGACGTTGCAAAAAAATATCAGAAAGATAAGGTTCATTTAATCATTATTATAAATCGGTAATATATTTGCAGAGATGATGATGACACAATACAAGAAATTACCAGCATGCCTGGCCAATCAAGATATGGTGTCAACACACTCAAGAATGCCTTAGAACCACTAGTAGCTAAAGGCCTTAAAACTGTGCTGATATTTGGAGTTCCAAGTAAATTGCCAAAGGTATGGATACTCCATCTACTCAGGTCATCATTCCATGAATCTACTTTATCGTTTCAGATTAACTGAATTGTAAAGCTGAGCACCACTTTCATGACTTTTAAGATATATAATGAATAAGGAGATGTGTTATGATTACCAATGAGACAACTAACCAACAGAGCCCAGACAGAGCAGATTTAAGCAGCTATAGGTCACTGTATGGCCTTCAACAATGTGCAAAAACCATTACTGTATAGTCAGCAATAAAATGCCCGGACATGACAATGTGAAACAATTTTAAATAAAAAACCAACAACCTGATTTATTACAAAACAATAAAGAAAAAACAAGTATGACAAACAGGAACCAACGACAACCACTGTCTTTGGACAGGAACATATAGAATGATTTGATTTGATTTGATTTTTGGTGTTTTAACGCCACTTTTAAGCACCGCTTTTGGGCTATTTCGTGGCAGCCAGTTTTTATTGGTGGAGGAAGCCGGAGTGCCCGGAGAAAACCACCGACCTTCCATAACAATCCTAGTCAATTAAGATTGGAGTCGAGTGCACCCGCACGAGCGTGGTTCGAACTCACAACCTCAGTGTTGACTGGCTAGTGATTACAGTAGTAACTACTTAGACCACTCGGCCACCAAGGCCCCCATATAGAATGTTTGTGTAGTTTTGTAACCTGCAATTTATCATGTATATAAACTAGTTAAATTAGAAAACAACCCAAAAGCAAAAAAGGTTACCAAAAATCATCCAACATGCTTTCTTTTTCCAGTAGCAGTCAAAATCTTCCCTTTCATTCCGAATATGCTCTAGATATTTGCCACTGATTGTAAAGTAAACAACAATTGGTCAACAATGTATAAAGTCAAGATTTTAAATGTGTTGCTTTGTCCTACCGATTCTCATACATGGTTTTGTAGGAGTGTACTTGTATATATAACTTTCTATTAAGGATAAATAAAGTTGAAAATATAATAGTGTCTTTCGATTCTCTGTGAGTCTTTTGTTTTGATTTTAATTCTTGGCTAGATTTAAAATGAAAATGATATTCGTTCAAGAGGGAGGTTTGGCATGCATTACAATCTGGTTTAACCCACATCATTCATTTGCAAAGTTTATATCAAGTCTGGACAACGACAATCTAATCCCTATTTTCTACTGTGGATTGTTTTAGCCTTTTTCGGTGGCTAGTATATGTATGGAATTTTTTCTTTAATTGACCATAGAGTTTATACAAAATAAGGAAATTTGGTGGTATGATTGTCAATGAGACAAGTATCCAACAGAGTCCAAGTGAAGTGGCTTTAAAGAACTATTTAATTACTGTAAATTCAGAAATTATTGCGTGCATTTATTATTGCGATTTTCCAAATAAGGACAAAAATGCGAGTTTGATTATTGCGATTTCGAAAACAACTGCATACAGGTCTACGTTTCAGTAATCAAAATGCGAGTTCTTATTATTGCGATACTCACCGAGTCGCATTATTCGCATTAATAAAAACCTCGCAATAATTTCTGAATTTACAGTATTCCCTATTATTATTAAACATAAAATTTCTGAATGATAAAAGACTCCCTAGACAGGACTATTCGTGAGATGACCTGTGATAGACCCATAATGTAGGGGATTAAACTTTTGTATGTACTAAACACTCCTATTATTATCTCAATTTGAAAGAGAAAAAGTTATAAGGTAAAAAATGCTAAAATAAAATTGTTTCCAGATACAGCATGCAAATTGTTCCAATGATATATGTATTACAGACAACAGCAACACTGCTGTGTCATTAACTGTAAAAAATAATATCTTATCAAAGTATGCTTGCAGTTTATACTAAAGTCAAGCTAAAATGATAAACTGAATGTTTATTTGAAGGATGATACTGGTTCTAGTGCAGATTGTTCAAATACACCAGCCATCATAGCTACAAGAAAACTTAGAGAATGGTTTCCTAGTCTAATGGTAGCATGTGATGTGTGCCTTTGTCCATACACCAGTCATGGACATTGTGGTATGTTAAAAGAGCATAGAATTGATTTTATTCAGTTGTTCTGATCCCAAAATAAAACAATTTAAGAAGTGTATTTAAATCTAATCATTTGATAGACGAGGGATGATTGTCTCCCCTGACTCACTGTGAGACATAATAATGTATGAATTAGTGTTATATGATCTCTTTGTTTGAATATAATTGATTTAAACAAAGAAATCTTTAAATTGTAAACCAGCACTTCACTTCTATTAAAATCTTTCCTGATTCAGTGTCAGCCATGGGTATATGTAATTTTGTTAAAGGTAAAAAATAAGTACAGATATTTTCATCATAAATTTCAAAGCAAGCCAATAAAATGAATGCTTATGAATTTTCTAGACAATTTTGAGCAATGGACAATTTTTTGCACTTTTTTGAAATGGATCAGATATTCCCCTGGTTGGTATGAAAAAAAAAGATAAAATTTGAGTTTTATTTTTACTTTTGAATTTGAAAACTTTGACTTCAAAATTAATTAACAAACTTTGATACAGTTCGGTTTCTTGATGCTAACAGATCTATGATTTTTTTCAGGTATACTAAGAAAAGATGGAAGCATTGATAATGATGCCAGCATAAAAAGATTGGCAGAGGTTTCTTTAGCCTATGCCAAAGCAGGTAACTAATTTTGTCTATATATAATGATTTACAATGATATAGGTGATTAGATTGATAAATGTTTTTGTTTTTTTTAAATATGTTCTTACATGCTGAATATTATTGTGAAGTAAAGAGATCTACATACAGTAGGAAAAAGATATAAAACATTATATTCAACTATATATTAGCAAGAAAGAAGCAATGCATGTTTATGCTTTTATCTTTAGGTTGTCAGATAATAGCTCCATCAGACATGATGGATGGAAGGGTTGGTGCAATAAAACAAATCCTTGCAGACAATGGCCTTGGAAATACAGTTACAGTAATGAGTTATAGTGCCAAATTTGCATCATCATTCTATGGACCATTTAGGTACAGTGTAAATATATTATAATTTTGTGTTTTGTATCAAAATTTTATGGCAATTTTTCCATTTCACTTACTGTCTCAACTAGACTTGGTTCAATTTACGTGACAGTCAAATTGTGAAATCAAGCCATTGATAACTTTCGGAAGTATTTACTGAAAGCCTTTCTTCTGAAGTTAAAATAATGTGATTAGTAATTAGGTCATACAGTGTTTTTTGTCAGAGAATTTACAGGGCTAAAAAAGCCCTGAAATTTGCCCTCTCCATATAGCACAATATTGTTGAGTAATAGCTATAATGTGAAAAGTTTTTTGTTTGTCTGCATTACTTGAATTTACTTTGTCAACCAAGTAATGCTCTCCTTTTAGTTTCAGCTATTGAACAGTTGTTATAAAATATTTTGACATTTAGCCCCAAGTATCACTTGAAAAACATTTTTTTGGCTAAATGCACACCCCATGAATTATAATGGGTATTTTATGATACTTTTTCAATCTCCTGGTTCTTGAGAAGGCAAAGCTATATATGCTCTTAATATTTCTATGTTATGTAAGACTCAAATGTTTTATAACTGACATCCTCAAAACTGGATTTAAAAAAAAAAATTTGAAATTGACAGTAAGTGAGATTTTGGTGCCTTGTTTTCTGATTTTTCATTACTTTTTCACATGGTTTCTGAATGGTCTCTACGTCATTTGGTGGAGAGTTGTCTCATTGGCATATTTTTTATATATACCAATTTGCAGTGAAATTGAATGAAGTGTCATTTGGAATGGGAGGTAGAATATTAGTTTAGACCTGGTTTTTATACGACCGCAAACAAATTTTTGTGGTCGTATATTGGTATGACGTTGGCGTCGTCGTCGTCGTCCGGCGTCGTCCGAAGACACATTGGTTTTCGCACTCTAACTTTAGTTTAAGTGAATGGATCTTTATGAAATTTTACCACAAGGTTCAATACCACAAAAGGAAGGTTGGGAGTGATTTTGGGGGTTATGGTAATAACAGTAAAGGAATTAGGGGCCAAAAAGGGGCCAAAAATAAGCATTTTTGTAACTTCCAGACATAACTTGTGTGTTAGTGTATGGATCTCTCTGACATTGTACCACAAGGTTCCATATCACTAAAGGAATGCTGGGATTGATTTTGGGGGTAATTGCCTCCAAATTTTAGGAATTAGGGGCCAAAAAAGGGGCAAAAAACAAGCATTTTTCTAGTTTCATGACAATAACTTGTGTGTAAGTGTATGGATCTTTCTGAAATTGTACTACAAGGTTCCATATCACAAAGGGAAAGCTGGGTTTGAGTTTGGGGGTAATTGCCCTAAACGTTTAGGAATTTGGGGCCAAAAAGGGGCCAAAAAACACATTTTTTTCTAGTTTCCAGACAATAACTTGTGTTCAAGTGTATGGATCTCTCTGAAATTGTACTGCAAGGTACCATACCACAAAGGGAAGGCTGGGATTGAGTTTGGGGGTGATGAATCATAATGGGGGTTCAAAAAATTTTTGGGGGGGATTTATTTTTTTTTCCTTTTTTTTCTTTTTTTCCTTTTTTGTTTCTTTTAAAATTTTCCATTTTAAGTTGGTTATTTCTGATTTATATTTAAAATCAAATAATAATGATATGGTAGGAGATACACACCAAACAGGATGTGTAAATTATTATATAATAAGTATTGTGCAATAGCAAGAAATTTTCAATTGCACAGTATTGCACAATAGCAAGAAATCTTCAATTGCACAGTATTGCGCAATAGCAAGAAATCTTCAATTGCACAGTATTGCGCAATAGCAAGAAATATCCAATAGCACAATATTGCGCAATAGCAAGAAATTGTCAATTGTACAGTATTGCGCAATAGCAAGAAATATTTAATAGCACAGGATTGTGCAAAAGAAGATACTTCCTATAAATTGCTTATTTCTTGACCAATTTCAATGGGGTTTTATTCTTGATTTCATGGGGTTCTTTAATATGCTGAATCTAACCGTGTATTTAGTTTTTGGATTTTGGGCCCCGTTTTTAAATTGGTCCACATTGAGGTCCAAAGGGTCCAAAATTAAACTTTGTTTGATTTCATCAAAAATTGAATTATTGGGGTTCTTTGATATGCCAAATCTAACTGTGTATTTAGATTCTTAAATTTGGTTCCGTTTTCAAATTGGTCTACATTAAGGTCCAAAGGGTCCAAAATTAAACTTAGTTTGATTTTAACAAAAATTGAATTCTAAGGGTTCTTTGATATGCTGAATCTAAACATGTATTTAGATTTTTGATTATGGGCCCAGTTTTCAAGTTGGTCCAAATCGGGGTCCAAAATTAAACTTTGTTTGATTTCAACAAAAATTGAATATATGGGGTTCTTTGATATGCTGAATCTAACCATGTATTTAGATTTTTGATTTTTGGGCCCCGTTATCAACTTTGTCCACATTGAGGTCAAAAGGGTCCAAAATTAAACTTTGTTTGATTTCATCAAAAATTGAATATATGGGGTTCTTTGATATGCCGAATCTAACCGTGTATTTAGATTCTTAATTTTTGGTTCCGTTTTCAAATTGGTCTACATTAAGGTCCAAAGGGTCCAAAATTAAACTTAGTTTGATTTTAACAAAAATTGAATTCTTAGGGTTCTTTGATATGCTGAATCTAAACATGTATTTAGATTTTTGATTATGGGCCAAGTTTTCAAGTTGGTCCAAATCGGGGTCCAAAATTAAACTTTGTTTGATTTCAACAAAAATTGAATATATGGGGTTCTTTGATATGCTGAATCTAACCATGTATTTAGATTTTTGATTTTTGGGCCCCGTTATCAACTTTGTCCACATTGAGGTCAAAAGGGTCCAAAATTAAACTTTGTTTGATTTCATCAAAAATTGAATATATGGGGTTCTTTGATATGCCGAATCTAACCGTGTATTTAGATTCTTAATTTTTGGTTCCGTTTTCAAATTGGTCTACATTAAGGTCCAAAGGGTCCAAAATTAAACTTAGTTTGATTTTAACAAAAATTGAATTCTTAGGGTTCTTTGATATGCTGAATCTAAACATGTATTTAGATTTTTGATTATGGGCCAAGTTTTCAAGTTGGTCCAAATCGGGGTCCAAAATTAAACTTTGTTTGATTTCAACAAAAATTGAATATATGGTGTTCTTTGATATGCTGAATCTAACCATGTATTTAGATTTTTGATTTTTGGGCCCCGTTATCAACTTTGTCCACATTGAGGTCAAAAGGGTCCAAAATTAAACTTTGTTTGATTTCATCAAAAATTGAATTCTTGGGGTTCTTTGATATGCTGAATCTAACCATGTATTTAGATTTTGGATATTGGACCATAATAGGTGAATGTCCAATTTAAAATTTTTAAGTTCTTAGACCACATTCAATCTGTGTTAGAAACCTATGCTGTGTCAAATATTTAATCACAATCCAAATCCAAAGCTGTATCAAGCTTGAATGTTGTGTCCATACTTCCCCCAACTGTTCAGGGTTCGACCTCTGCGGTCGTATCAAGCTGCGCCCTGCGGAGCATTTTATTAGTATTGATTGATTGATGATTGTTTGCTTAATGTCCAATGGTAACTATTTCATGCATATCTAGGACAAGATAAAATAAAGAATTTATGTAAAAGATGGGCTCTGTAAAATGGGTCAACCATGATGAAGGGTAAGAATTTCGACAGCCACTGGACAATTGGGTATGTTGGACAGAGCAAGTCACCTACAGACTCATGTGAGAATTTTGGCAGGGGTTCTTAAACATACAGAAAGCGTGGCACTCACTCTTACACAAGGCTATACCCTTGTCAACCCTTTTGGTAACACATTTTTAGGAAAATAGGCATAAAAAGTGATGTGAGTTCTATTGAACAGCTTTCTGTTATTGTAGGAGGTTGTATAAAACTGTAATTCTATTCCATGTCCATTTTTTATTTAGAGTTTAACTTTATCTGAATTTTTTTTTACTGAAGTTTATAATCAAGTTTAATCAGTAAAATGAACTGCAGTGTTTATTTTTTTTAATTTTGATTATATTATAGAGATGCAGCAAAGTCAGCTCCTGCATTTGGTGATAGGAAGTGTTATCAGTTACCTCCAGGTTCATCAGGTCTAGCAGAGAGAGCTGTCGTAAGTCAATTAATTCAAGAAAGGTTTATGGCATTGCTATATACTTTCATGAGAAATAGCAGGACTTGGTTCAGTATCAGGAGTCAAAGGTCAAGCTGAAGAAAAAGGTCAACATCAACACATTACCGGTAGCCAGAATGAACAGTTGCTGTTCTTCATTTTGAAAGTAAACCTTTATCCATGAGCACATGCAAACAGCCCTTTTAACCATGAGCACATGCAAATAGCCCTTTTAACATCGAGCACATGCAAATAGCCCTTTTAACCATGAGCGCATGCAAATAGCCCTTTTAACCATGAGCACATGCAAATAGCCCTTTTAACCATGAGCACATGCAAATAGCCCATTTAACCATGAGCACATGCAAATAGCCCTTTTAACCACGAGCACATGCAAATAGCCCTTTTAACCATGAGCACATGCAAATAGCCCTTTTAACCATGAGCACAAGCAAATAGCCCTTTTAACCATGAGCACATGCAAATAGCCCTTTTTATCCATGAGCACATGCAAATAGCCCTTTTATCCATGAGCACATGCAAATATCCCTTTTAACCATACGCACACACTATCTCAAGATCAAGACCAAACTAAGAATTATCTTGAAGGGTTTTCTTTTAAATTTGCCACTTTTTGCTTCAAATTCCTATAGGTACATTCTGGTAAGAAGAAATTATTAAAAAAATGGTGATGTTTTCAATCAAAGTCTGTTATTTGTTGCCTGCAAAAATTTTAACTGACTGCATGATTTTCAAAAATGCAAACTCTGTCTGAAGTAAAGTTTGTAAAATATGTAGTCATGTGACTCATGTGATATTCTGTCATCAAACTTGTATACCTATATGGAGTTAGGTCCTTTCAGAACGATAGGTCATTATTTTGAAGAAACAACCCAGACAATACCAAGTTTTAATGAAAAGTGCTTTAAGGCATAAAATAATGACCTGTGTCAGGTCATAATTAAGCCTGATTATAAGTAAAAGTTAAGTTTGTTAAAACATCATTTGATGATAATCGTGTGTTGTTGTCAATTGGGAGGCTTTCTATACAATTTCCCATCTGAAATATTCCTAAAAGGTTTTAGGCAGAAACATTTACTCCTTTACTCCCTTTATTTAATTGAAATACTAGTACAAGAACACGTCTTTAATGCACAATTATATGAGATAAAATTATATAATATTCTGTCCTGATTCTCAATTTGTGAACACACCTTGGGTTGTCAGGATTGCCCAAACCTACGTTCTGTCTTTCATTTAAACAATCCTGACGTCCCTCTGTGTGTTATACGACAAGAAAAACTTTAAAATATGCATTTTCTATAACATATCAACTAAAAGTACATTAGAAGAATAAACATTAAACACATGGAATGAGTTTAACTGAGTTCACACAGTAGAGAGAATAGTTGAATTTACATTTGGGGAATAGGAATAGAGGCAGTTGTACATGAGTCCAGAGAATGCATGTGTCAACTGATCCAAATAAGCTACTGAGAGCTTATTTACTTTTTTCAATCTTTTGATGGTACACAAATAACCAACTAGAAATATTTTTACCTTCCAAAGTTTATTCCTGGATTTTGTTAAAAGAAAATTCTATTTAATTCCATGTGATCAACAAATTGTTTCTCTAACCCAGGACCGTGATGTACGAGAAGGTGCTGATATTTTGATGGTAAAACCTGGTCTGGCTTATCTAGATGTGGTCAAGATGGTCAAGACAAAGGTAAATACTATTTGGAAACAATAAGATGTATAAATTAACTTAATATTAATGCAAACCAGATGCAATGTGCTATAAATTATGTGATATTAATGTGATATTTGCAACTGGACAACACAAAATAAAGACACAATTATCAATTTAGTGCAGTCGAAGGTTTAGCATATCAAAGTATCCAAGTGTGACTATTTGAATTGTGGTAAATAGTAATCAAACTATTCAAATTATGTGAGGATGTGTAAGATTTAGCATATTTGAATAAGTATAAAAAAGAAGATGTGGTATGATTGCCAATGAGACAACTCTCCACAAGAGACCACATGACGCAGAAATTAACAGCTATAGGTCTTGATTAGCATAGATTTAACCTTTTATTGAAAATGTTGCATTAATTTATTTATTGATCATTTAAAATTTTCGAATTAGTTTTATGGTAGACAATAATGGTCATTTACCGGTACTGCAGAATAAATAACTACCATTCCAGTTATCATATAAAGTATATTTATTTAATTAGGTAAGCACATTTTAATTAATTTTAGTTTAGAAAAGAAAAATAATCAATCTTGAAATTATTTTCAGTATCCTTGCCATCCACTTGCTATTTACCAAGTGTCTGGAGAGTATGCAATGTTATATCATGGTGCTAAGGCTGGAGCTTTTAATCTGAAAACCACATTGCTAGAAGTGCTGACAAGCATGAGGAGAGCTGGTGCTGACATTATTATCTCATACTACACTCCAGACTTATTAGATTGGCTTAAGGAATGATATGTTTTAAATTCCACCAAACAGTGAACATGGCATAGTTTAACCTTTGTCTTTCCTATGAAATACAACAATTATCCAGACTTAAAAGATGAACAAGAACAAAAGAAAATGCACTCTTCTTATGAAAAAGTCGAGAAAATCAACAGTAAAACAATGCCGGTGACGATACTGATCAAAAGTTATTTCTAAACAACAATCGTATATTTTTATATTTATTATTTAGAGAGATAATTGCATTAGAAGCTTGTTAAACTGAAATTTAAAAAAATGTTAATCTTTGCTGCATATTAATTAAAAAAAAAAGGAAAACATCATGAATAAACAAAATCTAAAGATCTTTCAGGTCAAAAATTTTCTGAGTGTTCCACATAGTCTGTAGCATGTTACTATTTCCCAAATATATAAAAAAGAAGATGTGGTATGATCGCCAATGAGACAACTCGCCACAAGAGACCACATAACAAAGAAATTAACAGCTATAGGTCACCGTACAGCCTTCAACAATGAGCAAAATACCTTTTTTCACGTCTTAAGTTTTCGAGTACACTGGTCTACTCTTGTCACATGAACTTTCCATATAGAAATATTGTCTTATCTTGAATATAACAATTTAAAAGTCATGTTTCTGCAGGTTAAAAAATTAAAGATAACTATTTTTCTCAAGTAAGTTGTCTGTTAAAATATTTTTACTATGTTTTATATGATTCTAAGAAAAGGTTGCCTCTATTTCTGTACATGTATTTGCGGTCTTCTTGATCTATTCACTTTCAATGTTTACATCGGGATAAGGTCTTGTTTGAATTTGCTTAGTAACTTAATTTCAGAAGAGTTAATCTTTGCTGCATATCAATCGATTCCATTGGTTATTTCCCCTGTATTTCTTTGATTTAGCTGCATACATATATGGACAATTGGTGTTTTCCAGAGAGGTAAATAGCCAGTAAAAATATAGTTTGAAGTTGGTACTCCTGAAATTTGTTCGCATAGCAACATTTTAACCAATTTTACACAAAGTTCCTATAGCCTGCTGTACTCATTGTTTGCTACTTTGGGAGGGAAATGATAACATTATATGAAAATTTTGTTTTTATTTCAATTACGTGTTATTGTTACTATTTACCAGAACATTTTCTTGTGAATTTATAATTATCGTTACTATTTACCAGAACATTTTCTTGTGAATTTATAATTATCGTTACTATTTACCAGAATGTTTTCTTGTGAATTTATAATTAATAGCCATCCTTGCTAAAACTAGACAAACATTATTTAAAATAAAAATTTAGTTCAAGTAACATATAGGATTTCTAAAATAGAGAACTCTAGATAGCTACCAAGGACAGTGCATATTTACTTATTATTTTTAATTAGTGACATTTGTAGGGTTTTATTATTAATATTTATTATACTATTACCCCGGTACTTGATAAATTCAGAAAGAGTTTGTTGCACTTCAAACAGTCATCATAATAAAAATATGCAAACATTCCAAACATGAATCAACTGTTGAATGATTTTTGTCTCCCTTCTTTCCATGGGGAGGCATGTTGTTAACATTCCAATAGAATATTGTATCTAACTTTCTTATGTTGGTGCTATGTATATAAAGTCACCTTTGTTGTTACAATATGAGTATTTAAGGTACTTGGCAATGATAAGCAGGCATTTATTATTGATAGGTGCTTTTCTAATTGATGTTAGATTTGAATTTACATAATAAATTTATAATAGTCACTCTATTTTATACAGTTTTATTACTCTGTTGTTGTTTTTATGTGATCTGTAAATCAACTGTTTATTTACAGCAATCTAAACTTTGTCACAAATCTGCTAAGAATACTTATCTGTGAATAGGACCAAGGAATGATTGGCTCAGATGCAGAATAATAGGTCCAGGTAGGGTACATGTCTTCCATCAGACCATAATCTTGATATTAGTTCTTCATTGGTCAAAATTAAATTATGACATCAAATTTTGTTGCTTTCCTCTGAATTTGCGATTTTGACGTTGCGAAAAGAAGGCAACCATGCCCGATGACCTCACATAAAAAGATCATATTTTTGCAGATCATTGGAAAATAAAATGCTCTGCTAGGCTCAGCTTGATACGACTGCAGAGGTCAAACCATGAATAGTTGGGGTAAGTATGGACACTACATTCTAGGGTGATACAGCTCTGAATTTGGATTGCGATTAAATATTTGACACAGTATAGGTTTCTGACACAGAATGAATGTGGTCAAAGAACTGAAAAATTTGAAATTGAATTATACCTATTATTGTCCAATATCCAAAATCTAAATACTGTACATGGTAAGATTCAGCATATCCAAGTACACCAAGAATTAGAGTTAATTTTTTTATTGATGGACAATATATGCTAAGTTTTTAAAGGGGTTTGCTTCATCAAACAAAAAATATATATATAAAAATTAATTTATACAGAATTACAAACAAACCTACCACCAAAATTTACCCAAAAAGTGGAAAAAACAATTTCCAAAATATTGTTCCTCATTATTACAATGTCTTTAAATAAATCTATAAAACTTACCTGTAATTATTTTTCAAAATATCTAGTAATTATAGAATAACTAATCGAAGAATTCAAATATCGAAAAATATTCAACTCGTGACCGAACAACACATTAATTCACGAATGCGCGAAGCGCATGAGTTAATTATCAGTGTTGTTCGGTCACGAGTTGAATATTTTTCGATATTTGAATTCTTTAATTAGTTATTCTTTTTATTACATTGGCAAATGACTTTTTTTTTATGAAATTAAAGTAGAAAATGTAAGGAACTACTACTCTTTTTCTACGCATTCACAATTTGTTTTGATCCGACGTTATCGACGTCTTGACAACGCCTATTGTTGTATGACGTCAGAGGAGTGAAATAACCACGTTTATTTCACATGTGAAATTATCGGTTTTTATTTCACTGGGAAATCAGTGTAATCCATTGCAACCAATGTAATAATGATATTTATACATAATTTCTTCTCTAAAATTAGATTTGATGCTATATCTATCATTTAACTATGACTTACTTACAATTTCTATTAATTGTGAAATACAGCTCTGAACTTGAATTGTGATTAAATATTAGACATAGCATATGTTCTGACACAGAATGAATGGTTTAAGAACTTAAAAATTTGATATTGGACCTATTATGGTTAAATATCCAAAATCTAAATACGTGGTTAGAATCAGCATATCAAAGAACCCCAAAAATTAAATTTTTTCTGAAATCAAACAAAGTTTAATTTTGGACCCTTTGGACCTCAATGTGGACCAATTTGATAACAAAATACAGGGTTAGTTTCGGCAAATCAAAGAACCCCAATAATTCAATTTTTTATGAAATCAGTCCTGAAACAAGGAAAATGCTTGTTTTGGTCCCTAATTCCTAACCAGGACAATAACCCCCACAATCAATCTCAACCTTCCTTTTGTGGTATGGATCCTTGCGGTATAATTTCATAAGAGATCCATCCATACACTTATTCTCAAGTTATTGTCTGAAAACCAAATGTCATCAGACGTCGACAACGATGCTGACAACGTCACAACATTATACGACCACAAAAATTTTGTGGTTGTATATAGGTTGCACTTTGTAAATACAGCTGTTTCTCAAACCACGCCTCTTTTGGGGAGATATTTAATATTCATAGGTATGTTAATTTGTTAACGTACTGGTTCCCATTGATGATCTCTGTGTTTCATCTCATAGAGACATCACTTGGGAATGTAACCAGTATAGAAAAACATGGTAGCGGCTAAATTTTAATTCTTAGGAGGTCCAAAAATGGAGGTAAGGGTAGTATAGAATTTTAGTATAAGTTTAAACTCTTAGAAGTTCAGGGCATATAAATGTTGAAAATATGCCGCACAGCCCTATATTTTGACCTTTGAATAAAATAGTGGTGCATATAAACTTTCCGTTCTGGGATATTATTTTTCACGAAACTTCATAGTAAAAGTGTCACAGTTTTAGCCGCAAAGGGAGTTCCTATGGGAAATTGCATTGTCTGAATTTACAGAATTGCAACCTATATAGGGTTAAAAAATAGAACATACAGAATTTCACAAAATCTGGTTTATCTCAGAGATTTTAAAGAATTTAACTCAAATATGAAGTTTTATAAATATTTCATGAAGATTGAGAAAATCCTGGGCCTTAACTATGATGACTCAGCATAAATTCACAGTTTACAGTATGCATGGTTTACTTAAAGCCCTGAATTCAAAATAAATTCATAATATATGCCTATTTGTAATTTAAATTGTTTAGAAGTGCTTATATTTACTCTTCGCAGTAATTGCAACTCATTGATCCTTCCTAAATATTTCTGGTGGGGTGTTTTTGTCCTGTCGATAACCCAAAAGTAAGCCGTAACGCCTAAATGTGCTTTTTTGTGACTGCGGCATAAAAAAGTACAAACTAGAATTACAAAAAGACCTCAGTAAAACTGACAATAGTGTGTTCTATCCTAAATATGTAGTAAATATTCCACATTGCTAGAAACAGGGGAAAAAATTAGGAAATGTGAGGCCCCAGGGGCAAAACACAGAGAAAAATGCATACCCCTGAGTCATAAAACAGATAATTTAACTTGTAAATGCTATGATTTTTTTATTTTAAAGGTCTTTTATAAAGTAAACAATAACTGTGCTAGGAAGTTATGCAAAAATCAGATGTAAGCAGTCATTTCAATCAAACTGTTAGTGAATTTATGCACCAGACTGATATCTTCATAAATACAACTTTTGCAAATATGGCTTTGTTTAAACACTTCTAGGACATATATTAACTAACTTATGTTAGATATATGGTTAGGGATGATACTGTTGTGACAAGAATTCTAAACTGACCATTTGAGGCAGAAATTGTGAACTTTCATTGACAAATAGGCATACAGTAAGATGTGGACTGGAGACACAGGCAGGATTGGATACTTTGTATAATCTTGAATGTTGGAATGCTTAACTACTAAACAATACATTTATAGTATTCTAAAATGCTTTCAATTTGTTATCAGAATAGTTTCAAACAGGTTTTAGACAGTTCATGTCAGAAAACATTCACATAGGGTAAGCTGGCAATAATTAGAGTCTTGTTTTCAAAATCTTTAAAAAATTGAAACAGGGGCAGGGGTATAAAATGTACTGTAAAAGGAGACTTAGAGTATATGCAGTGATTTCTTTAAGGCTATAATTCTGATAAATAAGTATTGTTGTGAGAAAAAGTGTTTTTAGAGAGTTTTCTATTTGAATAAATGTTTGTATAGGTTGCACTTTGTAAATACAGCTGTTTCTCAAACCACGCCTCTTTTGGGGAGATATTTAATATTCATAGGTATGTTAATTTGTTAACGTACTGGTTCCCATTGATGATCTCTGTGTTTCATCTCATAGAGACATCACTTGGGAATGTAACCAGTATAGAAAAACATGGTAGCGGCTAAATTTTAATTCTTAGGAGGTCCAAAAATGGAGGTAAGGGTAGTATAGAATTTTAGTATAAGTTTAAACTCTTAGAAGTTCAGGGCATATAAATGTTGAAAATATGCCGCACAGCCCTATATTTTGACCTTTGAATAAAATAGTGGTGCATATAAACTTTCCGTTCTGGGATATTATTTTTCACGAAACTTCATAGTAAAAGTGTCACAGTTTTAGCCGCAAAGGGAGTTCCTATGGGAAATTGCATTGTCTGAATTTACAGAATTGCAACCTAAAAAGATAAAGTTTGTCTAAGATTTGTGGATTTACCTTCATCAGGAAAGCACTTAAAGCTATTAAGGGTTCTAAGTGGTGAAGTTGATGTCATCCCTATGTAAATTTTACAGATTCTATGATTTGGTTGAATATTACTGAATTCTGTGTAAAGGCGACTACAAGTATGTTCTACCTGCACAGCCACAATCTTGTCCTCTTGACATTCCCAAATTTTTACTTGCCATGAACATATGCCAGTATTGGAACAGAAACTGCCCAATCTTCTGGAGCATTTGAGTTCATCCTTGTTTTTGATGGGGTTAGTGTTGCTCAATCTTAAGTGTTGTGTGGAGAGTTGGTTTTTGGTCATGGTATTGGAGGATTTTCTGACATATATTTATGCCCCCGCCGTAGTAGAGGGGGCATTTAGTTTTACCCTTGTCCGTCTGTACGTACGTCCCAAAATTGATTTCTGTTCACTAACTTGGAGTTTGCCTCAACAAAATATTATGAAACTTATACACAATGCTTATTACCACAAAACACAGATCAAGTTTGAATTTTGGTGGCGTCACTTTAACAGTTCTAGAGTTCTGCCCCTTTATTAATGGAAAAACTACAAAATTTTTAGTTTCCGTTCTCTAACTTAAGTTTGCCTCAACCAAATGTTATGAAACTTATACAAAATGCTTATTACCACATAATACAGATCAAGTTTGAATTTTGGTGGCGTCACTTTAACTGTTCTAGAGTTATGCCCCTTTATAAATTGAATAAAATGCTCCACTGGGCGCAGCTTGATACGACCGCAGAGGTGGAACCCTGAACAGTTGGGGCAAGTATGGACACAACATTCAAGCTTGATATAGCTCTGAATTTGGATTGTGATTAAATATTTGACACAGCATAGGTTTCCGACACAGAATGAATGTGGTCTAACATTTTTAATTTACCTATTATGGTCCAATATCCAAAATATAAATACATGGTTAGATTCAGCATATCAAAGAATCCAAAGAATTCAATTTTTGATGAAATCAAACAAAGTTTAATTTCGGGACCCTTTTGACCTCAATGTGGACCAATTTGATAATGGGGCCCAAAAATCAAAATACATGGTTAGATTCAGCATATCAAAGAACCCCATATATTCAATTTTTGTTGAAATCAAACAAAGTTTAATTTTGGACCCCAAATTGGACCAACTTGAAAACTGGGCCCATAATAAAAAATCTAAACACATGTTTAGATTCAGCATATCAAAGAACCCCAAGAATTCAATTTTTGTTAAAATCAAACTTAGTTTAATTTTGGACCCTTTGGACCTCAATATGAACCAATTTGAAAGCGGGGCCCACAAATAAAATATTTAAATACATGGTTAGATTCAGCATATCAAAGAACCCCATATATTCAATTTTTGTTGAAATCAAACAAAATTTAATTTTGGACCCCAATTTGGACCAACTTGAAAACTGGGCCCAAAATCAAAAATCTAAATACATTTTAGATTCAGCATATCAAAGAACCCCAAGAATTCAATTTTTGTTAAAATCAAACTAAGTTTAATTTTGGACCCTTTGGACCTTAATGTAGACCAATTTGAAAACTGGACCCAAAATTAAAAAATCTAAACACACGGTTAGATTTGGTATAACAAATAAATAAATGTGGTCAAAGATTTTACAAATCTAATGCGCCATACTGTGCACTTAAAGATAACTTCTTGAAATTTTTCAATATTTGAAATTTGAAAAAAAAAAAAAATATTAGAAGAAGAATTCTTTTTAATTTCTGAAATCTGAAATGAGAACAAACTGACCCCCCACAATTTCTTTTTATCCCCCCCCCCCCCTTTTTCCCCCCAAAAAATCTTTCCCTCAAGATATGGTCATAATCTCAATTCAAATTTCCAATGGAGTTTGCAACCATAATTACCCATTTAAATTTACCATAGTGCTAACTTAATCTATTTTATAATAGACTTTAAAATATGGTGTCAAATCTTTCATATGGATTTTTTTGTAAAAAAAAGGATTCAACATTTGCAGTTATTTTTACTGGTCTTCCTTTATAAATATGCATTTCTTTAAGTAGTGTAAGGGAGGTAATTCAAATGATGTATTTGATTTATCTCCCTTACACTGCTTTCAATTATGTTTTGTACTAAAGTATTTGTCCATAAACCAGGACAACCTTGTTTTTCCCCCTTTTTTGCCCCCAATTCCTAAACGGTTTGAGCCATAACCCCCCAAAGCAAATCCTAACGATCCCTTTGTGGTTTGGAAACTTGTGGTATAATTTCAGAGAGATTCATTCACCGTTCCACAAGTTATTGTCTGGAAACTAGAAAATGCTTATTTTTGGCCCCTTTTGGCCCCTAATTCCTTATCTGTTGGTAACATAACCCCCAAAATCAATCCCAACCTTCCTTTTGTGGTATTTAATCTTATGGTAAAATTTCATAGAGTTCCATTCACTTAAACTAAAGTTATAGTGCGAAAACCAATGTGTCTTCAGACAACGACGACGCCAACGTCATACCAATATACGACTGCAAAAAATTTTTGCGGTCGTATAAAAATTGCTAAATTTTTAGTTTCCGTTCTCTAACTGAAGTTTGCCTCAACCAAATGTTATGAAACTTATACACAATGCTTATTACCACAAAATACAGATCAAGTTTGAATTTTGGTGGGGTCACCTTAACCATTCTCGAGTTATGCTCCTTTATAAATTGAAAAAAAAATGCAAAATTTTTAGTTTCCATTCTCTAACTTAAGTTGCCTCAACCAAATGTTATGAAACTTATACACAATGCTCATTACCACAAAACACAGATCAAGTTGAATTTTGGTGGCATCACTTTAACCATTATCGAGTTATGCCCCTTTAGTTTATAAATTGAAAAATTGCAAAAATTTTAGTTATGTTCGGTAACTTAAGTTTGCCCCAACCAAACATTATGAGACCTATACACAATACTTATTATCACAAAATTCAGATCAAAACATTCAAAGTCAATGAACCATGACTGAAGGTGCAGGGCCAAAAAACCTCCATAGAAATGAGAAATCCTATGCTTATAAAACTGCATACCAAACTCCATTGACTTATAATATGTGGTTCCCTTTAAACTAACATTAACACAAACTTGAACTTCTGTACTATGCAAAAGTTTCAAAGTCAATGAACCATGATGATTGGGTGGGGCAATATAATCTTCATGGAAAAGAGACTTGCAAATGCTTGTCCAACTGCAAACCAAATATTTTTGACCTACCACTAATGTTTCCCCATATACTGACCTAATCACGAACTTTTACATCAGTCAAATTTTGTCATTTTTTTTCAACGATTTCCCCACAATTTTTATGAAAATGAATTTTTGACACTGGGAAGCAATTTTAAATATATTGATACCAATGTATCAATTTTTGTTAAAATCCTAAAACAAAAAGATGTTTCTAAAAAATTGGTGATTTTTTTTTCAACATAAACTAAGGTTTTCAACACATTTTTTCCCTCAAATTTCAACAAAAATTGTAATATATTTTCCTTTTAGGTGTTAACACTGTGCATAAGTTGAGGCAATCTTGACTTATGGTACTACATAGAAGTGCTGACTGAATGACTGACTGAATGAGAATAGTCAAGGGGTCCTAATTATAAAATTAAACTGTACCTTCGACCATGAAGTCAAAAAGTATGTATCCTCTACATTAGCTCAAAACTGTCTTTTATTTTCAAACATGCATATCCAATTGTTTAGTACCATCCTGGCTATAATAAGGGTAAAATTTTGAAATTTTACTTTATTTGATGCACAATGCATATTTCTGAATTTATTTTCATCAGGAGAGCTCAAGATCAAAAACATAATCCATTTGAATAAAATGTATAGTATAAAAGCCTGTCAATGGGTGCAAAGAAAAGTAGTCCACTCCAACTTAGATGAAGCAAATAATGCAAATAATAAAAGCAGAAATACAAATAAAATTTCTCATATTTTATTCTTGTTCTCATTAATAACAAGAGGGTACACTTATACTGTGTCTATTAAATGACACAAAAAATAAAATCTCAAACAGCTCTCACTTTTTCATACACTTGCATCTGTTTCTGCATGTATAACATACACTATCTCACACACATACATCCACATCCTCCATTTATCATGTACATTCTTATTCAACTGAATTGCTCAATGTTGGTGTCATTGTACAACCTTTAAATTCTGCAAATAAGACTTTTGTTCACCAATGAACAGAAGACCTAATCTAGAGTCTTTCACAGAAAGAAGGCTGTTCCAGATTCCAGACATTTAATTGAGTGACACTGTTTACTTAATTGGTCTTCATTTGCTTTATGGACAGAAGAAATAAAATGATATTTAAAGCTATTTTAGAAATGTTGAGAGTCCATTTATATAACTATGGAAAGTATATGAAAGATCCAACACTGCTAAGGTTGCATGACAAGATTAAAATCTACATACATGTATATAAACTTTCGCATCATAACTCTTCCTTTACAACACGGCAATATTATGTACAAATCTTTTATACATATAGACAATTTTTACCTAGTTATTTACATATAAAGTACATGGTAAGTACAGGGATTACACAATTATCAGGTTTGAAGACTTGAATTGGATGCAAGAAAAATTTATTACAAACTAATAAATTGAATCTGATTTCTAACATGAATGTATACTTTACACAGAAAAATCTGAATGACATTACTGAAATCAATATTTTTTCTCTCCATCCTATAAAAATTTTAAAACATTTGACAAGAGTACTGGTCAATAATCTAAGCCATGTTAATCCAATGTACACCAGCTTTTAACAAAACTATCATGGTTTAGGAAGACAATGTCTATTTGTGAAATATGAAATAAATTAAGTACAATTTATAGAAATAAACCAACATTAAAAACTTTTGGAAATCTTACAAAATAGTTTCTTTAAAAACACTAATCAAAAGATCTGTTTTGGTCTAAGTCATTAATAACCAAAGTAAAGAACCTATAAGCTGACTAACCAAGCCAAGAACCTATGAGCTGCCTAACATAAAGGAAACAGAAAAATTGTATAAATAAATTTATGAATCTTTCATATTGTATAATTATTTTAAAGAAAAGATATGACACAATCTATGCAATGGTAGTGGAAATTTGAAGAATACCGCAGACTAACATCTCCTTTACTAAACTGTTCACATGACATACATTCTTTGATCCTTGATATACTGCTATGTATATTTAAGTATTTCCTCTTTTCCCTTAGTTAAACTTTAATAAATTTCATTTAAATGTATTTCTCACACTTAATTAGATATTTGGTAAAACATGAAAATGAAACAAATATAAACAGTACATAAATGATACATCTGTAATGAAATAACATACATACAGCAAATCTAAGTCATTCTCACTTCATGATTATCAGTTTTCTTAAGTCTTTTCATGAATGAACTGTCTCCCTTGTGTAACAAAACCTTTCACATTACACATACCATTTTAAGAGTTCAAAACAATTGAAGATATAAGCTTTCCATGTGTGATCTGTTTTAAACCTTTTTCATTGGATGTCATGACCACTTAGTATTACATTATTGTAATTATATAATTGATCATGTTTGTTATCTTATTTACATAAGCAAGCTTTAAAGGGTGTATGTCAAAACAAAATCTTTAATAATAAATTCTAGACTGTCTTTCACCAATATTAGCACTTTGTTTATCTTCATCAACTTTCAGCTGATATCAAGATGGTATAGTTTAATACATTTTATCTCAACAATGAGATTTCATGATTGTAAACACTGAAGTTTTATAATCCCTTTTCAGCATCTCAGATGGGATTTGTTCTTAGCCATAAACCTAAAAAATAGAAAGATGAACTTAGCATTACAATGAAGGTTATAATCAATACCCTTGTCATAAGCGTTCAGAAAATGATGTTACAAATAACATTAGTGTACGTTTTTTTCTAGTAAAAATTTGTACAGGGCTCTACAGAACCCTGTGTCTCGACTACGATTGCTGCTGTCAGTGTATAAGTGTAATGTTGACTGTATAAGGTAAGTCTACTCATCAGTAAAATACAGATATTTTTTTTTATATCAAACTTTTTCCTCCGAGGTTCTTTCTTGACCTTGAAGATTAGATTCAGTCCAAGTTTCTAACAATTTTCAAAATTTGGTTTAAGTAAACTGTTGACACAGAGATTTGTCTCGCCTATCTGCACAAAAATCAGAAAAAGACAATCTGATGGACGGCAACATTGCTTATTAAGCAGAAAACTTAACATTGATAATTGCTAATTAATTCAAAGTCACTGAATCATGTCCTAGGGGGCAGGGCCTCAAAGTAGTCATCAAACTGATATGTACTGATAGTTATGCAACTTTATATTAAATATCAATGATCTATCACAAGTAGTTCCTATCAAAACTAACTTAAGAAGAAAACTTAACAATTGTTGACGAAGTCGCAGCAATCCCTATGTCTCTCTTTCCATGACTTTCGTCAAGGCGAGACAAAAATTATCTCTTAATTATTATAAAAAAGCTTCTGCCAAAGTTTCATAGAAATTTGTCATCTGAACAAAAGTTTATTCATTATATTATGCACTACTTTGGCTTGTAAACTTTTTCTGTGTATTTTGTTTGTTAGTTACATGATTCCTATGTACTGGTGATTGGTGTGAGTGACTCCATAATGTAAGAAACTTACTTGTCAAGAACTTCCCAAAATGTCTGAATGTGTGCTCTGTCTAAATGTCTTTTATTTCTGTCTAAGTTAAGGACAGTCACATTCCATTTCTTTACATTGTTGTCCAATGGTAAGTCTGACCATTTTATATGAAATGCTTTCACTGAAAATAAAAATTCACATGAGAGATTTCAAAGGAGATTCTTCAAAGAAAAAGTCTTAAAGAGGATTATATCATGTTTAAGACCAAAACCATTTCTATTCATCTAATGTTAAAAAATCTGGTTGTTTGCATAGCCTGACAAGAGGCCTTTCGGTTTAATAAGGAAATGTCAGAAAACTAGATGTGAAGGAACAACACGAATGGCACTGCTCGCAAAAAAAGCTTGAAGCAATTTTTAGGAATGGAAATTCCAAAGCCCATTGTTTGGAAAAAATCAGTGGAGCCGAACCAAACTTAAACTCGATCTGTTACTTATCATAGTAGACTCACATACTAAAAATCAGCGCAATATGGGAAGGCATTTAGATAAAAGTCTATAACTGTTATTTCATGAAATTTTCAAAGTCCAAAGCCCGTAATTTCGGCAAAAAACAAAGGAACGGAACCAAACGTAAACTCTATCTGTAACTCGTCACAGTATAACTCAAATACTAATAAAATGCTTCGCTGGGGCGCAGCTTGATACGACCGCAGAGGTCGAACCCTGAACAGTTGGGGCAAGTATGGACACAACATTCAAGCTTGATACAGCTCTGAATTTGGATTGTTATTAAATATTTGACACAGCATAGGTTTCTGACACAGAAAGAATGTGGTCTAAGAACTTGAATTTTTTTAATTTACCTATTATGGTCCAATGTCCAAAATCAAAATACATGGTTAGATTCAGCATATCAAAGAACCCCATATATTCAATTTTTGTTAAAATCAAACAAAGTTTAATTTTGGACCCCAACTTGGACAAACTTGAAAACTGGGCCCATAATCAAAAATCTAAACACATGTTTAGATTCAGCATATCAAAAAACCCCAAGAATTCAATTTTTGTTAAAATCAAACTAAGTTTAATTTTGGACCCTTTGGACCTTAATGTAGACCAATTTAAAAAACGGGACCCAAAATTAAAAATCTAAAAACACGGTTACATTTGGCATATCAAAGAACCCCAATAATTCAATTTTTGATGAAATCAAACAAAGTTTAATTTTGGACCCTTTTGACCACAATATGAACCAATTTGATAGCGGGCCTACAAAATAAAAAATCTAAATAAATGGTAAGATTCAGCATATCAAAGAACCCCATATATTCAATTTTTGTTGAAATCAAACAAAGTTTAATTTTGGACCCCAATTTGGACCAACTTGAAAACTGGGCCAAAAATCTAAAATCTAAATACATGCTTAGATTCAGCATATCAATGAACCCCATATATTCAATTTTTGTAAAAATCAAACAAAGTTTAATTTTGGACCCCAACTTGGACCAACTTGAAAACTGGGCCCATAATCAAAATTCTAAACACATGTTTAGATTCAGCATATCAAAGAACCCCAATAATTCAATTTTTGATGAAATCAAACAAAGTTTAATTTTGGACCCTTTTGACCTCAATATGAACCAATTTGATAGCGGGTCCACAAATAAATAAATGTGGATAGTGTCCACATGTGGACACAGATGATGCCCCCGCTTGCATATCATATAGTTATAAAGGGACATAACTGAAGAACGGTAAAAGTGACGCTACCCAAATTTGAACTTGATCTGAGTTTTGTGGTAATAAGCATTGTGTGTAAGTCTCATAACATTTGGTTGAGGCTAACTTGAGGAGAGAACAGAAACTAAAAATTCAGCAATTTTTCTATTTGTAAACACGCATAACTCTAGAACGGTTGTGTATAAGTTTTACAACATTTGGTTGAGACAAACTAAAAATTTCAGCAGTTTTTAAGTTTATAAAGGGACATAACTCTAGAATGGTAAAAGTGTTGCCACCTAATTTCGTACTTAATCTGTATTATGTAGTAATAAGCATTTGTGTATAAGTTTCATAACATTTGGTTGAGGCAAACTCAAGTTAGAGAACTGAAACAAAAAAATTGTACTTGATCTTTACTGAGTTTTGTGGTAATGAATATTGTGTATAGGTTTCATAATGTTTGGCTGGGGAAAACTTCAGTTACAGAATGGAAACTAAAAGATTTTGCAATCTTTCTATTTATAAAGGGGCATAACTCAATAATGGTTAAAGTGACACTACACAAATTCAACTTGATCTGTGTTTTATCAGTGGAAGTCAAAATTAAACATTGCATTGTATAAAGCATTGATTGTAGTTGATTCAACTATAATCATGGTCAAAGGAAGATAACTCCAATTTTAAAAATATATTATATGAACTTGATATTTAGAAGAAAATAAAAATTTTGCAATTTTTCCTTTTATAAAGGGGCATAACTCTAGATCAGTTAAAGTGACACCACCAAAATTCAAACTTGATCTGTGTTTTGTGGTAATAAGCATTGTGTACAAGTTTCATAACATTTGGTTGAGGCAAACTTAAGTTAGAGAACGGAAACTAAAAATTTTGCAATATTTCCTTTTATAAAGGGGCATAACTCTAGATCGGTTAAAGTGACGCAACCAAAATTCAAACTTGATCTGTGTTTTGTGGTAATAAGCATTGTGTATAAGTTTCATAACATTTGGTTGAGGCAAACTCAAGTAAGAGAACGGTAACCAATTTCGGGACGTACGTACGTACGTACGTACGTACGTACAGACGGACAAGGGTAAAACTTAATGCCCCCTCCGCTACGGCGGGGGCATAAAAATCTAATTACATGGTTAGATTCAGCATATCAAAGAACCCCAAGAATTCAATTTTTGATGAAATCAAACAAAGTTTAATTTTGGACCCTTTTGACCTCAATGTGGACAAAGTTGATAACGGGGCCTAAAAATCAAAAATCTAAATACATGGTTAGATTCAGCATATCAAAGAACCCCATATATTCAATTTTTGTTGAAATGAAACAAAGTTTAATTTTGGACCCTGATTTGGACCAACTTGAAAACTGGGCCCATAATCAAAAATCTAAATACATGTTTAGATTCAGCATATCAAAGAACCCTAAAAATTCAATTTTTGTTAAAATCAAACTAAGTTTAATTTTGGACCCTTTTGACCTTAATGTAGACCAATTTGAAAACGGAACCAAAAATTAAGAATCTAAATACACGGTTAGATTCGGCATATCAAAGAACCCCAATAATTCAATTTTTGATGAAATCAAACAAAGTTAAATTTTGGACCCTTTGGACCTCAATGTGGACCAATTTAAAAACGGGGCCCAAAATCCAAAAACTTAATACACGGTTAGATTCAGCATATTAAAGAACCCCAAGAATTCAAGAATAAAACCCCATTGAAATTGATCAAGAAATAAGCAATTTATACGAAGTATCTTCTTTTGCACAATACTGTGCAATTGAATATTTCTTGCTATATTGCAATACTGTACAATTGACAATTTCTTGCTATTGCCCAATATTGTGCTATTGGATATTTCTTGCTATTGCGCAATACTGTGCAATTGAAGATTTCTTGCTATTGCGCAATACTGTGCAATTGAAGATTTCTTGCAATTGTGCAATACTGTGCAATTGAAAATTTCTTGCTATTGCACAATACTTATTATATAATAATTTACACATCCTGTTTGGTGTGTATCTCCTACCATATCATTATTATTTGCTTTTAAATATTAATCAGAAATAACCAACTTAAAATGGAAAATTTTAAAAGAAAAAAAAAAGGAAAAAAAGAAAAAAAAGAGAAAAAAAAAATCCCCCCCCCCCAAATTTTTTGAACCCCCTTATGATTCATCACCCCCAAACTCAATCCCAGCCTTCCCTTTGTGGTATGGTACCTTGCAGTACAATTTCAGAGAGATCCATACACTTGAACACAAGTTATTGTCTGGAAACTAGAAAAATGCTTATTTTTGGCCCCTTTTTGGCCCCCAATTCCTAAACGTTTCAGGCAATTACCCCCAAACTCAATTCCAGCTTTCCCTTTGTGATATGGAACCTTGTAGTACAATTTCAGAAATATCCAAACACTTACACACAAGTTATTGTCATGAAACTAGAAAAATGCTTGTTTTTTGCCCCTTTTTTGGCCCCTAATTCCTAAAATTTTGAGGCAATTACCCCCAAAATCAATTACAGCCTTCCCTTTGTGATATGGAACCTTGTGGTACAATGTCAGAGAGATCCATACACTTACACACAAGTTATTGTCTGGAAGTTACAAAAATGCTTATTTTTGGCCCCTTTTTGGCCCCTAATTCCTTAACTGTTGGTACCATAACCCCCAAAATCAATCCCAACCTTCCTTTCGTGGTATTGAACCTTATGGTAAAATTTCATGGAGATCCATTCACTTAAACTAAAGTTAGAGTGCGAAAACCAATGTGTCTTCGGACGACGCCGGACGACGACGACGACGACGACGACGACGACGACGACGACGACGCCAACGTCATACCAATATACGACCAAAAAATTTTCAATTTTTGCGGTCGTATAAAAATCAGCTCAATATGTGTTGGTGTTTACAAAAAAGTCTGTATAACTGTTATTTTTATAACTGGTCCATTAAAATACAATTATTCTTTATAGAAAGAAGTAAATATACATAACATCAAACATGTAAATTTTAATAGATCTCAATACTGTACATGTGAATCACGGCTTCTCATCTTTCTTCAGGGATTTTGTTACATATCAATCTTATGGACTCTGTAATTTTAAATTTTCAATACAAGCATACTCTGCTAAATTGCATAATTTTGTCTGACAAACAGGTGAATCTCAAATTAAAGTACCCATCAGATTACAAATTTCCTATAGGCTTGTTTGCAATGTTTGTAAGAACAACAAAACAAGCATTCTGTGAGTATTGCATGGCAATACATAGTTCCCTACCGATTAAAAATTCATTGTCTTGGAACAAAATTCTAACTTGATCTATAACTTGTCATGGTGTAAACTATATAACAAATATCAAGTTAATATCTTCAAGCATGACGAAAAAAAGTGGAGAAAACTGATTATTTACGTGAATTTTCTAAGTCAAAGGACCATAACTCTGCACAAAATCATATGACCGGAACAAAATCCGAACTTGATCTGTAACTTGTCATGATAAAACAATACAACAAATATCAAATCAATATCTTCAAGCATGAAGAAAAAAAGTGTGGAAAACTGATTTGCCGGACTGACGGATGGACAGACAGAGTGCAAACCTAAAGTCCCCTTTGAATTCGTCGTTAGGGGACTAATTAAGTTTTAATGAAAATACAACTTTTCCTCAATCTATGAAAATTGTGACCCACTAGATCTAGAAAACTAACAACGTGGGAAGGATCCATCCTTGATGCATAGCCCTTATTAATCAACAGCATATTGAACAAGGTCACTCCATTGTCTCATAATGGTCTACAGGAGAACACTGTTTTGTTATTATCCAGCATTTTTCCACTGAAATATTCTTCTATGGCAAACAACTACTTGCAAGTTCCTATAATTAATGTACATTTGTAACAACTACACAGAAAAATTTCACTTAAAAGTATTGGCCTTACCTTTTGCAAATATATCTACAGGGTTACCATTCCATGGCCAGCCTTTGAACTGCCATGCAGGTCCCTGTACAAAAACAGCCACAACCCTATCCCAATCATCTGTACTCAATTTAGCAGCACTGTCTATTATCCTGTATGGCACTGTTAACCCTCCATTCTTCCGTCTCTGTATTAAAACTTCATTGTCACGTTTTGCTCCCTGCCCTTTCTTGTCATCAGTTGAAACAAATCTAAAACATATACACCATATATCATATATTAAAGTGTAAACAAATCTAAATCATATATACACCATATACAGTGATTTTGCTAGCGCTCGTCACTTTCGTCTTTTACGAAACAATTTCGAAATGACGAAAGTATTTCAAATCAATTTCGTCACTTAAAATTTGGAAAGTGTAAAAAAATTTCGCATGAAAATACTATATTTCTACCTGTCTTCATGTTTCTGACAAGTTTATGACCCTCGGCTAATCAATGTTTACAACAGGTGTTAAAAGATGTGATTAGTTAATTTGCTTATCGCCATCGGATGGGTCACTTATTCGTTAATTGTTTATATACCTTATAATTGACCATCATAATTATTCATCCCAGTAAAAATTTTCAATTTCTATATTTCTCAAACGACCACAATTTGCAGTTTGTTTATCCTAGTTTCGTCATTAAAACAAAATTGTTTCCCCCCAGACAGTTCGCATTTTAATTTCAATATTTCTCAAACGATCCCAATTTGCAGTTTGTTTGTTGTAGTTTCGTCATATGAACGTATTTTCGTCAGATTTGATATAACTTTTCACCAGAAACTTTCGACAATTTCGATTAAAAAGATAGAACATTTTTATTCACGGGTCAAACAGGTGCTTCCTTTACGTTGTACTGGGCATGCATGAAAGTATTCTTATAAATTTGTAGACACTAAAACATAAAATACGAAATCTTTTAGTATCAAATTAAACAAGAGACAAATATATTTATTACTAAGCAACTTAATTTTAAAAAAATGATAATTTCCTTCTTTTTGTTAACCACAAACCAATCCGTAGATGAATCCGGATTTATTCTTAATTTATTATCTACTTGTCACTTCCCATTTTCATTTCGTTTAAAAATCGAAAGTAAACGTAATCTATTCTCGATTAATTTACAATTTACAGCCATAACAATCGTTCCATTAAGTATTGATACAAATCCTTGTTTCCAACTTCAAAGAAATGAATTCCAAATTTCGATTTAAATGTCTTTACAAGGATAATGATTACGCAGTGAAATAGTCGTTACAAGTTCATTTATGGGAATTATGCTATGGTTTTAAAAAAGAGGCACCCAACTTTTGTTGATCAGGAATGTCCCCTGCAAATACCTGAAGTGAAATTGTGAACTAGATTTCCGGATCCCTGTTCTTATCTTCATATTTAAGTATCACATTAGTCAAATCATGCAATGACTGCCTACATTAGCAGGCCTAAGCCCTACAAAGGTCCTATTCCTTGAAGGACTTGGGCATATGTAAAGCTAGAAATATACGTCCTTGATTCATTGCTGTTACCCAAAATAAGGTTGATTTTCATCTCGCGCAAAAGTGACTAAAGCCCTCAAAATCCTAGCTGAAACCCTGACCATATATCATATATTAAAGTGAAAACAAATCTGAAACATATACACAATATATCATATATTAAAGTGTAAACAAATTTGAAACATCTACACAATTATCAGTTTGACAGTGACGATGAGTTGTAAAGTGTCAGCACTTCATATCAGTTATAACAAATATTTTTGTCACATTCTTCTCAAAAACTGCTTAGCAAAATGACTTCATACTTAGTCAGTAACTTGACATTGGTTAGTTGTAATGTGTGATCACTTTTCAGATCTGTCAGTAACCTACTTTCTGTTTGCCAATACTTTGAATGTTTCAATATGTTGAAAGAACTTAAAACCTTCTACAAGAAAATTGGTAAACAACATGTATAGTTTCAGTAGCAATATAGTTACACACATTTCTTTCAACTGTATTTCAATATACACTAAACAACATGTTCTAAACGTACATAAAATAAGGAGATGATGTTCTAAAAGTATTTAAAATGAGGTACGATTGCCAATGTTTTTCAATACACACAACACAATATGTTCCATCTATTAAAGTAAGTAATAAACTGTTGAAATAGAGATATGTTTCACCTTTATGTAATTTTGATAGTACAATGCAAATGTTAAAAGTAAAATGGCAATACTGTGGATTCATTATTATTCGTTGGATACCAATTTTCGTGGGTTTCGTGGGTACAGGTGAACCACGAATTCAAATGTTCAACGAATTACAAACTTTCTATTGGCTTTGTATGCAGAAATTGGTAAAACCACGAAATAAAATATCCATGAAAATGCAAGTTTTCCTCAATCCACGAAAAATTCGAAAATTGATACCCACGAAAATAAATGAATCCACAGTACTCTAATATGTCACCTATGCAAAACAGTCAAAGTCAATAAATCATGACTGAAAGTGCAGGCCCAAATAATCTCCGTGGAAATGAGAAATGCCAATGCTAATACAAATGTTAAATACCATTGACTTATCCTAAATGGTTCTCTTTGAACGGAACCGCAAGTACTATCAGATCTGTACTTTGTGTCTTTAGTGTTTTTGTTAGTTTTTTTATGCTTTTATATTGAATTGATGAATTAAGCCCTTTTCAACTGATTTTTATAGTTTGTTCTTATGTTGTACTGATACACCCGGACTACCTAAATGATACAAAACGCTCAAGGAATCCATATAGAACACTATTCACTTTTATATCTTCTTCACTTACCTAAATTCCTGTAACATATCTTTAGCATTAAACATAGTGATGAGGGATGTAAGAGCTGCTGGAATAATGATGATTGGTGTCCGAGATCCTTAAAAGATAAATAAAAAATTTTACTGGACTTAAAATCTCTTTTTCTCCATTCTATTCACAATTATGCATATGTGTTTCATCAGCACAGTAACTTTGTCTTATACCTATTAAACAGCCTGTAGTAATGTTCTTATAAAACATTGCAATATAATTAATCTATACCAGGCCTGTTGTTGAGTGTATGTTAATATCGACCATTCACAATTATTTTCAAAGTCTCTTAACAAGAGGCTGCAAAGAGCCTGAATTGTAACCTGTCAAAACTTGAAATATTAGGTAAAAAGTAAAACGTTAGTAAATAAAATGCTTCGGTGAGCGCAGCCTGATACGACCGCAGAGGTTGAACCCTGAGCAGTTTGGGCAAATTTGGACACAATATTCAAGCTTGATACTGTCTGAATTTGGATTGTGATCAAATTTTTGACATAATATAGGTTTCTGACACAAAATAAATGTGGTCAAAGATCTTAAAAATTCGTAAGGGTTCCGCGGAACCCAGTGTCTCGCCTACTTTTGCTGTTAATCGCAGGCTCAACAAAAATGAGGAAAAAAAATTGATAAAAATATTCCTCTCTATACTATCTTTTGATTGTAAGTAGCTTCTGTTCAAGTTTGGTAAAAATCCAGGATAGTTTATGAATCTAATAAATGTTTTAAAAACTTAAACTGCAGACTGTATGTAATGTTAACTGGAAGAAAAACTAAGTCCATTTATAAGTAAAATACAGAAAAAATGGAACAAAATTTTAACAAAATTTCCTTCTAGATACTAGCTTTTAATCATAAACAAGCTTCTGTCCAAGTTTGATACAAATCCAGGATAGTTTAAGAAAGTTGTTAAAATTTCAAAAAACTTTAACCAAAGAGTGAATGTAATGTTAACTGGCAGAAAAACTAAATCCATTTATAAGTAAAATACAGAAAAAATGGAATTTTTTTTTACAAAATTTATTTCTGGATACTATCTTATGATCATAAACAAGCTTCTTTCCAAGTTTGGTAGAAATTCAGGATAGTTTAAGAAAGTTATTAAAATTTCAAAAACTTTAACCACAGAGTGAATGTAATGTTTCCTGGCAGAAAAACTAAGTCCAATTATAAGTAAAATACAGAAAAAATGGAATTTTTTTTTTACAAAATTTATTTCTGGATACTATCTTATGATCACAAACAAGCTTCTTTCCAAGTCTGGTAGAAATCCAGGCCAGTTTAAGAAAGTTATTAAAATTTCAAAAACTTTAACCACAGAGTGAATGTATAGTTTCTGGCAGAAAAACTAAGTCCATTTATAAGTAAAATACGGAAAAAATGGAATTTTTTTTTACAAAATTTACTTTTGAATATTATCTTATGATCATAAACAAGCTTCTGTCCAAGTTTGGTAGAAATCCAGGATAGTTTAAGATAGTTATTAAAATTTTAAAAACTTTAACCACTAGAGTGAATATTTGTGGACGCCGCCGCCGACGGAATGTAGGATCGCTATGTCTCGCTTTTTCGACAAAAGTCGTAGGCTCAACAAAAATCTATTGCGCAATACTGTGCAATTGAAGATTTCTTCTTGAAACTTTTCAAAAATTTGAAATTTGAAAAATTTTGGGAAAAAAATCCCCCCCCACCCCCCCCAACTTTTTGAAACCCCCCTTGGAGCAATAATCCCAAAACTCAATCCCAGCCTTTCCTTTGTATTATGGAACATTGTAGTACAATTTCAGAGAGATCCATACACTTAAATGCAAGTTATTGTCTGGAAACTAGAATAAACAGCTGCGTCATGAGCGCATGATACGCCCGTCATCTTGTGTGTGAATTTTTATGCAATAAGCATAAATAGTATCTGACATACGGCGTGACATGCGAAAACCCCCCTTTTTTTTTTTACAAAAACTCAATATCTCTTAAATAAAATTTTGAATCAAAACCAAAAAGTATACAGATCTTTAGATTAATATAACTAAGAAGTGTGTAAAATTTTAAGCAATAATCATAAATCGTTTTCGAGATACGGCGCGACATGTGAAAACCCCCCCTTTAAAAAAAAAAAAAAATCAATATCTCAAAAATAAAATTTTGAATCAAACCAAAAAGTATACAGATCTTTAGATTAATATAACTAAGAAGTGTGTAAAATTTTAAGCAATAAATATAAATCGTTTTTGAGATACGGCGCGACATGTGAAAAAACCCTCCCCCTTTTTTTACAAAATACTCAATAACTCAAAAACAAAATTATGAATCATCACCAAAAAGTATACAGATCTTAAGGTTAATATAACTAAGAAGTTTGTAAAGTTTTAAGCAATAATCATAAATTGTTTTTGAGATACGGCGCGACATGAAAAAAACCACACACCTGTTTTAGTTACTAAGTCCCGTAACTCAAAAAGTTTTAATCTTATTTTCACCAAAAAATATACAGATCGTTTGACCATCATAAGAAACAACTAGGTTAAGTTTCATGAAATTTGGATAAGTCATTCTCAAGTTACGGTGTGACATGTTTACGCCGGACAGACAGACGGACGCCGGACATTTGTATACCATAATACGTCCCGTCAAAAATTTGACGGGCGTATAAAAATGCTTGTTTTTGTCCCCTAATTCCTACATGTTTGGGGCAATTAACCCCAAACTCAATCACAGCCTTCCCTTTGTTATATGGAACCTTGTGGTACAATGTCAGAGAGATCCATACACTTACACACAAGTTATTGTCTGGAAACTTGAAAAATGCTTGTTTTTGGCCCCTTTTTGGTCCTTAATTCCTAAACTGTTGGCCCCATAACCCCTTAAATGAATCAAAACCTTCTACTTGTGGTATTAAACATTGTGGTACAATTTCAGAGCAATCGAAATACTTATACACAAGTTATTATCCTGAAACTAGAAAAATGCTTGTTTTGGGCCCCTAATTCCTAAACGGTTAGGACCATCATCCCCAAAATCAATCCCAACCTTCCTTTTGTGGTATTGAACCTTCTTAAAATATTTTCATAGAGATCCATTCACTTAAACTAAAGTTATTGTCCGGAAACCAATGTGTCTTCGGACGACGACATCATACCATTATACGATCCCCCAAAATTTTTTTTGCATTCGTATAAAAATTGTCTTTCAAGGGCAATTAGAACAAAGGGTCAGCAAATGGTTTCTGTCATATTTTCATTCTTATATATCTTGTTTATGGATCATTTTTGCTGTTAACAGTTTCTACCTATCTATTATATTTTTGAAGATTACAGGCAAATACTCAAAAGTTAGTATATAATCATCCTTTCCTTAAGGACAATAACTTCTAAAAGGAGCCATCTCATAGTTAAGGTCATATTGGCATTTTTGAAGAACTTGTATAGCTGATTATTTTTGCTGTTCACAGTTTCTATTTATCTATTATAGTTTTCAAGATTATAGGCCAAAACTCGTAAATTAGTAAAAAAATTGTCATTCTAGGAGTCATCTAAAAATTGCTTCTTTTCTGATCTATCAAAAAGTGTTCTTAATGTGTGCTGTCATCAGTCGTGAATGTTAAAGCTAAAATATTACACACTAGAGTGTCACACCTGAATTTCAATCAATGAAGAGCCGTGAACAAGACATTGAATGCCATGTTGGTTATGACAAAGTCAGAAACTGTATTAAATGATTGATTTCTGATACCAAACTAATGAACTATTTATTCTTCACTAGTACTTTACCTTTCTTTTGACTAGGAGGTGGTCTAGCCTGAGATATTGGGCGTGAAACTTGCTGTGGTGTCTGATGTGGTGGTGTTTGTGATGGCAGTGATGGTTCTTTAGGTTTTTCTGGTTTCTCTGGTTTTCTAGTTGATTCTTCAGTCACATGTTTCAATGCCATTCCGTGAAACGTCTGCATGGTATCAATATTGAAACCCTCAGTTTCTGGAAAAGAAAACAAGGATACACCATATGCTTAAGAAATAAATAATTAATAGGCAACAACAGCCATTCATAATTCACAAAGACCTCCACTTAAAAAAGAAATAAGATACTGTGGATTCATTTATTTTCGTGGGTACCAATTTTTTGTGGATTAAGGAAAACTTATATGCTCGTGGATATTTAATTTCATGGTTTTGCTGAAGTTTGCATACAAGCCTATAGAAAATTTGTCATTTGTTAAACGTTTAATTTTGTGGTTCACCTATTCCCACGAAATCCTCGAAAATTGGTATCCAACGAATAACAATGCATCCACAGTATAGAATTTTAATATAGGAAGAATTCATCATTTTCATATGTAATTTATTAATACAGTACCTCTGGTTTTTTTCCTTCAAATAGATTCAATGAATATCAAAGTTATAATATTAGTGAAAGTCTTAATCGCTCTTAATCATACTGTAATTCATAAGCTCTTTAGTTTAAGTTAGATGAGAAACAGCAATAATACATTAAATGTTCTGATATTTCCATATCCATATATTTTCTTTCCTAATTGATATTTATATTAAGTTTTAAATAATCAAGTAAATAAAAATAGGGACACAAGGAAGACAAGCTCCTTTATTATTGTCATATAAGTATAATATATTAAATTTCAGAAGATGTTTAATTACTTTCTCAAGTTTTAGCTTCATCTGTTACTACAACCGTCAGCAGGGCCTAATCTAGGATTTTGAAGAGGGAGAAGTGACTTCTCCTTCCAAGAGAGAGAAGGGAGAAGTGGTCAATTTCTTGGAGAAGTGAGATTCCATTACCGTTTCGGTTGCATCGTGTTTTCGTGCTTATCACTAAGGAAATTGTTTTATATTCAATAAAAGATATACTTGCAGTTTTTTCATATGTTATTGTACACAATGTATATATAGAAAGTTCTTAATAAAAAGGTTTAGACAATATATAGTTGTTATTTATTTATTTATTGATACCATTGTGTTCTATAAAATAAAATTTGTTGATTGGGACATGAGGGAGTAGCCTAGTAATATTATCATGATTATGATGCATTAAATTCATGTGCATCTGCCTCAATTTATTTTTAAAATTCCAGAAAAAATATAACTCCCAGTTTTCCTGTTGAATTGCACATGACTGGGAATTTAATTTATATCACCACTTGTCATTATTTTGTAAAACATTATTGAATGTCCAGGACATTATGTTAGTTGTAAATTGAGATTATCGTTAAAGATTGTAAGTCTATAAATGAAAATATTTTTCAATCGCATATTAATTATCCGACAAAGAGCTAATTACTATCATTTTTTAAAAATATCATCCATATCAACGAAATGGTCGTGAGAAACAATCCACTGCTGATCATAACCTGGTCGAGTGTCGTACGTTTGCCATCACATTATCCATCAGCAGTCTTTCTACCTTTTATATTTCAATTTTTATTCAATCAATATAATAAATCTACCGTTAATTCCAACCTTTTACCTACCGAATAGTAAAATTGATCGATTCGTGTAAGTTGTAAAAATAAAACAAATCAGCTGAGTGATTACGCAACATCCTCAGATGAAAATTATCGTAATATGATAACTTAAACAGACGGTCAGTTTTCCGTTTGAACAGTTTTGAAAGTTATATCCGAGGATGTTCAAAGTCGCCGTTGTATTTATTTAATTTGATCGTTGACAGTATTAGTCCTGGGTCGTTTCGAAAATCTCGAGTTTCCTTGTCAGCCGCCATTTTTTTTACCTGTGAGACTTGTCAATCACAAGTTGTCTCCCTTTTACCGATTTTGATAGCGATTTGACTTCGCTATGAAGTCAGTCGGCCGGCGAGATTTAGCGATTTTCAAAATTCTTTGGCGACTTAAATCGTCATTTCGCCGGCAAGATTATGGCCTGACCGTCAGGGTTTTTTTATATATAGATTTAACACATCTGCTTATTGCAGATTCATATTAAGACATTATTGTGGACCATATTCAGTGTTCTCCCCAGGATTTTTTTAAGACGCAAAATTCAAGGGCGCGTAACTCTTTTTTTAGAGTGATCTGAAGCAATAAGTCATAAATCATGACATGCAATATGAATTATAATGCTTTGTGTTATGTGTTTAATAATGCAGAGTATTAATGAATTACAAGAATATATATATGAAATAAATTGATTTTAAACACAAAAGTTATTTATATTCAGTCAATTAAAGAAGTCAAAATATAAATATTCATCTCTACTCTCTGCTCCTTCTAGGGATATTGTTTTAAGATAGTGTTATTTTGTGGGACAGTCTGTTCCTCAACTTTGTCTTTATCCTCTTCAGGGTTAAAAATTAAACCCCCACTCACAATAACTTTTGCTTATACCCCCTTTAACATTTCTAAGCCATGAAAACTCAGTCAGCCACTTGTCATTGAAACCAGAAACATGGTGCTTGCTTTTATCAATTGCTAAAACTTGAGCTTGGTTGGGATTAGGAGAAGCAATGAAATCTGCTTATACTGACAGTGTAGACGGAGGTGTATTCCCCTTTTCATTAGAAGTCATTGGTCTGAAAAAAACTTCTACTTCCATCATCTACCTTTTACTTATAATTCAGCCCTTTGTTATTTGCAGAGAACATGTTCATTCAGAATTAATAAAATCGAATATGGTTAAGATATTTGGTATACAACTTTTTAAAACAATTTTTTTTTATAAATGAACAGCTGACCAGTTTCCGTAGTTTCACATAACGCTTCCGTGCGTATTATTGTTTAATACTATCTTTGGCAGATAGATATAAACGAAATTTTACAAATCGTTTAAGTTAAAACCATTGAAATTATTTACCAGTGACATTATACAGAAGCTGTGGCGATACTGTACCCGTTTTATATTGTCACATATTTCCCGACGCACGGATTCACGATCGATGTTCAATGATCATTTTATTTCTAAAAATATGACAGTTTCAGACGAATTTACCTTGCAAGCAACATTTTTTCATTTTCTATTAAAGTAAATCACTCCTCGTTATCTTTAATCAAACTTTATTTTAATTTTTTCAACTAATAATACTTTCATTCATAGTTTTCATCGTAAATATCTTTAGCAATGTGTATTCAAATTTATCATGTGTATTCAACACGTTCATTGGTCGTGTTTAAATAGATTCTTCTTCTCGACCAATGAAAAAATTCGTTATATAAATGGTAAAGTGATCACACACACGATGCGTAAATACAATGTATTTGCGATCTATTTCTTCAATTTCTGCACTGAAGTTTTTAAATTTTTTTATTTTCTTCAAAAAATATCTATCTTCTTGATGATCACTTACGCTATTACCTGATAACATAGTCCGATAAGGCTGAGATAAGCGTGGCTCAGGTAAAACTAATTATCAGTTATTGCGTAACACTGACCGACCCATCAGCGGTGATCAGTTACTTGACAATTTTAACCAACATTTATAATGAAAATGTGAAAATTAACACGCTGCGGGATCAAGTATTAAGGGACAGCGGCCAATTAAGACGCTGCGGGATCTACAAAAATATTATGAAGGCGCTGCGGTACCGCAGCGTCATATCGGCCTGGGGAGAACACTGATATTTACTTTTCAGATATTGTCAGTTATATAATAGAAACAAATAGATGATTTGTCACCCATTACCAAACATTTTGGCTATATCACTTATGAAATTAAGTTTATACTGAAGTTAAACCCACCTGCTTTGCCTTTAAATCTCTCCTGGTCGTATCTGCTGTAAGCTGCCACCTGTGGAGCAGGTCTTGGTTGTGACTGAAATAAATAATAAAATTTCCTAACTCAATCATTGGCGTTTTTTTTTTTTAAATATCTAGCTATGTTACAATGGTGCCTTCATTAGTAAAGGAGAGTTGTATGTATATGTGTTTTCATTGGTCACTTATTTGAGTGATTCTATTTACATTTCACATGTTTTGAATATAAAAAAAATTAATGCAAGTGCCAAGTGATAAAGCTGAAAATCACATTATCTATGATTGTTAACTTTAGATTTATCTTTTTAGACCTAATCATTATATATAAAACATATTTCTAGATTTCAATGCTCTAAGCCTCTAAAGAAAGAAAGCTGATTTGATACTTACTGCTGATGGTGTGTGTGACGTGTGACTTGATTTATGTTTTTGTGATCCTTCTTCTCGAGCTTTTATTGACTGAAGTATTCCAAAAATGTTCTTTGCAAAACTCTGCAACAGAAATAGCATTAATACTGTCATATTTTCAGATTAGGGGTTTTGATCATTTTGACAAACTATTATCAACATGTCTCTAGCTTCAATATGGTTAATCATGATTCAGTTCATATTCAATTCTTTAAAAGCATTAAGGCCATACCGTAGAAAGGCTTGCATAGTCTGCGGTTTTATTCTCCAAAATTGGACCTTCCAGACGGGGTGCGGACTATAGTGTACAATAAGCAAGAAATAAGAGAAAAATTTCAATTTCGCGGGTGAGGTGGTTTGTTTACATTCCGCCATCTTTGTTATTTATATTGTAGAGGGCGCTCTTATCATTTTTCAAACTAATAATTTTAACTCATCCATATTAATAAGTTATTTCTATTCAATATCAAATTAATACTGATAAATATAATAAAATGCTTCGCTGGGGCGCAGCTTGATACGACCGCAGAGGTCGAACCCTGAACAGTTGGGGCAAATATGGACACAACATTCAAGCTTGATACAGCTCTGAATTTGGATTGTTATTAAATATTTGACACAGCATAGGTTTCTGACACAGAAAGAATGTGGTCTAAGAACTTGAATTTTTTTAATTTACCTATTATGGTCCAATGTCCAAAATCAAAATACATGGTTAGATTCAGCATATCAAAGAACCCCATATATTTAATTTTTGTTAAAATCAAACAAAGTTTAATTTTGGACCCCAACTTGGACAAACTTGAAAACTGGGCCCATAATCAAAAATCTAAACACATGTTTAGATTCAGCATATCAAAGAACCCCAAGAATTCAATTTTTGCTATAATCAAACTAAGTTTAATTTTGGACCCTTTGGACCTTAATGTAGACCAATTTAAAAAACGGGACTTAAAATTAAAAATCTAAATACACGGTTAGATTTGGAATATCAAAGAACCCCAATAATTCAATTTTTGATGAAATCAAACAAAGTTTTATTTTGGACCCTTTTGACCTCAATGTGAACCAATTTGATAGCGGGGCCCACAAATAAAAACTCTAAATTCATGGTTAGATTCAGCATATCAAAGAACCCCATACATTGCCATATATTCAATTTTTGTTGAAATCAAAAAAAGTTTAATTTTGGACCCCAACTTGGACCAACTTGAAAACTGGGCCCATAATCAAAAATCTAAACACATGTTTAGATTCAGCATATCAAAGAACCCCAAGAATTCAATTTTTGTTAAAATCAAACTAAGTTTAATTTTGGACCCTTTGGACCTCAATGAAGACCAATTTAAAAAACGGGACCCAAATTAAAAATCTAAAAACACGGTTAGATTTGGCATATCAAAGAACCCCAATAATTCAATTTTTGATGAAATCAAACAAAGTTTAATTTTGGACCCTTTTGACCTCAATATGAACCAATTTGATAGCGGGGCCTACAAATAAAAAATCTAAATACATGGTTAGATTCAGCATATCAAAGAACCTCATATATTCAATTTTTGTTGAAATCAAACAAAGTTTAATTTTGGACCCCAATTTGGACCAACTTGAAAACTGGGCCCATAATCAAAAATCTAAATACATGTTTAGATTCAGCATATCAAAGAACCCCATATATTCAATTTTTGTTGAAATCAAACAAAGTTTAAATACTGGACCCTATCTTGGACCAACTTGAAAACTGGGCCCATAATCAAAAATCTAAACACATGTTTAGATTCAGCAAATCAAAGAACCCCAAGAATTCAATTTTTGTTAAAATCAAACTAAGTTTAATTTTGGACCCTTTGGACCTCAATGTAGACCAATTTAAAAAACAGGACCCAAAATTAAAAACCTAAATACACGGTTAGATTTGGAATATCAAAGAACCCCAATAATTCAATTTTAGATGAAATCAAACAAAGTTTAATTTTGGACCCTTTTGACCTCAATATGAACCAATTAGATAAAGGGGTCCACAAATAAAAAATCTAAATACATGGTTAGATTCAGCATATCAAAGAACCCCATATATTCAATTTTTGTTGAAATCAAACAAAGTTAAATTTTGGACCCCAATTTGGACCAACTTGAAAACTGGGCCAAAAATCAAAAATCTAAATACATGTTTAGATTCAGCATATCAAAGAACCTCATATATTCAATTTTTGCTAAAATCAAACAAAGTTTAATTTTGGACCCTTTGGACATTAATGTAGACCAATTTGAAAACTTGACCCAAAATTAAAAATCTAAATACACTGTTAGATTCGGCATAACAAATAAATAAATGTGATCAAAGATTTTACAAATCTAATGCGCCATACTGTGCAATTAAAGATTACTTCTTGAAATTTGAAAAAAAAATAATATTTGAAGAATAATTCTTTTTAATTTCTGAAATCTGAAATGAGAAAAAATTGGCCCCCCACAATTTCTTTTTATCCCCCCCCCCCCCCCCCCTTTTTCCCCCAAAAAAATTCTTTCCCTCAAGATATGGTCATAATCTCAATTCAAATTTCCAATGGAGTTGGCAACCATAATTACCCATTTAAATTTACCATAGTGCTAACTTAATCTATTTTATAATAGAATTAATAAAAATATAGTGTCAAATCTTTCATATGGATTTTTTTGTAAAATAAAAAGATGAAAACATTTGCAGATATTTTTACTGGTCTTCCTTTATAAATATGCATTTCTTTAAACATAATTTAAAAGCAGTGTAAGGGAAGTAACCAAAACGTTGTATTTGGATTACCTCCCTTACACTGTTTTAGATTATCTTTATTGTTCATTAACCATTACTTTATACATAATTTAAAAGCAGTGTAAGGGAGATAATTTCAATGATGTATTTGATTTATCTCCCTTACACTGCTTTAAATTATGTTTTGTACTAAAGTATTTGTCCATTAACCAGGACAACCTTGTTTTTCCCCCTTTTTTGCCCCTAATTCCTAAACGGTTTGAGCCATAACCCCCCAAAGCAAATCCTAACCATCCCTTTGTGGTATGGAAACTTGTAGTATAATTTCAGAGAGATCCATACACCGTTCCACAGTTATTGTCTGGAAACTAGAAAATGCTCATTTTTGGCCCCTTTTTGGCCCCTAATTCCTTAACTGTTGGTACCATAACCCCCAAAATCAATCCCAACCTTCCTTTTGTGGTATTTAACCTTATGGTCAAATTTCAAAAAGATCCATTCACTTAAACTAAAGTTAGAGTGCGAAAACCAATATGTATTCGGACGACGACGCCGGACGACGACGACGACGACGTCATACCAATATACGACCACAAAATTTTTTTGCGGTCGTATAAAAACTAAACCTTTCATTACAAATTTCTCGTTTCTTTTCAATGAATTGGTTGAAATAAACTGGTATCTGCTTGATTGAAACGATACAAACATAGTGAAAAAGACAACCGTAAACCAGCTTAGAAATTGTAAACTACAAAACGTAATCGGTTATTGTTCGTTCCGTTTTGGTGTTTCATACTGACTAATATGGTTTGTATTAGCTTAAGACCCTTCAAACATTAATGTGATAGATATATTAAAGACTGTTTTACAAAAGGATGGAACTGTTTTACTTTCAGTCGTATTATAGTGATATCTGTTATGTACGGATTTCGACTCTCACCGGTTAATTTCTTCTTTTACACATGCTTTTTAAACTTCCTGTTTAAACATACACAAGTTTCTAAATTGTTTTTTAAGTGAATTAAACTTATTTTAACAATCATGAAGCGTTCTAGAATCATTTACAAGCAGTTTCAGCTTCTGCTGATGATGGAAAACAGGTTTTTCCAGGAAAATACCGCAAACGACCGCACAGGATTTGAAATTAACGGAGTTTCATTAGACCTTTTCTAACAGTTACAAAAAGTTTTTTTTACCTAAAATTTCGTGGGGAGAAGGGGGTGCGGACTATGTACCAGTGCAAACTATATAAGCCTTTCTACGGTATTCAATAATATCATTTGATTCTCAGATGCCTACCAGCATTTTATAATGCATGATGCAAAGGAATCGCAAATTTTCTTAAACTGTAAATGTAAACTGAAATATTAATTTAAAAATATGACAAAGTTGTCTTTAGTCATTTTTAAATCTTTCAAAAAATTTTGTAACAAGTATACCAACTTTTGCATTGCTTTGCAGTATAGTTGTTCTTGTTCTCCAGAGTCTTTCTCTACTGACAATATCCCTTGTAACATCAACTTCAGCATCTACGAAGCTACTATGTTCTAATGGTCCTGGTTGTATGTCAGCATCATCTACCTTTATCATAGATCTTTTTTTGGCCCATCTCTTTGCTTTGATGGCTGCAATTCTCTCTAATGGCATAGCCTCTGGGAGGGACGAAGAACTGAAAATTATAAATGTTATCATAGACAAGAAACATTTAAATCATAAAAATAAATCTTAAAAATTCTGGAAATTTTAGTCAATGGTGTAAAGCTCTTCAAACCTGGTTTCCAATGTGATTAAGTACTTTTTGAAAGATATATTTAATATCATTCAAGATACAGGTTGAAATTGTGTATCAACAACATGTAATTTTTCAAAAAAAAATCAATAAATGTGAAACTGTAGATTTGATGATTTAAAGACAAATTCAGGAACACTTTTTGCCGATTTTATGTTCATCCTATGCAAATGTTCACCTATTTTGATAGAATTCAATCACTAATATTTCAGAAAATAAAAGAGATAAATGCATTATTTTTTTCAATCTGCACTTATCATATGTTTTTAAATCAACAAGCCAAAGTTGTATGCAAAACTTTATCAAAATCTGTCACATAGCCTGTTTAATATTGTAACTTGACCTTAATTTTGCTAGTAACATTCTACTCCAGCAAATATGGAAATGGCATTAATTAATCTGGTATTGTTATCTATGGTGGAAATTTGTAATAATAAATGAATATTTTTAGTTTTGAATTTACAGTATTTCTACAGTTTGACTTTTTAAGATAAATTAGAGTAAAGATATATTTTTGATAAACTTTTGACTATTGGTATGGTTGAAAGTAACTTTAATCTTACGCTAATTGTGCAGGTTTTACTGCCGTTTCTCTTGGAGCATCCATCTTTCTGGCCCAAATAATTTTGTCTTGTAGAACTTTTTCTTCCTATCAACAAAAAAGAAATACTGTTAAAATTGCAAATGTATTATAAACTAGAACTCTGATAAACTCATAGAAGGATTCTTCCTGCCTAGCAATACTATTACCTCATATTGCAACACTCAAGTTAGTAAGTTCAATTATTTCCTCTCTAACTTGTAAGATCAGAACTATATTCCGTTATGCAAATAATCAGTAGTGTTCTACAACTGTGTAAAGTTTTATCACAATCCATTCTCCTCAATAGGAGGAATTATGCTATCAAACTTTAAGGCACAAAAAGAAACAAAAACGAAACTTTGTATGCAGGGGTATAAAATAGAATATTTTACTTTAAAAAACTACTTCTTCAAGTAAACTTGAATAAAGTTGAGCTGTGAATCAAATATACATATGATTAACACAAGTATACATATATTTATAAAACTGACGTTTTTAACTTTTTATTTATTTTAAAACAGTAAACACCAATTGATTAAGTTGTTACTCAAATATTCTGGAGTTAATTAAAATCAGTCAAAAATCACTGATAATGGGTAAAAATTTTAAAAGTGGCCTTTTTACTTGGCCTTCTGTTGTACTAGATGCCTTGAGGAAGTTATGCATTGCATTTTTCTTCCTTTTCTTTTTTAGAAATAAACTGTTATCACAGAGATATGTCTCGCCTTTTTGTAATTTTGATAATGCAAATGTTGAAATTAAAATAGCAATACTTTAACATGTAAGTTATGCAAATATTCAAAGTCGATGAACCATGACTGAAGGTACATGGCTAAACAATCTCTATGGAATGAGATTTGCCAATGCTTATATACAACTGCATACCAAATACCATTGACTTATTATAAGTTGTTCCCTTTAAACAAACCTAAACACAAACATTAACTTGTAAACTATGTAAAAGTTTCAAAGTCAATGAACCATGATCAGGGGTGGGGCTATATAATTTCCATGGAAACGATACTTGCAAATGCCAATAAATTTGCATACCAAATATCATTGACTTAACATTAGCAGTTCATCTTAAACTGAACACATCACAAACTAATACATGTAAACTAAGCAAAAGTTTCAAAGTAAATAGACCATGACTGAGGAGGCGGGGTCAAATATTCTCCATGGAAATGAGATGTGCTAATGCTTATACAACTGAACACCAATTAACATTGGCCTACCACTAATGGTTCCCCTTGAACTGACCTAATCACAAACTAATACATATTAACTTAGCAAAATTTTCAAAGTCTACAGACCATGACTAAGGGGGCAGAGCCAAATAATCTCCATGGAAATGAGATATGCCAATGCTTATACAAATGCATACCAAATATCATTGACCTACCACTATTGGTTCCCCATAAATTGACCTAATCACAAACTAATACATGTAAACTATGAAAAGTTTCAAAGTCAATAGACCTTGACTGAAGGGTCGGGGTCAAATAATCTCCATGGTAATGAGATGTGCCAATGCTAATACAACTGCATACCAAATATCATTGACCTACCACTTGTGGTTCACCATGAACTAGACCTAATCACAAACTAATACATTGTTGACGCCGATACCGCCGCTGCCGGAAACAGCATACCTATGTCTCGCTTTTTGACTCTGTCAAGGCGAGACAAAAATCCAAAATTTAGGAAATATTTACTAATTGTGTATCAATTTTTCACAACTGTTACCTCAAGTCTTGGTTTCTTTTTATCTGCCTCTCCTGCATCTTCTGCAAATCTTTTGACTAAAATAGCAACAGATCCTTATTCAATATTTGCAGCCTGATTAAAATAAAATATATAAATTTTCCAATATAATATAATTATTCTAAAATCAGAAACAAATTACTTGACATTTAAACTCACAGGCCTTCTTAACCATGATTACTCCTGCATGAGACATCTTAAAAACTTTATTTTAGTTTTTATTATGGAAGTCTTTGCTAGAACATTCAAAATCTAAAGTTTTATATTGAAGGTATATAAGAAAATCAGATATATGAAATTTAAACCAAATGAAAATTGATGGATGGCATTAATGTGATGTGAATATAAACCCTGCTTTGTACTTGACTGATACGTTGAGCTTGATTTTTACAAGGCAACAGTCTGCAGGAAGACATGTCAACATACCTGGACACATGATTCTGACTCCTGGCGCAACAATCTTATCTCTTACTCCTAAATGTGGTATGCTTAGCAGAGAAACAGCAAATACCAATTTTGAAGTCTTTGGTTTGACCTGGCTGGGGATAAAACCCAGGGACCTCCTGCACTCAAGGCGTGCACACTTCCACAAGACCACCTAGGCGGTCCAAATGAAAAAAGACTTTGTCTCTGTTTTAATTATTGCACTCAGATAAATAATTTCCATGAGTTTGTGCAGGACACTGATAATAGTCCTCAAATAAAAAATAATTTTATCAACCTTGCAATGATAACTGAGGATCTAATGATGGTATCTAAAAATTCTTAAAGATGAACAAACCAGCTTACTGCCTAAACCATGTAAACCATTAAAAAATGTCCAGCCAAAAGGGGAAGGAAATTTAATTGTAATCTATTTCATTCAGATTTTGTACAAAAAGAAATCTTTGCAATACCTTGTGCTGGTCTCTGAAGTGGAATTTCCAATGGAGCACTTTTGTCAATGTTAGTAGAACTTGCAGTTTCTCCATTTAAGTAGGCAAGTAGATCTTTTCTATCAGGACGACGCACAACAGGTACAGAGGCAGCCTAAATAATTGTTGAAATAAAAAATGGAATGAAAATACATGTTTTCTTTCAAGAATCTAAATAATCAAAATATTTGTATATATTTTAAGTCACATACATGCCAGAATATAACTCTTCATGTACAAATGATGTATAAAGACTGTAATGAGGTGATTGTAAGAAGTACAACAATGTACTATGGTGAAGTCGTTTCCTAAGCACATTTGTTAAATTTGAATTTAACTCTGAACATGTAAACAGGCAATGATATCATCGTGGATATGAATTAATGTAAATGAGGTACTAATAGAAACCGCCAATATATCAAAGGAACAGTGCCTTTATTGCTGTCTCTCATCTTGACTGTTGCTGAAAGATATTCAATGATGTTTTAAAAATGAGACAGCAATCTAATGTATTGGATAAGCATAACAGTGTTCCAGCTTGAAACTCAGGGCAGAAGGTGCTAGATGTCTGAAAGGGCACTTTAGCGTTTTAACTCAGATTTTAAGGGCACTGTTGGACAGTGTATAAATTACTTTAAATATTGCTAGGCTCAGCTGGAGAACATTAGTTGTATTTAAACCATATTCAGAAATTAATGTGTTCTTGATGTTGGTTCCAGTAAGATTTTTTTTTTTATCAAATTATCATACCATGAAGCAAAGCATATCATTTTGATGTTAATCTAAACAAACTTGTACATTTGGTAAGGAAAATCAGAAATTTCAATATTTTATAACTTATACCAGTCTATAAAAATAAACAAGTAGTTTTGAAAGATGGAGTTATACATGCAAAATTTAATGTTTAATTTAATTTAATCATCTACATTTAAATTACTTGTTCAAACATATAGTATATATGTTATTGAGAGTTATTTATTATCATTTGAATTGTTACAAAAAAGTATTTTTAAGTGCACACCAAAGTGCTCCTCAGTAAGGAGTTTTATAAATATAACAGGTGAGACAGGAGATGCTCATATTATTATGTAATGATGCACTAATATATTGCATATATTGCTGAAGGTATAAACAGTTACTTTTTTCTCCATCGTTGTTAAAAATTAATTTGTTGAGTGCTCCTATATCAGGAGGATTATAAAATACAAGAAGTAAAACAGGAAGTGGTGCAATCTTAAAATACAAATTTCTTTGATTCTTTTTAAATATCATACTCATGGTTATGAAACAAAACATTTTTACCAATTAAGTCAAAACTATGAACATATGCCTTTAAAATTGTTTAAGATTTTATTTTTTATGTTATGCCTACTGAAATAAATTTTTTCAGGTGTACATAAACATTACAAATGGATAACATGTGGACATTTCATTCTGTATTAAATATCTAGTATTTGTTCAATTATCTTAAATCCACTAATTAGCAGTAAACAATCATTTACAAAGGTGATAAAACTGCCAAAGCATTAGGTATTTAATTTAATCCCATTGTCAGTTAATTAGTGTTACACAATCAGGTAACAATTTTACCGGAAACGCCTGCAGGCATGAAATTTGGAAATTTTATTTTTTTGAAAAGGCAGAGGGGTGCATTCTTTTACTTTGGAGGGCAGAAGGGCGTGGGTAAGGGCACCAAGGGCGGGTCACCCTTCTATTTAGGGCAGGCGGGAACACTGCATAATATAAATGACATAATGTACATGCAGTTCCCCATTTTTTTGTTTTAAAATTTTAGTTTATTCCATATCTGTTTATGACATTTTGATGTACATGTATATATAACAGTACAAATTGGAATCCATCTACATGTACTAGTAGAAATTGGAATTCTGATTTACACTAATTTAAATCTAGTACGAATCAGAATTCAATATCTATTAGTAGAAATTGGGACATCCAGATTTGCACTAGGATTCTGGATTGTACTAAATATTTAGTAGGATCAGGGGTATTTCTAAATTTACATATACATCATGTCATGATATAAATTATAACATATACTTGTAAAAAGGTTGATCATGAGCACATTTTCAATATGAATTGCTTTATACAAAATGTGCTTTGGTCAATGCTTTTACACATCAATAAAATTACAGAAAGAAGCATTCAATTCTTAAATAAATGTATATTGCATACCAACTTATTTTCATAAATGGCCCTCTGTAACGGACTTTCCCAATTTCTTCCTGTTCCTTAAGGTTTTATATAAGTTTAAAAAATCCATGAAGATTTAAATTTGCAATATTTTACTACTCCCATATTCAGGAAAAATTAATCTCTCACGAAAATTAGTGGGTTTAGAGAATGTACATGTATCCACTTTAAAATCTCAATCATAAGAGTTAAAAAAAAATTTATTTTTGCGGTCGTATAAAAACAAGGAGGATTTAGTCATCATTGGGATATAAAGAATGCCAGACAAATGGGAGAGTACTTACTGCTGCCTCTCTCACATACAATGGATGCTGTAGCTGAACATTTCTCAACAAAAACAAAATGCAATCAAGTGTGTAATACTCTTTTGTGATCCCATCTTTTCCAGTTCTGAAATGTACAGGTCAAGCGAAATGATACATTGAAAGATCAGAAACTGAAAATTTATATATGTCTTATACAAATATATGTTTTAAAGCTGACTATAACAGTATATTTGCTCATTGTTGGACATGTTGGAAGCCATACTATTTACATAAAGCTTTATTTTTCAGAAAATTAAAGACCTAGATAACTTCTATACAAATACCTTATGTTCTAAAGTCGTACTATTTGTATAAAGCTTTATTTTTCAGAAGGTTTAAGACCTAGATAACCTCTACACAAATGCCTTATGTTCTAAGTTTTTGTTCGGCATATCTCCGATGTAATTGACCTCATTTTCATGGTTCAGCAACTGCTTTGACCTTTTAAGTTTTATAAGTTTTTATCACGATTTTTTCACTTGTTATGAGTATTAGATATATAGTAGGCAAAACATTTCAGAATTTTGGTCCTAAATGCCTTTTATTTGGCCTTTTAATTTTTTCGATTCGAAAGTCACTGATGAGTCTATCTTTTGTAGACGAAATGCAAATCTGACATACACAATTATAAGCAGATGACCGTTTGAGATGTCTTTTATAAAACGCTCAGTTACAGTAAATAGAACTAACTGTTGTTTTCAACAGGTTTAATTTTCACAAAATCTGTTTTAAGTTTCCTGAGTTGCTTTACGGAGCATTCTTCAATAATCAATATTTTCATCTGTTAGCTACAGTTTGCACACTATTCTGTCGATTTCTGATCTCCAAATACCGTTAAACATCACAAGTTTTCTGCAGTCGGATAGTATGTTATTGTTATGTTTACCTTTTACTAATTTACTGATCGCAAATATTGCTTACCCCCAGATGACGTAATTTGTTTTGACTGTTTTTGGCCAAGCTAAATCGTTAAAAATGACTTGGTCATCCTTCTCTATAATCTCTTTTTTGTTGATATTATACTGACGTAAAATGCTTAAAACGTCAGCCATTGCTGCAAGATCGGAAATGCTAATGTAATCTCAAAAACAACCACTCTAAAAACAACCATTGCAATTATTAGGAATACAATTGTGCAGGAATTTTATGTTATATAATGCTTGAATATTTAATATGTGATTTTGAATGGTGATTGTTGCAAGAAGAAACAAAAAGTTTCTTTTGTTCAAAGAGTATAAAAACTAATTACCACTTTCAGGTTTATGATGAATATGGGTAATGACGTACTCTTGAATGGTATCGGGTCCATTCGCTCCCAATACACGTTCGCACCTCACACACTCGCCCCTAGATCCGTTCGCACCCTACACGTTCGCACCCTATTTTTATTCAAATTCAGTTTGAATTATTAGATGTTTTTTTTTAGATGTATATACCAAAATATTTATATTTTCATGAATAACAATTCGAGAATTATCATATGAAATGTTTTTTTTTATTGATTTGATAATTAATTATTAAATGTTAATTATGTATAATGACTGTTAATTTAGTTGGTATTTACACAGCTAAATTTGGTACTTTGTTCTGTGTTTGAAAATCATGATTGCTGTTATAACTAGCTTTGATGTAGATACTGCATGTAGTTAGCTTGGTATGAGTAAAATCAATGAAAATTTTAAATGAAAAACATGAAAGATAATTGTTTTTAACAGCTTGGCCCCTTTGATCTCATGTGTGTTTGGACAAGTATGATATATAAGAGGGTCCGACCTCGACAGCATGCAATATCGTGTGATTTGTGTGAAAGATGGCAATTAAAAAAAAGAATGTCACTTTATTAAGAAACAATGAAAAAAATATTTATAGCAATACACTAACCAAAACATGGTTAAGGTTTATTCAACACAAAAAACGTTATCACAATGTCACCAAGTCGGGAGCCTAGTGAGCTAGTGATTAACTTTAGTTACATCAGACAGTTTAGCCCCGCCATATGTTCACGTGTCTGTTCGAAGTTGGGAGCCTTGTGAGCTAGTGTTGACTTTAGTTACATCATACATTTTAGCCCCGCCAAATGTTCACGTGTCTGTCCCAAGTTGGAAGCCTTGTGAGCTAGTAATTGACTTTAGTTATATCAAAATGTCTTAGGAAATGTAATGTGGAAGGCAGATACAGTTGATAGTCTCTGTTGAAATTATCCACAACTTTTCTAGGCTCATGTCTATTTATAGCTTGACAAGGTCACAAACAGGAAAGTCATAAAACTCTTTCAAATATATATGATATATGTGCTTGCCAAATTTTGAAAATAGTCTTTCGCATGATCATTAAACTTAGCCAAGACAGTCAGAAGGACAACATAATAAGAAAGAAAGAGGCTTTTTTAGATAATTTATTTGTGCCACGCTTGAGTTTGATAGTCGCGAAATACCGCTGAACAATTATTAAAAAAAAATTCGTAATTGTATAAAAGAAAACACTGTTGAATGCATGAAATGCAGCTCAATTAATTCACTTCAATAAGACATAATGCAGAAAGTTTTCATGTATGCTATAGCAAACATTGGTTTTTGTGCATTGTTGTTGTTTATCGTTTTTTTTTTGTAAAAAAAAACAACTTCAGTACGAGTAACTCAAAAGTAGCTTTCCTTCTACAAACCTTTTAAAATGTAGTAATTTACAACTAATGTAATTACAGCTTGAGTCAAAGTTTCTTATGATATACACTTATGATTCCGGTGCATGATACAAACTTTGATAGTTTTTGTATAATTTATTCACAACTTCTATGACTCTAGACGACTAAGAGTTTGACATGTAGTATAGATATCTGTAATTTTGTTGAAGACTGTATCTTGCCCTTTAGTCGTCTTTTGGTTTTTTACTATCTGGGTTGCAAAGACAGATCAACTTCTTGAGAATAGCTAAGTAGCTATTTTGGTTTGAAGAAAGTATCTAATTTACCGCTTTATTGTGTCTTTTGATTTTTTACTATCTGGGTTGAAAAGGTAGATCAACTCCTTGAGAACAGCTAAATGTTTGGTTGGAAGAAAGTATCTAATTTACCACTTTATTGTATATATAGACACCTGTCTTTTGTTGAAGACTGTATGTTGCCATCTATTTTTGTTTTTGGTTTGTTTTTCTATTTTGGGTTGCAGAGATTGTTCAAACTGCTAGAAAAAAGCAAAGTTTTTGGTTTGAAGTAAGTATGTATCGAATTTAACGCTTTATTGTTCTGTTCTTTTTATGTTTAAAAATGTAATAAAACTTTTTCAAAGTTTTTGCTTAACTTATTTGATAAAAAACCTGAATTTCAAATATTCAACTAAATACCAGCATTCTATATTATTAGTTAACCTTCTTTTGTCACAAATATAAGACTCATATTGTAATCTTTACATATCATACAACTGAAAAAATTAAATATAAGAGAATCGACGGCATGCAAGTTAAAGGACTTTTTGTTTACACCTAAAATACTTTATTAATCTAAAATGGGATTTATCTTAAGATCATTGATATAAATGACCTGTTTCTTTCTTATTTGATACGGAATCTAACGAGATAAAAATAGACGTAAGTAGGTCGTCAACATGGACGGCGTTCTATTCAGTTTTAGATACTTAGATTTGATATTCGTTATTGCATCTTTATTTCTTTTATTGGTATGGATCAGATCAAGGAGACCATCTGACTATCCACCAGGACCAACACCTATCCCAGTTATTGGAAACTTTCATAACTTAGCAAATAAGGATTTTATGCAATCACTGCGTGAACTCAGGCAAAAATACGGAGATATATTTAGTCTTTCGTTGGGAACGTTTTGGATTATTGTAGTGAATGGCAATGATAATTTAAGAGAAATTCTGGTAAAAAGAGGAGAAAAAACATCGGATAGACCAACATTTTTCGTATTCAATCTAGTTAAGAATAAAGGCAAGTAAAATTTGTTTTGGTAATTTGATATATCATGTGTATATGTTTGTCAATGGTTTATATCTGTTTGTGGTCATAACTTCTTATTGCGATTCCTGGTTTAAATGAATTTGGCTATTATTTTTATGTTCCTTTTGGCCTTTTAGCTCCTCGCAAATTTAAGTACTTATACACCATTGGCTTTCATACTTTTTTTTAGCTAGTGAGCGTTACTGATGAAAATAAAACCAAAAACAGCGTTTCGGACGCAAGAATTTTTAGAAAGTATTATTTTCATTTGATAGTCAATATGTGCAACAATTATCTTAGCTCCACTAATTTATTTTTTGTTGAAATGTTCATATCATAAATAAACGTACTTGTAAAACAGATCATAGCGAGGTGCAATTTGTAAAAATGAGAAAATTTTATATAAAAAAATAGAAGGAAATATTCGGTCTCAGAGTTAATTATTAAAATTTTTACCACTTAACTGGAAGATTACATAGACTAAAGTCACATTTTCACATTCTTTTTCGCAGATGAACAGATCTTCAGGTGTTTCGTAAACTAAAGATGATTCAACGTTTGAAATGACATCTTACATTATTGTGTTTATATATTTGCTAATTATTCCAGGAATAATATCTGCAAGTGGTCCTAGTTGGAAACATCAAAGAACCTTTGCTTTATCAAAACTACGTGACTTTGGATTCGGAAAACGAAGTTTTGAGTCAAATATACACGAGGAACTAGAAATATTTCTGAATGAACTGGAAAAGTATAACGAGCAACCTTTTGATATATCAGAAATAATTCATACAAGCATGTCGAACATAGTCATGGCCATCACCGTTGGACGACGATTCGACTATAAAGATCCCGAATTTTCATATTTTGTACAACTATTAAATGAAAATTTTAACAATGCTGCAGTTTTGGGTCCAGTAAACTTTATTCCTATTCTTGAAAAGTTGCCAGTTGACATTTTTGGTGCAAAGCGAATGGCGAAGAATGCTGAGCGATCAGACGCTTTCTTTCAAAATGAAATAAATGAACATGAAAAGACATTGGATGAAAATAACATTAGAGATTTCATTGATGCATACCTAGTTGAGCTCAGACGGGAAAGAGATACTGCTAACTACTTTTCTGGTAATTTATTGAATAATGAATATTTGATTTTAGGGATTAATAAGACTTTATTACAAACGCAATTACAGCTTATATGATACATACGTACAATGTATACTGATAATAATTTATATGCACCAATAGTAAGAATTTTTACAAAATATTCTTTAGGTTACACCATATATAAATATAAAAGTATAACTGACATATAATATAATTCAAAATACAAAATACGAGCGGAGTATGGCATACTTTAATGAACACAATATGATTAATTGTGAAAACACTGTTAAATATTCCATAAATTCATAATCTGTCATATATATATTTTAGTTTCATAGTCTGGACAGCTATTCAATATACGCTCAACTTTCTACGAGGACAAATAACAGTGGCAGATTCATTGGGGCATAGCATAGACGACCCCCACCCCACCCCCTTTGTTTCATCTTTGCCTACTATCTTGAAAATTATAACAGATAAAGAGAATCTTTAAATTGCAAAAACGATCAGCGAGACAAGTTCTACAAATAAGTCTGGATAGTCGAAATCGTCGGTCGACTCCTTATTAGAGTTATTGCCCTTTGATGACGATTTTTACCATTTTTTTGCGTTTTTACCTTATATCTTAAAAATTGTAATATATGGATAGAAACTTAAATAAAAAAAATTGATCAGCAAGACACGATCTACAATTAAGACATCCGAAATAGTCCGACGACTCCTTATTGGAGTTATTGCCCATTAATGACGATTTTCCATTGTCTGTTAACCATTACAAAAATCTTCTCCTCTGAAACTACTGGGCCAAATTTAACCAAACTTGGCTTCAATCATCATTGGGTATCTAGTTTAATAAATGTGTCTGATGACCCCGACTGCCAACCAAGATGGCCGACATGGCTAAAAATAGAACATAGGGGTAAAATGCAAGTTTTGCCATATTTTGAAAACCGTTAAAAGAAGAGAAAATCTATCGAGAAGAAAACTGTTCAGGATGTTCAGCTCTACCAATTGTCCATATACGTCGAAACTGTCAGATGACTTTTATAGGAGTTATTGCCCTTAAATGACAAATTTTACCATTTTTTCCTTTTTGCCTACTATCTTGAAAACTAAAACAGATAAAGAAAAACTTTAAATTGCAAAAATGATCAGCAAGACAAGTTCTACAAATAAGTTTGCATGGTCGAAATCGTTAGTCGACGTCTTATTAGAGTTTTTGCCATTTGATGACGATTTTTACCAATTATTTGCGTTTTTGCCTTATATCATAAAAATTATAATAGATAAATAGAAACTTAAATAAGAAAAAATTATCAGCAAGACAAGATCTACAATCAAGATAATATGGAGGAAATCGTCCGACGACTTTTTATTGGAGTTATTGCCCTTTAATGACGATTATCCATTTTTTTTTTAGCGTTTTGCCTTATATGATAAAAATTATAATAGATAAATAGACACTTTACACACAAAAATTATCATCAAGTCAAGATCTACTAACAAGTCAAATTTTGATGATATAGTTAGTAGACTGTCACTCTTTATAGGAGTGGTTGCCCTTAAATGAGGATATTTTTTACCCTCTTTTGTGTTTTGAGCAAAAATTAAAGAAGATAGATAGAAACTAAACAGAGTAAATGATCAGCAATACAAGATCAACAAAACAGATATTTTTGTCATGAATTCTATTCTCATTTACAATTCGCATCGCTCCACTCGGCAGAATATATACCATTTTCTGCAAGCGAAAGACGCCCCTTGTGATGCGTTTTCTTTACATTATAGTTGTTTAACTTTGCAATGAATTATTCCTTTCTCAATCCAATATGTTTTAACTTGCAGATTTAAGCACACTGTTGATATTTTCTTGATTTAGTTCAACATTGCCTAGTGTATCTAAGGGTAGATATATTTCAAAAAGAATGATTTACATCAAAACAGATTTTTGACAAGAATGTCCCGTAAACTACTTTCCATCGCTAAAATTTTCCGATGATAAAAACTATCTGCAACGTCACTCGTTGCGTGAGGGACAGTACTGTTTCCATGGTTAACTACACTATAATAGGTTACGGACATAATGGAAACAAAAATACTGGTATCAGCGGCGGATCAAGGACTTTCGAAAGTGGGAGGCCAAATTCTATAAAAGGGAAATTATACCATGCAAATGGCCGAGCGGAGCGATGCGAAAAAAATTTGGACGATTTTATGCCCCAAAAATGATATATTTTTCGATCAAAAGGGGGGCGTACGTCCTCTACGCCCCTTGGATCCGCCGCTGGGCATTGACAAGAAATGATACATGATCGGTTGTAGAAACTAGTGACACCAATGACAGACTTTGACTGGTACTACTCACTTACATATAGACTTCACATTGCATTGTGCCTGTCCCTATACTGATATATATACAGTTTTGTTTTTTTATATATAGGTGAAAATTTGTTATCAACGATTGGCGATCTATTCGCAGCTGGAACGGAAACAACAGCAACAACCATAAGGTGGGCTTTATTGTACCTATTGAACAATATGGACATTCAGCAGAAAATGTGGAAGGAAATTAATGACATGGTGGGTAGTGGGCGACTGCCATGTTTGTCCGACAAACCAAACCTTCCTTACTGTGAAGCTGTTATTCTTGAATCACTCAGACTTGGAAATATTGTTCCCTTTTCAGTTCCACACACCGTATCAGAGGATATATACTATAAAGGAATGAAGATTCCAAAGAACTCAGTCATATTCCCAAGTCTCGATTCTGTGGTGTATGATGAGAGCTTATTTCCAAATTGTCACATTTTTTATCCTGAACGTTTTATTGATGAAAATGGAAAACTAAGTGGTCAGGAGAAAATCCTAACTTTCTCATTGGGTAAATATGTGATATGAATTCTAGTTTATGCAAAAATAAAACACCTAAATTTTCAAACAACTCACTTAGACACTAGAAAAATGCATATACTAAAAACACTTGAAAAATACTTAATTCAGTCATTCTATCGGGAATATTTTTCAAATGAAAAGGACTCGAATACTGTCATTCTTCTAGCTTAGTAGTTATATTTGCTTTAAAATTCACTATGCCTTTATCACCAAAGCCCAAAGGTTTTTTCTCTTAGACTCTTCTTACTAAAACCATAATGAACTTATAAGCATCCTGTTGAATCCCTTTCTTAAATTATATCCCGCACGTGGCAGGTGCGCTCGACTCCCGACTCCAATCTTAATTGACTAGGATTGCAAGTTTTCCTACCGAAGGTCGGTGGTTCTCTCTCCGGGCACTCCGGCTTCCTCCACCAATAAAAACTGACTGCCACAAATAGCACAATAGTGCTGAAAGTGGCGTTAAACACCCATCAACCAATCATTCAATCAAATTATTTTCATCGCATGAAAAAGTAGCCTTCAACAACAGACTACTACCGTATACATGTTTTATAATTTTTTTTATTTTCAGGTCGGAGAGTCTGTCTTGATGAATCTTTAGCAAGAATTGAGTTATTCTTATATCTAACAGCTCTTGTTCAGAGATTTCAGTTCTTGCCTCCAAAGGGCGACAATCCACCACCTGTAGAAGGAAAACTAGGCGTTACGTATTCACCGATCCTTTATAAGATAAGAGCAGTTCGGCGAGATAATTAACAGATTCTATATTTTAAGGCAAAATATTTGGTAATTTTACAAAACTTTTTTTCGAAATAATTTAGTATTTTTACAAAGTAACACGATTTCTATAATAAAGTGGGATTGAAAAGGAAAAAAAAACGTTTCTAATTTAACAATATATAAATTGTGCGACTGTCATACAAGTGAGAGGTTTGGCTAACTATAAAACCAGGTTTAGTCCACCATTTTCTGCATAAGGAAATGTCTGTACCAAGTCAGAAATATGACAGTTGTTTTCCATTCGTGTGATGTGTTTGAGCTTTTAATTTTGCCATTTGGTAAAGGACTTTCCGTTTTGAATTTTCCTTGGAGTTCGATATTTTTGTTAATTTGCTTTTTATAAGATCAGAGCAGTTAGGCGAAGTTAATTCTAATCAACAGATCCTTTATAAGATCAGAGCAGTTAGGCGAAGTTAATTAAAATCAACAACGTGTATACAGAGAAAAATGTTGTCCAAAAGAAATTATTGATATAGATAAAACACAACTGTTACAATACATGCTAAACATATTGAAATATTTCTGAAACAAATAAGTGAATGTTATAAATAATCATCTTTCACAAAGACGTACATATATATAATAACTGGGAAAAAATAGTTTACTGATATATATATGTAGAATAAGAAACTATTTAAGCCAAAATCGTTAAGCTTATGTTAGAAAAAAAGCTTTTAATTTGATTGTGTTATTATTATGAACTCAAATTCACCTCTGTGGTTGTATTCAATTCCCATCTTATTAGATAGGAAAGGGAAATTTCTTTTGAAGAGTGTAGATTTGATGTTTAGGTTAGATTATTGTTTTCAATTATGTTTTAACTGTTAAAATTGAGAATGGAAATGGGGACTGTGTCAAAGAGACAACAACCCGACCAAAGAGCAGAAAACAGCCGAAGGCCACTAATGGGTCTTCAACACAGTGAGAAAATCCCGCACCCGGAGGCGGGCCTCAGCCGGCCTCTAAATAAAAATGTGTACTAGTTCAGTGAAAATGGACGTCACACTACACTCCAAAACATATAAATGAACTAAAATTAAAAAAATACAAGACTAACAAAGGCAAGAGGCTCCTGTTTTGGGACAGGCGCAAAAATGCGGCGGGGTTAACATGTTTTGTGAGATCTCAATCCTCCCCTATACCTCTAGCCAATGTAAAATAAACAATAAAATTGAGAATGGAAATGGGGAATGTGTCAAAGAGACAACAACCCGACCAAAGAGCAGAAAACAGCCGAACCCACAGCAATACGTACAGTAAAACTCAGTTCAAATGAAGTACGAGTCCGATGTCAGAATAGGTAACAAAAGAAACGAAGCAAAATTGACAATGATACATACATTAACAAAGGACTGCTAGCAGTTACTGACATGACAGCTCCAGACCTCAACTAAACTGATTGAAAGATTATGTCTTCATCATAGGAAAATCAAGCACAATCCCTCCCGTTAGGGGTTTAGTATCATACCATCATAAAATATATGAGAAGAACATAACCCGTATCATGCCAACAACTGGTTTTAGAATAAATGTGTTTATTTCCGATGCAAAGTTTAAAGGTTTGGTTAGCTTTTGAGGTGAGTGCCGACATTTTTGTGCTTTGTATAGAATATTACCATAAAAGATTGTATGTGAAATACCTGAACGTATAAGATGTCTGCATGCTGATTTATATTTACGAATGCTGTCCTTGTACCGATGATAAAATTTAGTAAATGTTTTGACTAGTTTGTGATATCGAAAACCTGGTGTAATAATTTTTCAGTAATACAGAGATTTCTTTCGTTAAAATCAACTACGTTGTTACATACACGAGCGAATCGAACAAGTTGAGATATATATAAACACCATAAGATGGTGACAAGGGAACGTCACCATCTAAAAATGGATAATTAACAATAGGAAATGAAAAATCATCTCTTTTATCATAAATTTTGGTATTAAGCTTCCCGTTAAAGATATAGATATCAAGATCCAGGAAAGGGCAGTGTTCGTTGTTAGTATTAGGTTTATTTAAAGTCAGTGCCGCAGGATAAATCTCTTTAGTGAACAAACTGAAGTCGTCATTATTGAGAGCCAATATTTCATTCAAATATCTAAAAGTGTTATTAAATTTTTGTATCAGATGTTGTTTCGATGGGTCTTTGTTGATTTTAGTCATAAATTGTAACTCATAACAATACAGAAACAGGTCCGCAATAAGTGGTGCACAGTTAGTCTCCATTGGAATTCCGATAACTTGACTATATACGGAATCTCATAGCGAACAAAAATGTTATCTAGTAAAAATTCAAGGGCAGTTATCGTTTCAAAGCAGGTCCAATTGAAATAGTTCTTTTGTTTGTTGTTACTAAAAAATGACCTAAAAGAGTTTGAACATATATTTTCGCATTCTGACTTTTTAAATGCCCATTTATTTAGGTGTGGGAATTTTTCTTAATAAGATTATGAGGCAAAGTAGTATATAGGGTAGAAAAATCAAAACTGAACAGATTCGAAATCACCAATATAAGCATGCAATTTATTAAGTACTTCCAACGAATTTTTGACACTCCATAAGTAATTAATTCCACTATTTTCAAAGGCCTTATTTGAACAATTTATTACCAGGTTTTTGGTTGTACCAAGTGTACTAGTAAGTAGAATAGACAGTTTAGTAGTGGAACAATGGCTTGAAGACGAAATAAATCTATATTTGTTGCCTGTTTAAACTATTGCCCGTTTTACTCTACTCGATCAGTTTAAGCTTTTCGAATTTCTTTTTCTTTTTTAATTTGTTATGCATTTTTGTCACTCATCAGAATATTGTTGGAGATTCTCAAAAATGTATTAAAAACTGCCCAATTTTGTATAGTTTATTCATGAAAAAACACTTTTTTTTTTTTATTGAAAGAAATCTATCAGATAGAATTTTGAAATAAAAAATGAAAAGTCATGTTTTGTAATATGCTTTCAGAAAATAAAAATTAAAAATGATGTCACCGATTTTGTTTTCTTGCTGAAAGTCAAAAATGAAAATTTTTATTAACATTCCATTATTATTATTTTACTTTAAGAGTTATCTACCATTATATGGCTATGCTAAAAAATTGGACCAAACAAAAATAAATATTTCATATTTGTATCACAGTCTTTTTCTATTTTTCTTTGTCTAAATAAACAGTCTTACACATAAATTGCCTTTTTGTCTTAAAATCTGCAGATTTAAGCAAAGAACTACTTTCTAGACCGATATGCAGCTTTGAAATACTAGTATATTCAATAAAACGCAAAACACAGAATCCTGACCCAACACACAACGCTCGACACTGAAGATATTCACACAGCATTGAGTGTGTATTTTGTTTATATATTAGATTGCAAAGAACATTTTTTTGTGCTTGTGTTTTATTTCAGTATAGCCAAATTGTTTCAGAAAATAGCCGTTTTTGGCTAAAATCTGACATTCTTCCTTTTGAAATTTATACTAAGTTAGATGATTTTCACCAAAACTGAAACCCTTTTCAATATCAACGCCACCTGACTGCGCTATGAAAATGTTAAAATTCAATATAATAGTTCTTTTAAATAAGAAGATGTGGTATGAGTGCCAATGAGACAACTCTCCATCCAAGTCACAATGTATAAAAAGTTAACAATTATAGGTCAAAGTACGGCCCTCAACACGGAGCCTTGGCTCACACCGAACAGCAAGCTATAAAGGGCTCCAAAATGACTAGTGTAAAACAATTCAAACAGGAAAACCAACGGTCTAATTTATATAAAAAACGAGAAACGAGAAACATATATGAACCATACCAACAAACGACAACCACTGAACAACAGTCTCCTGACAGTTGCATAAAAATGCAGCGGGTTTAAACGTTTTAACAGGCGCCAACCTTCACCCTAACCTGAGACAGTTAGTGTAACATTACAAAATAAAAAGACACACTATAAATTATCAATTGAAATGGCTTAACTCGATCAAAAAGACATTTAAACAAAAACAAGTAAACATACACTTACTCTATTGTGTTGCAATCTTTGTCTTTGTTCTGTTATAAAGGTTGAAAATTCTCTAATGGTGGTGGCCTGTTATCTATAGTTCTCGAATGAAGATATATTGTTCGTATCACACTGAACGGAGTGTGATATGAATAATTGATACGAAAAATGCTTTAATTTGTTTGTCTTATCCTGCAATGTGTTATGAAATTGCGACATTTACATTAGCTATTTGTTAGGTTAATTACCGTCTTTCAAAAGTCATAACGGATCCTTGGCAACGGAGATTTAAGATTTCTTAAATAATATACAAAACACTTATATCTACAGATTTAGTTAATTAGAATAGGCCTAGTCGAGTTAGTAGGGGAAAGTTCTATAAAACGAATGATATGAATTCCGTTTGCACTCAATATGTCTTTGGAATGACCTTCATGGGGTACTCTGGAGACCAAAAGTTTAGGTAGCCAATATTATCAAGTTTCGGAGTATAAAAACGAAAAGGGTCTAAACAGAACAGTCAAAACCATGCCATGTCAACTTTGGCTGAGGGAGTTGCGACCTTTGTTTTATCATTATAATACATAACAGGAATCCCCAAAATATTAGACATTACAACAAGACCACATTAGCCAACAACAGCCGACTCCACTGAAAAAACAGACGTACCAACAAATACAAATCAACAACGTACAGTACATCGTCCAGATAGTCTGACTTGGTACAAGCACAAAATACGCTGGGGTTAAACCAGTTGAATAGCGCACAAACATCCCCCTTTGTCTATGTTTACCATATATCGTAAAAGTCAAACGCATAATTTAATCATTAGTACAGTCCAGCTAACAACAAGATGAACACTAACTCGAACGCGGACATCAAAGACGATATATAATTTGAAAATCAGGTCAAAATGTGCAGGAAATACGTATTTTTGATTTTTGGTGTTTTAACGCCACCTTTAAGCACCGCTTTTGGGCTATTTCGTGGCGGCCAGTTTTTATTGGTGGAGGAAGCCGGAGCGCCCGGAGAAAACCACCGACCTTCGATAGGAAAACTGACAATCCTAGTCAATTAAGATTGGAGTCGAGTGCACCCGCAGGAGCGGGGTTCGAACTCACAACCTCAGTGTTGACTGGCTAGTGATTACAGTAGTAACTACTTAGACCACTCGGCCACCGAGGCCCCACGTATTTTTGAAAGTATCAATACCGAAGCACTGGTCACTCCGTGGGTGGATGTGCCTGATAGTCCACCAGAAGCAGTACCGCCCCAAGATACAAGAAACACGATAATTGATTATGCCACTCACGATGCCAATTGCTGAGCAGAATAATATTAACCTGGGATAGTAAGACCGAATAACATGCGATTGACAATTGTAGACGACGTTACCCAAAATACGTGATACTATAGTACTTTATTATGATGTATAAATTAAGTGGTTATTAAACTATTTCTAAGTTTTTTTTTTAATAGAAAAACGAGGGACGAAGGTCACCAAAGCGAATAAAAGCACAATTGGCTACCCGTTCTAGTCTGGAGACGGAGAAAGACCTCAACAATAATAAAATAGCATTATAAACGTATGATATTAAACTATGTTTTTGGTTAACGTGTATCCTTTACCATAAATTTAAACATACCAAAATGAAATCCTTAAAAATTTATTTGATCACAATTTCACATTCATTTATAAGTATGTAGACTTGGGAGTTTCGTTTA